ATGTTGCTGAGTACCCAACTGAATAAGTAACTCCTCCAGTTCCTTTTAGCAATCCTCCAGACGGCGTTTGAGCGCGGCAGTCAGAGAAACATGCTTGGATGCCCAAGTTGACTGGACCATGGGGGAACCCTAATCGGTAGATGCATCTGATGCATCCGTCATTGGCACGTCCTTGGATGCATGCATCTCGGTTGAATTCTCGTTGATGGGGCTCATGTTGGTAGTATTCACCATAAAAAATGTGATATAGATGGATAGAGACATTGAGTACGGTGAGACTGTTGTTTATTCTCAAAAGAGATGATCTCTTTAGTATCTGGTATTCAAAAATAATAACTGGTATCGGGATTTGAATGTACAAATAGTGTGTAACTACTCTAGTGTCTCTTATCTGCTTAAACTGAGGTAATTCTTATGTAGTGGTATATGGACCCTACCTATATGACACAAATAGTGTGTAACTACTCTAGTGTCTCTTATCTGCTTAAACCAAGGTAATTCTTATGTAGTAGTATATGAGCCCTATCTATACAATATATTCAAAGATAATAACTGGTATCGGGATTTGAATATACAAATACAGTGACTCAAATTATTTTTTCAATGTTGTGCGGATGGTCGGTTTTTCGCGATTTGTGACTCGATTTTCCAAATAAAGTATAACATATTTTATATCATCTGAAAGCTGAAGTTTCAAGCTTTCTAACGAGCTAAGCCACATATTTTTAGCATGAATATGTGCGGAGATATAAGCCAAAAAGTAAATTCCGCCATTGAAAAAATTATTTGGCTTGCTGTCAAAGATGGAATTTTTCACCAATTAGCAGTCATATACTATTTGTTTTGCCGTAAACAGCCAAAAGCTTCGCTCTTTTTATTTTTCCTCTTCCTCTCATCCTGAAATCTGACGATTGATCCTGTAATTTCACCCATCCTGTAATTAGCATCCTAATTACTGATCACCATCAACAATCTGTAGATTCTGCAACATGAAAGCCATTTCCAATAATATCTGCAACACTATTGAAGCACGTCTTATTGCTGGCGACACTTACCAAGCAGTTTCACGTACAACTGGTGTCTCAATTGCAACGATTTCACGAATTGCCAAGAATCGGAATGTGGAATCGCATCAGAAACGTGGCCGCAAACCCAAGATTAGTGACCACCATGCACGTCTTATCCTTAGGAGATTTTTGACTGGAGCATACGCTACTGCTGTGGAGGCTGCTGAGCAGTTGGCTGCTGAGGGTACAGTTGTTCACCCTCAAACGATCCGAAATCTTTTGCATGCAGCCAATTTCAAGGCTATAATCAAGAAGCCTGCATTGCCATTGACTTCTGCCCGCAAGAAAGCTCGTTTGGCCTTTGCCAAAAAGTATAAGGACTGGACAGTTGCTGACTGGAAAAGGGTTATCTTCAGTGATGAAACAAAGGTAAATAGATTGGGTTCAGATGGATTGCTTTGGTCATGGAGAAACAGTGATATGCCTCTTCAAGATCACAATGTCAATCATACATACAAACATGGTGGCGGATCTTTGGTTCTTTGGAGCTGTATCACAGCTGAAGGCCCTGGCTATATTACTTGGATTCAAGGGACTATGGATTCTACACTTTATTGTAAAATCCTAGAGGATGACTTGCAAAAGACCTTAGATGATTATCATCTGTCTTTACAGGATATTATCTTTCAACATGATAATGATCCTAAGCACACCTCAAAAATGACTCGCCAGTGGTTAAAGGATCATGAGGTGAATGTTTTGGATTGGCCTGCATATTCTCCAGACTTGAACCCAATTGAAAACCTATGGTTTTACTTAAAGTGTCAGCTTGCCAAGTATAATGAACCCCCTGCTGGTATCAATGATCTTTGGGAGAGAATCCGTGTGGTCTGGTATAAGAAAGTTACCAAGGAAATGTGCTTGAAGCATATAGAAAGTATGCCTAAGCGTTTACAGGCAGTTATTCGTGCCAAAGGTGGTGAAACCAAGTGGTAAATAAAAAAATTCACAAAGCCAAATAATTTTTTCAATGGCGGAATTTACGTTTTGGCTTATATCTCCGCCCATATTCATGCTAAAAATATGTGGCTTAGCTCGTTAGAAAGCTTGAAACTTCAGCTTTCAGATGATATAAAATATGTTATACTTTATTTGGAAAATCGAGTCACAAATCGCGAAAAACCGACCATCCGCACAACATTGAAAAAATAATTTGAGTCACTGTAGTATGTAACTGTTATACTGTATACTGTAGATAGAGTTCATATACCACTACATAAGAATTACCTCGGTTTAAGCAGATAAGAGACACTAGAGTAGTTACACACTATTTATACATTCAAATCTCGATACTAGTTATTATCTTTGAATATCAGATATTAAAGAGATTATCTCTTTCGAGAATAAACAACAGTCTCACCGTACTCAACGTCTTTATCTATCTATATCACAGTAACTACTTTAGTATCTTTTATCTGCTTAAACCGAGGTAATTCTTATATAGTGGTATATAAACTCTATCTATATGACAAATAGTACTACCTTTTTTAATATATTTCTTTATAATTTTATCAATATTATTTATATTTTTTTTGAATTAGTAATAAAAATATTTTTTGATTTTGATTTTTGAGGAACAGCCACTACCTTCAGAACGTATAATGAATGTTGACGACCTCACAACATCATGATACCACACCCATAGACAAGTAGCAATACTACGTTTATGCTACCCACATCAAATAACTCTACTAACTTCTTTTTTAATTATAATACAATTAACAATTTAATAATACAATAATATATTATTTTAAATTTTTATATTTTATTTTAAAAAATATTAAACTTTTGTGTTTTTAGATATAATATTTAATTCTTCTGACACTTTATAATATTATAATGATAGTGATAATTCCTCTTTAATTTTATTTTTTAATATACTTCTTTCAATACTACTAATAACTTATACATCTTCAATTTTATGATTTCTATTATATTTATTTTTTCCAATTTTAGTTTTATTAATTTCTATTATTTTATTTTTTTCTTCAATTTTATATTTTTATTAAAATTAATTTTATTTTTTAAATATATTTTAAAAATTTTATAATATAAACTTACAATATTTAGATTTATTTATAAAGTAGCAGCAATACTAGTTGCTGGTATTTTTAAAAGATAATAATTTAATATATGTAAATGAATATTTAATGGTAATTTTATTTTAGAAAATATTATATCTGTTAAAGGTGAAAATGATTTTCTATATTTATAATTTTTATAAATATATAATTTTTTAGTATATATAATTTTATATCTTTATTATAAACTTTACATTTTTCTATTTTATTAATATAGTTATTATTAATTAAATAATATAAAGCTTTGTCTTCATTATTAAAAATATCTTTTAAATTTATATAAGGTTCTGTAAATATATTTGCAGTAATTTTTAGCTTTTTTTAAATTTTTAAATAATTGAAAGTTATATCAGAGTTTAAATTATAAAATCTATGTGTTAATAATTGTCTGTGCACTCTTAAGTATCATATACTTAATTTTCTTGGTGGCTTCAATTATCAATTGAAAAGTTAATATCATCAAAGACTTTACTGTGGTAAAGAAGAAAACTATTCCAGCATATTTAGGTACATTTTAGTTAAGAACTAAATTAAGATGTTAATTTTCAAATTGATATAATATACATTTTTTGTTATATATATTAGACTGGTTGGTCGGTTTGATTGTATATCATTACCATGCAGTGAATCTGAACATTTTGTGCCAGACAATCAAGGTTTATTAAGGTACTGACACTGGACAATTTTTTTTTGGTAAATGACGACATTATTTCAAAATCTGACTTTTTTATTATGTGCCCAGCAAAATAAGTTCTAGCCTTTTCATTTTCCACTTCCTCCTAACATTGTAACATGATGCTGATTCCACACGGCCTGCCAGCTTCTTTCCGCATCTCTGAAAGTGATTGCTTATTATACAAGATTCTCTGTTTTTTCAGTACTTTAGATGTTGCAGACTGGACTAATGTCGAAAAAGTTGTTGATAAACTATAGCAAGAAGCAGACAATAAAAGTAAAAGCGTAAAGAACATCAAAGGAGCCTTATTCAAACTTTCACCACACTGACACACAGAAGAAAAGATTTTTACCCACTATACATCTTCTGTGAACAACTAAAGAAATATTACAAGTGCAAGAAAACGACTAGTGTATTCACAGATGTGTGGCAAATCAAGTGTGAGAAGGAGAATGCCATCAACCAAGGCCTTGTCAATGGCGTCATACTCTCCACTCTCGGTGCAATTAGATTTGAAAAAGAGATTATAAATCTCATTAATGAAGAGATAAATGGGCAGACAGGCCAAAAGGATATCCTCCCTACAGCTTCTTCACCCAGTGCTGAATATGTTGACTCAATATCCAAATTCATGACAATGAAGGAGGCGGATGAAGTTCAGATCAATAATTCAACAGTTGGCATGGAGATCAAACACAAGGCATTAAAAATCTTTTGCCAATGGAAGAATGGCGAGTTTATCACAGATCAGGAATTACACTGGATGTCATGCAGTCTATCATCCATATGGGATCTCAGCAATGGTGAATTGGCCTGAGAATTTTTAGAATGCAGCAAGGAGGACTTCGAATGAATCGCGCAGCCATTCATCATGAAATACAAATCCACACAATACCAGCCTCCGGCGATATTCAATCAAACCTTTGATATTGTTGCATCAATCATTGATAAGGAGAATGACCCTCGAAAGGCGATTGAATACGTCCAAAATGTTAAAACAAGATGGGCTGAAATGCAAAAGCTACTATAAGTCATCCCTGTTATTATCCGCACCATTGAATCCAATGCTTTCTTGCTCAAAAGCTCCAATATCAATCGCATTACGGAGTATGATTTCATTACTCAAGTATGGGCGCCATTGTTGAAAAGCCTGGTTGATGTTATGGAATTTTATGTATGAAAATTGGAGAATCAAGTCCAGCATATGGTGTCATTGGCAGAAAGCGCACATACAGCGAAGCTTGTGTCGGTTTCAAAGTGGATCTTCGACTATTATACGATTCACGCCAAAACGAGCACGATCTACTTTCTATGGAGGTTGCCAAGGATGGTTCCACTTCCAAGCTGTGTAGAGATGTATGCAAACTTATGCGGGAAGCAAAGGACAACCTGGATGATACGCTTCAGGCATCTCTTGAAAAACAAAATCACATCTCTTTCCTCTACATGGTACTGTACATACAAGCCAACGAATTGCATGCTCATCTTGGTTTCATCCACCTAGCAAAATCTGGACTCTACTTGGCCCTGCGTCGAGGCAAACTCTGCTTTCCAAGGACGCTGTCATCCTTGTTGGATTTCAAAAACAGTGTGATATTATTAGCATCACTAGTATTTGATTTGGAACGAACTGCGTTGATGATCTGCAAGTCAATAGATATGATCGACGATATCGAGAGACAACGTTAAATAGTCAATTTGACTGCGACAACAAGCCATTGAATGTCAATTCTCAGCTGTTGATGGTGCGACCAACATTCTATGATCCACCGAAATACAGTATGATCTAAGTACGGCCAATCTCCCACACAACTTGTTTGGATCCAGCCACGCCCCTTCACTATCACCTTTACCTTCCTCTCTTTGAAATAACGACCATGATCACTCTGAACCAGACGACTTTGGGTGGGCAACTTTGGCCGATGGCAGCTTCTACCATACTTTTACAGGCATCAAAATGGGACGACATCCTTTTGAGGAGGCTTGATCCTTTGCATTATTCTTTTCTTTCAAATACCGTTGTCGTATAGATAGGGTTCATATACCACTACATAAGAATTACCTCGGTTTAAGCAGATAAGAGACACTAAAGTAGTTACACACTATTTGTACATTCAAATCCCAATACCAATTATTATCTTTGAATACCAGATACTAAAGAGATCATCTCTTTTGAGAATAAACAACAGTCTCACCGTACTCAACGTCTCTATCCATCTATATCACAACCGTTCTGTAAGCTGCCACTTGGTTCGTTTATTGATCAAATAAATAAATAAAGCTCCCTGCTACCGGTCGTTATCAGCATATTCAGAGGCAAGTAGTCAAGTATGCTTTGAAATGTGATACCCCAAGGACTATGCAATTGCACTTTTATCACCATATTGTTCATTATAAAGCTGTGTTAATTTTCGTAGGAATGAAGTGTTAATTGAAAAATAAACAAGGCTTTCGTTCACAGTTAATGAGAGACAGTGCATGATCAGGAACTGAGCATCATGCTATAAAAGTATCATTCTGAAAGCAATGCTTTTCATTCATATGATTCGATCAACAGGAAGATCGTCAGTGGGCTCTCACAGTTGAAGTCAGCCGAGTGAGGAGCGGGTGCCTGTAATACTTCCGTTTCTTCTATATGATGTGCTCTCTGCCTACCACTCACTAACTGGATGGATTCTGTAAATGCAGGTCGTTTGCTTTGTATACCATCGCTCATTCCAGCTAAAATATATAGAGTAACACATCATCATTTTATTGAATTCTGTCAGGGTAATGAAAGACTGTATCTTCGTGTTGCTAACACTGTGAATATGCACTTTTATGATTATGTGAATCCGATCTCCTTATGTCTCTTGTACAAAATCCTGGCAACTCGACCACAACGAACAGACTTTCGCTTTCAGATGCTTTTAGCATCGCTGAAGAGTTCAAACAAACCTCGGAGCAAATCTAACACAGAAAGGGAATGAACCACTTCAGCAATGCTATATCAACAAGAGCCATGTCTATAACGATGTGCCGTGAGCATTACATGCTGCTTGTCCAGTTTCCTTGGGCCACATACGATCAAATGCGTCTATGTGACCATTTGGAAGACATACCTGGAACCACTTCCATCAGCTTGAAATTCTACTTGAGTATTTTAATGCCGTGGCAATAAAAACTTTGTTGCATTGTAGTCAACTCGCGAAAATCTTAGTGGAGTTACTTCTTGTTTTGCTTCAACGCTATCAGGATAAGCTATGATTTGTTTTTTCTGCTCTTGTGGATTTTCTCTATATGCGTTTTACAATAAGCTCTAGGATATCACCGAAATTGAAAGTACTGCTAAACAAAGCATGCTTCTGGGATTTTGAGGTATTAGTAGCCGATATATCACCAATGATCGCAACATTTCTGATGTCTTTGCTTTGTGGAACTTTGCCAGGAGAATGTCTGACTGGATTCAGCTGGCAACTTAGAAAGAACATGCGCAATCCGTAGGAGGAAAAATCCAATGAGACGTAGGTCAAGTTTATTCGCTTCTGTCGAACAGTGGATCATTAAATAATCCAAAGCGAAGCGTATGGCATGCAGGCCAACTAACTGAGGCAAGTTCTCAAGTGCAAACAAAAAGTTGGAAGAGCAATAAGGAACATTCAGCGAGCAATGGAGGAGAAGCAACATTCCAACTGCACTCTGGTGCGGAATCTGCATTATGATGTGGAACAGAGATGTTATGGCAAAGACCATTAGGTCTGTTTTTTCTGTCCATGGCACGCTTTTTAAGCGCGCCGATATCACCACGAACGCTGCTTAGTGAAAAAATAAGGCGGCATCCTCAATAAGAAGGGACAATAGTGTTGATCTGTAACTGCATAACCCCAGCGGATGATGCCCATGTAAAGTTATAAAACGTCTTTTGTACTTGCCAATTCGTCACCGTGCCAATAGGCAAAACGGAGATGTGGTGAGCTAAATAGCTGAGAGCACCTCCTGTCAATTTGCAAAAGAACAAAAGCTTCAATACGTGGCTCTGTTTCGGTTAGTATCCGTGGCTCCCCCACTTTTTTTCTCCCGCCGGCCACCCCCAACTTTTGTGACTTGTTCTCCAAAGGTTCCTGCCATTTCTTTCTTTTTCTTGGGCTGTTCTTATATTCTTTTCCAAAAAGTTTCTCCGCGGCTCCAGTTGATTCCCCACTTTTCCCATTCCGAATGCCCTCTTATGTTACCGATGCTAACCTGAACAGCTATCAACTGGCGTTCTGTGGTGGAGTTGCCGGGGTCGTTTCGAGGTAAACACAGACATTGGCTTCCTACCTATGGTCGGCCACCTCGAGCATAAGACTTAAATCCTAATCCATTAGATTTGTCATCTCACCACTCGACGTTGTCAAGATTCGAATGCAATTGCAGACCCATCGAACCCACTTCAAGTTTAAAGGCGAAACCCCTCCCCATGTCAAATATTCCCGCGTTATGCCCGCCCTCAAAACCATCTTGAGAGAAGAAGGCATTCGAGTGAGACCCACCGCTCGCAGCGAATCAGCGTGTCAACGAAACTCATATAGAAAATTAGGGTTTATACAAAGGCAATTTGCCGGCCGAATACCTGTATCTGTCCTACAGTGCTGTCGAATTTTGGGCCTACAAGGAGTTGGAGACATTGTTGGAAAAATTAGTGAGTTTTTCTCAATTAGCCATGACAACATACGGATTTCACTCCCAGTTGCTAATGCAATGATGGACACAGGATAGCAATCAGATTTTACCGCGTACGTCCAAAACATTTTTGGCCGGAATGATGGCAGGAACGGCAGCAACTTCGGCAACATACCCTTTTGATCTCTTACGTACCCGATTCGCGATTCAAGGCGAGCACAAGGTGGGTGTTCTGGCAATGAGACAGAAGTCGGTTCATGCATGAAAAAAAAAAGGAATCGGCTGGCTAACCGGATCAACAGCATTACACAGGCATGGCGCAAGCCATCCGACATATCTATCGACAGGAAGGATTGCGTGGATTATATCAAGGTCTCTGGCCGACGGTGGTCCAAATCATGCCTTACATGGGGCTCTTATTTACAGGCTACGATGCCATTGCCGGGGCCTTTAAAGTGCTGAGAGTAAGTGTCAATTTGGTACGTGCTCATTTAGAGAGAAGCCGACAACTTACGTAGAACCGGTTCATTTTCCGATGTGTTGTAGGATGAACAAATTCTGCCGGCCAGTTATAAACCGACGCACGATATGATCAGTGGAGCCTTGTCGGGTATCCTCAGCAAAACGGCCATCTATCCATTCGACGTGGTACGCAAACGAATGCAGGTGCAAGGACCGTACTTGTCAGATTACATTGTTCCAGCCCCGAAAATTCAAACTTCAGGTCAAATGACATTGTGGTCTTGCTTCAAGAACATCGTGCAACAGGAAGGTGCGCGAAGCCTATACAAAGGTCTGATGCCCTCCCTGATCAAGGTGGCTCCCGCCAATGCAGTCACATTCTTGGTATTCGAAGAATCAAAGAAAATCTTGTTGTGGTGGAAGGAAGATGAAGGTTAAAAAAGAAAACCTTGCCTCTTTCCCTCGCCTCTTTATACATATATTATCACCACCGGTGGACGACTATTCATTAGAGACTTCCTGCATCCGATCCCTATCGCTCTCGTTTTTCTAGATTTTTCTGCATTTGTACCAAAAAGTTTTTCAATTTTATCTTTCATCTCTTGGCCTTTGGTTTGCCATTGCTTATTGTAGTACTTTTTTATAAGAAAACAAAAACGTAATTCCCAAGGGCTTTTGATGTAATTTGCAATGAATAAAAAACCATCTGCGACTGCCTTTCCCTGTAAGCAACTCTCTGTTATGCAGTTCTCCAATGACTAGAATACCAAGAGTAAAATTTCGATCTTATTTCACAAGATGCCATAAAAGAACACTGCCAAGAAAAAAAAAGGACGCAATAAGAGTACTGCTGTTGTTTAATCGCGTTCCCAAGCACGAACCATGTTTTGCGCAGCGGTCTTGGCGCAATAGATTTGATCCTTTTACAACATCGATTTGTTATTCATGTAAAAATCATTTTCATTGCATCGTGGAGAGTGAACAAGCAGGCAAAAAAAATGGTTAATAAAATGCAGGAAAAGAGGAGCAATTGGGCTGGGTCCAATCAGTGTTGTCCCGCCAACATGTGGAAACCCGCAAAAAAGAGTCGAAAAGCGATTGTGCGCCCTAACTTTAAACCCCGACATTATCATATTCAAGGCCCGCATTACAACGGCTCGTTGTTCACGGAAAAAGAGAGCAACCCATCCAACGTTTCAAATTTTGCTTGTCACTCGTGGACAATTTCTTCTATTCTCCTTGCTCCTCTTCCTTTGTTTCTCTTGATTACCTGAACATCTTGTCGACTTCAGCTCTATTTATCCATTAGGTGAACATCTGCAATTTCATTGTCATTCGTTACGCTCTTACGTTTTTAAAAAACCGTTCGTTCACCCCGGGTAACATTTTAAACTTACTTATTCTTCATCTTTTTCTACTATAGACTTTGCATATTCATCTCATCTCTCCTTGACGTCATTTCTCGTCAATATACATCATGGCGGTACGTATAATACAGCCATCCTTCTCATGCCATCAAAGAGGAAAAAGGCCGGCAGAACGGGGACAAATCACCGAACTAGAAGGAAAAAACAAAAAGCACCAGGAAAAAAAAAAAGAGCGACTGTCTTTGTATCAAGCGGCTATCAAGTTGCCAAGGATTCGTGTCCATGGGGAAATGATCACCCTGTTACTTTGGATATGAATGTTTTTGTTTTTATATCCATGTGTGGGTTCTGTCGGCTTTTAGATGATTTGATGGAGAAGCCGGTTTTGCGGGTCGTGGTTGAAAGCATGGGTTATACTTATTCGGGGGTTTGGTTGTTTTTTCCATTCCATTTTTTCTTTTCTTTCTTTTTTAGGACCAAGAATCACAGATCCAGTTTTTGCAAAGCAATATCGAGAAGAATAGAAAAGTGCGCGATACGGCCATTCACATGCGATCACTGCTCAAGGACCGTAATGCCATATCGCAATGTGAAACCGAAATCAGAGAATCACAGAGATACATTGATTACTTTACGGAAGAATTAAATAAGCTTCAGGCACGTTCTTTGCATCGTCACAGCTCCGATGGCGAATCCACCGCAACTCCCAGGTCAGCTGCGGACAGCGATACCCACGATCCTACTTCCAGTCCCGTTCAACCACAGGATCATCAAGGCTTGCCACCGCGAACAAGCAGTATGGTGCCAAAAGAGGATGCACGCAAAAAGAAATATTCAAATTTAGGTAAATTTCAACGTGTTTCTCCTCACCATGGCGACTCACACACAGCACACCCAACTTTTCTGTAAATTTTTTTTGATCAGATCTCTTAATGACCGCGACACCATACAACAAGCCCAAAGTCTCGTTGAAACTTCACGAGTTGGAGTATAAACTCGATGTTGAAAAGAACCTGTTGACAGGTTTCAAATCATTGGCTGATTTGCTGGATCGCGACCCTTCTTCCAGTGATCGCAAACGAAAAACCGAAGTTCAAGGACAATTGTACGAAAGTATGGAAAAGCTGGCTTTACTGAAACGATCATTACGAAAATATAAAAGCCTTTACATCGGAGAAGGCGATGAAGATGATTATGGTAAGTCTCCACCACTCGTGATTGTTATTTTGGTGTGATAAGGCGCAAGTCATTCACTAAAAAAAAAAAAAAAAAACCAACACCCAAATGACAGAATTGGAAACGCCGCCTTCGGCTCGTATGCCACCTGGTTTCCGTCGTCCTGTGACAGGCAAATTACAACTTCAGATCATTGAAGCGCGCGATCTTGCCCATGCACCTACGATTCGTATGAAATCGCCCGATACGGCTGTGTTTGTAAAAATCGATAACACGGTGGTGTTCCGTACCCGACCTTCACGTACCGATAAATGGTTTGAAGAGTGTGAAATCCACGTGAACAAGGCTTCGGAAGTGGAAATCTCTGTGTACGATCAATCCCTTGAAGGCAGTTTGCCCATCGGTATCTTTTGGCTCAAGATCACCGACATCGCCGATGGACTCCGCAAGCGCAAGATCCAGCAAGAAAGTGGTCCTGGTTGGGCCACCGCCGAAGTCGCTCAGCAGCATCCCACCACCCAAGGATCGCAAAGCAGTATCCACCAACTCCCTTCATCAGATTTCCCTCAAACTCAGGGCGGCAACGATGCCTCCAGTGGCGACATTGAAGCCTGGTTTGATATCGAACCTGTGGGTAAAATGGCACTGCGTTTGAACTTTGGTAAGTTGGAAGGCGGATAGCGATCAGGGATCAATGTTTTTGACTTTATTCCGGTTCATTAGTGCGTGAGGCGGCTCATCGTCGTCCCTTGGATAAACTGGGTCGTGCCGGTGCCGTGCGCCAACGTCGCGAAGAAGTTCACGAGATGAATGGTCATCAGTTTGTCGAAAAGAAATTCTACAACATCATGAAATGTGCTCTTTGCGATTCTTTCCTGGTCAACAGCGGTTATCAGTGTGAAGGTAGGATATCGAAAAAAAAGAGAAACCAAGGCAGCGGCTCTACTCTGCAGTCAACACTGTGTCTGCGATTTTGACGGAAATACTGATGGCTTGATTTCTGGGTTAGATTGTGAATACACATGTCATAAAGAATGTTACCAAAAGGTGGTCACGAAATGTATATCGAAATCTTCATCCGAAACGGTAAGAAGTGGTTGTCCACCGCATCTTCGCTATTTTTTTTTTGGTACTTACGGGATGGATTGGCTTGTTTTTGTTTTGTTGGTTCGAATGGTTTGTAGGATGCCGATGAAGATAAGCTCAATCATCGTATTCCTCATCGCTTTGTGCCCATTACCAATATTGGTGCCAATTGGTGTTGTCACTGTGGTTACATGCTTCCGTTGGGTTCGCGTGGTGCCAAAAAATGTTCAGGTAAGAACCCCTAGTAACGAATCGACATAGATCCTCATTGTAAGCGTCCTGCTGACATTTATTGATTTTTTTTTCCAAAGAGTGTGACATTACTTGCCATACCAAGTGTGCTCATTTGGTACCTGATTTCTGTGGTTTATCGATGGCGATGGCGAACCAGATGTTGGCCGAGATCAAGGCGGCCAAACGACGTACGCTCGAGACGGGACCTGCGCCTTCGACTTCGACCAAACCCAGTCGTCCAACCAAGCACGAAGAAGGCATGGCCCAGGATACATCGGTTCCTTCGACGCCTTCGTCGGCGCAATCGGCTCATTCGGCCCACTCGGATACGCTTTCGTCGCAACTGTCTCAAATGTCGATTCAGCCCTCTTTAGCACAAACCCCACCGGCCATGCTCCGACCGCAACCACAACAGCCTCAGCAGCCATCCATGCCTTTGCCGGGTCAACAGCCACCACGCATGCAAATGCCTCAGGGTCCTCCTCCATTACCTCAACATGGACAGCAGCAGTACATGTATCAGCGACCTCCTCCTCCATCCATGGACCCAAGATATCAACCTCATTATCAGCCTCAGCCATCCGGCTGGCCCTCGGGACACATGCAGCAACAGCAGCAGCAGCAGCATCAGCCACCTTACACCCAACCTATACCTAATCCCGCCATGATGGGTCGTCCTCCTTACAATCAACCTTATCCATCGATGGAAGTTGCTCCTAGAGTAAGCGTTTTTCTGACATCTTTTTTTTTTTGTTGCATACTGATCTCCTTATTTTTCTTTAGCCACCTCCAAAACATGCTGTGCAAATGCCGAGTCGTCGTGTCGGTCTGGATGATTTCAACTTTTTGGCTGTGTTGGGCAAGGGCAATTTCGGTAAAGTCATGCTTGCCGAAGAAAAGCATGACAAGAACTTGTATGCTATCAAGGTCTTGAAGAAACGATTCATCATTGATAACGATGAAATTGAAAGGTAAAAAAAAAACTCTTTTCTGCAGGTTTCAGTGATAAATACCAATTGGCTTGGGTCTGATCCTCACATTTTCGTGTAGTGTACGTTCAGAAAAGCGAGTGTTCCAAGCGGCGAATCGGGAACGTCATCCTTTCCTGATTGGTCTGCATTCGGCTTTCCAGACAGAGTCTCGCGTTTACTTTGTGATGGAGTATGTCAGTGGTGGTGATTTGATGTGGCATATTCAGCGTGAACCTTTCTCTGAGCGCCGTGCCAAGTTCTACGCTTGCGAAGTACTGTTGGCGTTGGAATACTTCCACAGTCAGAACATCATTTACCGTGATTTGAAACTCGATAATATCATGTTGAGTTTGGATGGTCACATCAAGATTGCCGATTATGGTCTTTGTAAAGAAAACATGGGCTATGGTCAAACCACCGGCACTTTCTGTGGTACACCTGAATTCATGGCGCCGGAAATTCTGCTGGAGCACAAGTACGGTCGTGCCGTGGATTGGTGGGCTTACGGTGTGCTCATTTACGAAATGCTTCTTGGACAAGTAAGCTCATCCAACTATTATATCCAACTATACAAATAACCATGGTGCTGATGACGGGTTTTTCTCTAGTCGCCCTTCCGTGGTGAGGATGAAGATGAAATCTTTGATGCTATTCTCGAAGACGAAATTCTTTATCCCATCAATATGTCCAAAGACTCTGTATCCATCTGTCAACGCGTAAGTCATTTTAAGCTCTATAATGTGAGATAAGAAAGGTTGAAGCATTTGCTAATTGTCAACTTTAGCTTTTGACGCGCGACCCTGAGAAACGTCTGGGTGCGGGACCGAATGATGCACTGGATATCAAGGAACATCCCTTCTTCCGTGGTGTGAATTGGGAAGACATGCTGGCCAAACGAGTCCCACCTCCTTTCTATCCTACGATTACCGACCGTCTTGATACGTCCAACTTTGACGAAGAATTTACCCGAGAACGACCTGCATTGACTCCCATTGACTCCAACTTGAACCGCGTGGAACAAACTGAATTCCAGGCCTTCTCCTATGTGGCGGAATGGGCGGCTTAATAATGATGACCTCTCCATCTTTTTTTTTAACTACTTGTTCTTTTCTTTTCTTTTTTTCCTTATCCTCTTTCGTAAATCAAAATACTTGTTTTTTTTCTCTCAATATATCTAAACAATTAAATCCTTATTAATTGGCGCTAATTTTCAGTCACAAGGCAGTCACATTGGGTTTTTGCTACATTTGTCGGCTTTGATTGGGTAATTTTTGAAAAAAAATATATATGATTGGTTGAAACGAAACCAGACAGCTGTTGATCGGCCCGACCTTTGCGCTCGAATTTTTAACATGAAGCGTAAAGCTCTGATGGAAGATCTAAAGAAGAACCATGTTTGGGAAGAGTCGTTACCCATGTACACACGGCGGAGTTTTAGAAGCGAGGCTTACTGCATCTTCATTTACTTTTTGTGCTACATCCAGACGATAAGCCGAGAGCACTTGATGACTATGATCGTATCGTGTGTGCCGAACTTCCGGACAGAGAGAGATTTCCTGATCTCTACGACACCGTCAGCAGATGTATGATGCACCGTCCGTGTGGAACAAAGCATCCGAGGTCTCCCTGCATGGAAAACGGCTCATGTAAAAAGCGTTACCCGCGCTCCTTCAATGAAGCTACTATCGAAGAACTCAGTGGTTACCCGTGGTCGTCGCAACAATGGTGATTTTGTGGTCAAGAACCATGTCCAGTTGGACATAGATGGGTTGTTCCCCACAATCGATACCTCTGTGGAAGATATAACGCTCACCTTAACGTCGAAATCTGTACTTCTCTGGAAAGCGTCAAATACATGTACAAGTATGTTTACAAGGACCACGATCGTGCTGCAGCAGCAATTTATCATCCCGGCAATGACAGAAAATGTCAGGCTCCTGACCCGTTTGCGCTTTGGATGCAGTTCCGCCAGCATTTGGCAGAAGACTATTTCCATTTTTGGAGCAATCAAAATCAAGACAATGATCATCAAATTGAGCCGCCCCAAATCGTGTACGATCGCGCTTTGCTGGACATTGAAGAGCATCTGAACCGCCAATCGAGTTCACTGCTGAGTTACGATCGCTTTGTTCTTCCTGATCGCCAAGAAATTGGCAGAAGCACACTTCGCCGTCAGCCCAGACTGGTAAGAGAACAATTCGATCTCATCGCAGACGCTGCCAATGTTCCCCAAACACACGAGTACCTAAACCGTTATCAACATGCCGTATACCACGCAATTCTCCAGAGTGTCACGCATGGAAGCAACGAATCAGCCCGATTGTTCTTTGTTGATGGTCCTGGTGGCGTCTTTACCCTTATGTTGTTGTTTTATTATTCCTTTATATTTTACTGTATGTATTTTGTCTTATGCTCCTTTGATTTCATCCTTTGCTATGATTTTTCAAGTTATTCTTCACCTTTATGTTTTACTGTATGTTTTGTGTCCTTATATTCCTTTTGATTTTATCCTTATGCTATGTTTCCCCAAGTACGATTTTTTCTGTTATCTATTTTTGTCTCTCCATTTAATATTATACGATGTCTGACTATTTCCGTTCCTAACTTTGTGTACATATTGTTCTGTCGTGGATGAAGAAAATGATCGCTATGTGGCGGTAGGTCAGGGGGGGGGGAAGACCCCCGGGAAAAAAGAAAAAGAGACTGTACTACTCTGTTGTCCATTGAATACGCAAAGATTTATGCGCACATCAACTAAATCTTACCGAAAAATCAACCGCTTATTGACAGAAGATTAGAGTTAAGAGAACACCATCAAGCGAGACCTTTTGGATACACAAATTCGAGTGCGGAGTTCTGAATATTGCAAATGGAGATGGAGCATCCCATTCCAAACGCATCTTTAATCAGCTACTATTCCCACTAGCCTCAGATTAACAACAAACTACAGACCGAAAGAGCATAACTTTGTGATCTTTAAGATCACAGGCGCTACTAGTCTATATCAGTATCATGGACGTATATTTGTGCAAATGCAGGTCGTTGGCCATTAGCAGGAAGTAGCGATCCCATCAAGTGGTAAACACTTCCATGAATACGGAAGCAGTAAGCGCCCCGTCTGCCATTCATTACACTTTTGTCTAAATTTACACCAAGAGAAGTAAAACTGAGAGCACTACAATAATCACATGATCTACACCAAGTTATCAGGGCCTGTTAAACCTTTTTTTTTATCTTTCAACCATGCCTCGCTGCCCACTTTCACGATAATAGGCGAAACAATCAGCAGCAAGATGCCGTTTGCGCCAGTTGTGGTTAAACAGAGTATCGTCGTCTTTCGAATAAAAATGTGAGTAGAGCTCTTTTTGAAGAAAAGTGGTTGATGATACGACTGGCGTTCTTCTGTAGCATCATTCAATTTGGTTTTTTTTTTGTCAGTTATACTGTATGTCCTTTCATTCTCTTTCAATTCAATGAATCGAATAATACATAAGCAGACGTGCTTCGATCTATGAATTCATGCATCAGTGGGGTGACTATTGTTTCATCCATGGAAAATCATACACTTTGGTCTTCAATTTTATCTTGATTTTTTCTCTCTCTTTCTGTTTACCTGAAAAACTCTCGGTATCATTGTATCAAGATCCCATCCGCATCCATCATCCAGACCATTCTTATCCCGTGTATCTAACCTGGTTAAATCGACTACCATCGATTTTGCTCCGGCAAAACAGACTTATCTCTCCTTTACTTCCATCCTTCTTCCAGCTTCCGGTTTCCATTTTCTTTTCGCATGTCAAGCTCTGGATACTACAACTTGACTTTCTCTAGCCATCCATCCATCCATCTGGCGAAACAGGATGACGTCAAAGGCCATCGACGGTGGTGTAACTCTCTTTTTCATCGGAAAACGCTACGCGTCCTCTTCATGATCCTCTCCTTAGGATTGCTTCTCATGATATGGTATTCGAGATGTCTTCCCGATTATTGTATTTTGTAGTTCATATTTTGTATTTTATATTTTATATTTTATGTACATATTCTTTTCGCAGCCTTTTCCTCTTTTTTTTTCCCACAGGGTTTTTTAGGAGGTTTTTTACTGACGCGACCATTGTTGTTTTTTATCATCATGTACTTTATTTGTTTTTCTTTCTTTTTATTCGGGGGACTCTCGATATCTGGAATCCAACTCGAAATTACCGTCACTTCTGGCCACGTCAATATTTTTTGCCTGCTCAAGCTGACACCACCGATCCATCGCTTAACTGTCCCTGGAAGCAATTTTATTTATCGCATCGAAGAAGAAGCTTACCTGGCGGTCCGTAGCATCTTTTTTTTTTCCGGTACACCATTTGGTTCAAAGGCAAGTCCAATTTCTTTTCCTTTGCTATGATGTAGTGAACGTATACTAATTCAAATTTTTTCAATGTCATATAATCCAAGTCATGTCAAGCGATCAATGGCTCTTGCAAACTCAATAACAAAGGTAAAATATCTTGACGAAAATTTAAATCAATCAAAGAGCTTACTAACTCATTTTTTTAAATACTCAACATACCCACACATCTTTCTAGATCTATCATAGCCTGGGCGGGATGGAAGTGAGGGGGTCAATCAGTGCTGCCCTGCGCGTGTTCAGAAACAAATCACGTTGCAACGTATGCCATAAGGTTGTCATTAATATACCGAAGTTTCGTCAAGAGTTCTCGCCCAGGTTATGCCGTGTATGCGTTAGGCTTTTTGTCTGACGAAAGTCGCTCAATGTAAGAGGGCGGCCTCCGGTGGCAGGCGGCATCCATTGCACAGCGGGTGTACGGCTTGTTAAAGTACACATAAAACTATACTAGGAAAAGTTTCTTTTGGCCTTGGTAAAAATACGAAAAGCAAAAGGTGGATATCGTTTTGTGAAAGCGTATAATTTATGCTTCAATATGTGACCGGCTTTAAGCTGGCTTTTTTTTCCCTGGCATTACCAAAAGCGAGCCACGAGCCAGTTGACTTGTTTTTTCTTTGCATCATGGCTCGTCGACTGTTTTCCACCTTCCGTGCTTTGGCACATGAGAATCCTTTGGTACATTATCCTAGCCGGGCTAATCCTAATAGCTCATGATACTAGTATTGAACAAGACATCCTCATTATCTCTTTTTCATTTAGGGTCTTCCTAACCGACGAGCACCACCACCCACGATTCCCCGTGCTCAGCGTGGTTTGCCGAAAAAGATGCCCATTCGAGGCGTCGATAACGTAATTGCTGTCGCCTCGGGAAAAGGAGGGGTTGGAAAATCCACTACTGCAGGTAACGTTTTTGTAGCGCCCTTTGAGTCCAAAGCAAAACAACGAAAAAAAAAACAAAAAAACAAAAAAACTGACAGTAGACCATGTCTAGTCAACATTGCGCTCGCTGCAGCAAGCTTGAAAAAAAAGGTGGGAATCCTTGACGCCGATATCTTTGGACCTTCGATTCCGTCATTAATGAACCTTGAAGGCGAGCCCGAGTTATCGGATAAAGGTAACACACACTTGCTGATCGATTCCATTTGACAGCCGAAATTCAAATATTGATCGTCCCGTATTAGGTGACCAGCTGATTCCACTCACCAACTATGGCGTAAAATGCATGTCGATGGGTTTTATGGTGGATAAGGAGGCGCCTATTGTATGGAGAGGGCTGATGGTAATGAAGGCGTTGCAACAACTACTACATCAAGTGGATTGGGGTCATTTGGATTTACTTGTCATCGATATGCCGCCAGGCACCGGCGATGTTCAACTGACCATCAGTCAACAAGTAGAACTGGATGGTAAGCGCACGCAGATGCAGAAGTCAGGTTGTGACGGACCCAGTTGACTTACAGGATGGATGTTAGGATCGGTGATCATCTCCACACCACAAGATATAGCCCTGATCGATGCTGTCAAGGGTACCAACATGTTCAAAAAGGTCAATGTACCGGTAAGTATGGCGATAAAAGAAAAAAGAATAAAGAATAAAGAAGGATCACACAAACTGATTCAGGATGACTAGATTCTTGGATTGGTACAAAATATGTCCTTGTATATCTGTCCCAACTGTCATCATGAGAGTCATATTTTCGGACATGATGGCGCCCACCGAATGGCAGAAAAAATGGATATCCCTTTTCTCGGCGAAGTGCCATTGCATGCTGATATTTGCAAACTGTCGGATGCTGGTCAACCGATCGTTATCTCCCAACCTGATAGTCCTTTTGCCGCCCACTACCGACAAATTGCCACCAACATTCTCAATAGCCTACCTGCGAAGCCTGCTAAACAATAAACCTTTTCTCTCCTATTTTCCATCTCAACAAGACGAATGTTTTGTCACAAACTGGTGTCCTGCAAAGAAAATATACCCTTTGTGCAATAATGTATAATGCATCGAGAAATCGCTGTCATGGCCATTCGGAAAAGGATCAAAAATGATTTATTCAAGTACGATGGGGTTGTCAAGAAGGCGGTATAATGAAAATATCTATTCAAGAATATATGAAATAAGTTTAGATGTATACAATATGAAATGAAGTGTGATGGGGAGAGGGAGAGAGAGAGGAAAAAGATAGACCAATGCGGTTTAGTGCTTGGGTGAATGATTTTCTACATTGACGATACTGAATCGTCGATGCGCTCTGGCTTCGGCGGATCGTTCCTTATCTTCGCCACCGTGGAATCCGCCTGTGCCCATGATGACCCATTTAACCGTGCCTTGTCTCAAACTGGCACAGTAATCCGAAGGAAAATGATCATTCATGAAAAAGGGGCAAAGCACGCGAAAGATGAGACGCACAAACGTTTCTCGTGGAAGTCGGCGGATCACATAACGATTCAGTAAACCGGAAAGATGAAGAAAAGAAATCGGACGAACAGGAACTGGTTCGTTGGTATACGGATTCGGCGGATAAATGGTAATGTTGTAAGCAGAATCGATAAACACAAGTGTACCAGGAGGCGTTCTACACAAGATTCATTCATTCAAAATGAGCTTCTTTGCCTTTACTCTAATTTTCTTCTCATCTACTTACTCGTATTTAGACCATGTCGGTACTCGTGGTACGATATCTACAGAGAAATAATCAATTTCATGAGCCACCCGCGCCATGATAATGTCCTGAAGTAACAGATAAAACCACTTACCGTTATTGTAAGCGTGATGGAAAATCTTGCTTGATAATTTGGGATCGAAGATCTTTGAAAAACCAGCATCACCGATCTTTGGTTGACCAAACGTGTAGAGTCCAGCAAAGTGTTCCAGCAGAGGGCTTTTGGATTGAAGCATCTTGGCCAAGAAAACTTGAAAGAAAATGAGTTATAATTCCAGCGTTTCATGGCGATGGTGACTTACTTGTGCCTAAAGCGCCTCCCAGGGAATGGCCGGTAATAAATAACCGTTTTTTCCGGATTTTTTGTTCTCCACTGCTGTTACTCTGATCGGATCGTCGACGCATTTCCTTGGTGGTGGGTACCTCCGCGTCGGCCATGTGACCTCCATCTTTGGCAATCAGTTCCAGAATATATTTTTCCGCCATGGCGTACATGCTGCGTGTCCGAATATCAATATCCGGTCCAATCCAGCTACTGTCGACGGGCTCGGCTACATGGTGGAAGAGGTTCAGGGTAAGGAATTTGATGATTTTGATGGCGGCCTGAACAGTGGAAGCGATGGTGCGATAAAGAGAGGCACTGTTTAATTCAATGCGTAAAGTAGACGGTGGTTCCTCGGGTTCGGGATGGGACCTGGACTCTTTTCGCCGAGGAATCGGGTCGCCCATGGCATCCCAGAAACCCTTATGAACCTTCCCCATGGGACCCCAAGGCGCTTTGATTTCTCCCATGCGTGCATTGATATTCGTGACATAATTTTGCATGTTCAATGGGTTGGTGCTGTATATCACAGGGTCCAAAATAAGCAGGGTTTACATAGCAACAAATAAACACGTGAATCCAATCTGATCCCGGATCTTACCCTCGGAACACCAATAGAATATCGTCGTTCTTTTCCACAATAAATGCGCAGATATTCTACGTTGCCAAAAATTCAGTCCACACGATCATCTTTCTTCTGGGTAGGGAAGTAAGGGGGGCGGGGTGGGAAAGAGGGGGTAAAAGGGGAAAAATTCATACCTTGTAAGCAATGGGTTTGAACGTATTCTCCACATCGAATCCAGCTTTTTCTAGCTCATATTTGATGACAGCAATGTCTTCATAAACCAGTTTACTGGCTACAGCCACGGTATAGGCCAAGGACAGAGAATATCGAGGTCGCTTAATGAGATCCATCACGGCGTTAACGTCATCGCCTTGTTGCTCGCACAAGCGTTTTCGCATCTTGAACTGATCACCGCTCTCCAAACTCTTGGTAGGCGGAATGCTATCGTCAAACATGTTAATGACGGGATCCATGGCACCTATGATGGCTGTGTTTTTTTTGCGTTAGCAACGAAGAGTCGGTCCGAGCGAATCACGACGTCATTGGTTACTTACAGTAATCTCGCTTGGTGGGATGCTGTCCTGCAAAGCGTCGTAGCACGGCCCTCACCAGGTGATCGCTCATGAGCAGGACAACGAATCCGAGAAAGAAACCGCATCGGATGACAGCCGAGAGTAAAGGACCGATGATTCGGGTCTTTGACAGGTACGTAGCGATAGGGCTCAGGATACGACTGATACGTCCCAGACATCGAAGGATAAACGGGGCGCCGTGCTTTAGGGTTTTGTAACTGACAAAGAGAAAGGTGGAAAGGCCCATAAATATGAGGGACAGGGCAAAAAGGAGAGTGCTCAAAAGGATGTGTTCTCTTCCGACAGCATAAACGGCAAACACAGCTGGTATGGAAGAGACGCAAAAGGAAACACAAAAGTAGAATCGATTCTTTCCATTCGCCATCGCCTCATAAAAAAAATCAAAAGGAAGGAAAATCGATTTCAAGTAAATATCAAGTTAAAACAAGGAAGAAAGCACCGATTTTTTCGGTGGGCTATTTTGTGATGGGGAAATCAGAAGGACGACAGCTGTCCTTGAGCCCAGTTTGTGGGGCGATTTCAGAGCGAGCGATCAGACTCTGCCTTCACATGGTCTCACTTACAGTCGGAGATTCTTGTACCTCGAATTCTATTGGCTTGCATTAGCTGCGTGTTCGTTCATCTGGCCACTGATTTTTGTCGCTGTGACGGCGAGTTTTCCGGCAACTGTCTGTCCTGCTTTGCAAAGTGGTGATCCCCCCTTGAACGATCTAACCCAACTGCGCAAAAAATATGATCACCGAAGATGAGTATGAAGAAGAAGTTTGTATTCACTCACCTATATTTTATGATCGTGAAAACCAAATACTTACCGATGGTTGGATTAGACTGTTTATTTAGAACTCGATCTAGGCAGCAGTATCAGCGCTGAAACCGTTGAAGCCGCGGTACAAAGTGGCGAGCCATGTGCACTCATTGTATGTTGTAGTTGAGGGTGGGCATGTTGAGAAAACGGGTGACAGCCATTGTTCTTACGCGTCAATATAGGGCATTGATAGCGACACTCCATATTTTCAGCTTGGACCGTATATATTCGCGGGCGACTTTGACGAGACGGTCGGGACCCACCTCCTGTTCGAAATAACAGAAAAGCAACGGGATGCGACAGGTACGCGTTTAATGAGCTTGTTTTTGTTGAAGAAAAAACAAAACCAAGTCCAATTATGGCTAATAACCAACTGTCACTGTGGTAGGTTTTTTGCCTTTGCTTAGTTCCATGCGGTCGGAGAATACCGAGACGACGAAAACCACACGCTTCACAACCACCTTGCAGCATGCCGTGAACAAAGTTATCAAGTTTCAACGAGTGGAATTAACCAAGAAAACGCAAACAACTTCATCAGTCCGAAACGAGAAGGAGACAGTTGCTGATGTTGAGACTAATGACCATATTCTCGATGACTTGCAGTAATGTCGGGTGGCTTTTACCTCTTTTTCCTCTCTTTCCTCTCTTTCCTCCTTCATCTATTTTGTACATACAGTTCGTTTTTTTTTTTATTCGTTTCATCGCACTGCATCTGTAACTACCCCTACGAGTTTCTTGTTTGCTACGAGGAACAGGCGGTTTCCTCATTGAACTTTTTTCTATTATTTCCTTTTCATTGATACCGAAGGCATGGTGACGAACAGAATTACACTTTGCTATCATCGGACAAGACCAACCTAAGCGGTTTCCTTGATTATTTATTTTTTTCATTTTTACTTTCTTTACGGTAGATATTTAAGGTCATGTCACGGACAGAATTGCACCCTCTGTCATCGGTCGAGACGAAGCTCGAGCCTAAACAGACACTGCACCCAATCTGTCAGTGGAATATTCTTCAATTGATAGACGATTTCAATGTTTCTTCGATAGCCACCGAAGTAACCATCTCACACGAACGCTTTTTAAGTCAATCGTTAAATTTCTTCAAAAGTTTGCACGATTCCCCAATGAATTCACTCTTTTATACCTTTTTCGAGACGAAAATTTTTTTCTTTTTTTTTTTAACTTTCCGCTCTCCCCCAATAAAAATGGTCACACATGTTTCCATAGTCACCGTGAACCCCCATGCGCCAATCATGTTCAGTCACGGCATCAACTTGTGGTTTTCTTTTTTTTTGGAAGACACAGCAGGATGGCCAAGCCATGAATCGTCCCATATATGATAACAGATTCACAGACGCGTAATAAGACCTGAAACGGGGTTCATCTTGAGCACCGAAACATAAATAATGTGAAATCAGTCATGAATTTTAACGTGACGTTTCTGATGAGGCAAAACTTTTGCCTGTTGTATCGTTCTTATTTGGATTTCGTCTCACTGAAATGGCCCGCCACCTGGGCTTGATAATAACACAATGAATTGTAAGCACAGCTAAAGAAAAAAGAGGGCGCTGCCCCCGATATTGGCCATGGATAGTATAGATACCAGTTGAATGTATAAAGAGGCTGGCTGTCCATAGGGATCGGACATTGAGAGTATCATCTTATGATATGATGGGCGAACTGGGAGGGAAGAAGAGTTGTACGAAAGATGATCCGCCAGAAACAAGTTTGTGAATCGAGAAAAAATAGGTCTTTACTGTAAGAAATTTATAGACCTTCTGTTGCGATACAAAAAACGGGCCTGGAAGTGACAGACTGTAGAAGCCTTGGAGAGGCATTCGTTACTGTACGGATCACCAAGGTAGTAGAGTACTGTTGTCACCAATTAAGAATCATTCATTTGAAAGGGGAAGGGATTTGGATCGAACGAAAACGCATCAATGGATTGGATACATTCATCTTATTCACGTTTCATGATTCCCATGAAGAGAGACCCTTATCGTGTTTTTCTCAGAAACCGGGAAATGTTGTCAATGGTGGATTTCCTATTTAGTGTGACGATTGTTTGTATGATAACCAACAAAGCAGCCATCAAAATAAAACCTCTTCATAAAGTAAGAAAATGACGTAAATGAGATCTATTGCTCCATGGTTTTATATGGACCGGTTTAGGCAAGGTGAATACATCAAGTCTATCCACATAGTTTATTGCAATAGGAAATCGCCATCGCGTAGAATCTATCGAACCCAAGAAGGGTCGATATGACAAGGAAGACCATCATATGATGGATCCATTCTTTTTTCGGTCAAAGCCTTGATCCGAGGGGAAACAAGTGATTGGAATGGGTGAACCGGGAACGAGTTGCCGCAGCGCGCCTTTTTTTTTTTTTCCTTTTGAAAATGCGCTTTATTTTTATTTTTTACATTAAATATCCATCATATGATTGGGAGAATGATATGCCAAGTGAAATAATATGGTTTGCCTAGTGTTTGCCTATGGGGATGGAGGAAATGGAGATGATGGATGCATAACCGATGGGGGAGGGAGACGGTGGGATTTTCTTTTCGGGATTATTTCCTGGTGATACACCAATGTTGCTTGACAATTTTTTTTTTCTTTTTTAAAACTCGCGTTGTTGAGTCCATTGCAACATACATGATTCGATTCCGAATTGCGGATGATGGTAAAAGAAGGGGATCAGAGGAATGTAAGCGGTGGAAGGGCGTCTGACCACACCGACGGAAGGGAGCGAATGATAGGTGGGTCTGAGACGGGAGGAAGGCGCCGCAGTCAGAGTGGATGAGGAAGGGGGTGGCAGTATGCTGGAAAGGGGCGGAAGGCGCTGAGCAGTAGCATGAGCATGAAAGGTGGGTATTTGAGCCGAGGAAGAAGCGGATGCAGTAGAAAAGGACGCCGGTAAAGTGACAGAAGACGGTTGAGATGCTACGGTCAAGGGACGATAAGGAGGATGCATGGACTGGGGGTCTTCTTTACGGAAAGGATCGGTTTGCATCAATGGATCCTGTTCGGCTGGATGTCTTTGTGTGGCATGATAGAGCATTGAGTCGTGGGCTGAAGAATTCGTCTTTATTCGTTTATGAGGGGAATTTTCAAGTGGGGTTTCTTGACGACGCATTCGCTGGATGAGATCAAAGCAGGAAAAGGAAGACAAATTTACTTGGATTCATCGCCCTTTATCTTTTTATACCACTGCAAATCAAAAAAAAAATAAAGGAACCAAAAAATCACATCGATAAAAATCGCATTATGCTTGACTGACACAGGTTTTTTATTTCAACCATATCTTTTGGTTTCTCTTTTTGTCGCTTCTCCTTTTATTCTTCATTGTTCCATAAACGGAATATACGGAAGAGTCGGAATAAGTAATTTTTCATTTGCATTCAAAAAATAGAGATGTCCATGCTCCAACCAAGACCTGAACAGAAATAAATGATTTCTATCCAAGCCATCAATAAATGAAGGAGGCACCAGTCCTTCTCGAACATGCTGTAGAGATACAAGTGTACTAAATAATCCCACTGCATCTACAATAAAATGCTCTTAAAATGAGTGCCGTTTTTTGAATCCCCGTTTCCATCTACGTCAACTTCATGTCCATTGGCTGTAAATTGTGGGTCATGTGTTCCATCCCACTCATCTCGCTGCCTGTCATTTTCAATGCAGGAAGCTCCCAAATATGGCCATTCTTCTCTCTGCCACACGATAAACAAACAACATACAGTACGCCTCCACAAAAATTTATAACCTGACTCCTTCTCGACATCTGTTTTTGTCATCAACTCACTCTCTCTGTTCTCTCTGTCTCCCCTGTTTATTATTTCCTCTCATTTTGTCCCGGTAGCGATAGATTATCAGCTGCGTCAATGCCCTTTTATGATGATTCATGTCGTCCGAAAAAAAAAAAAACTTGGTCCTGAAAGCGGCCGGAGTAATGCCATTGAAATGACAATTTCACACCATATGTCTCGTTGTCGGTGAAGGATGTGTAAGGCAAAGTAGATATATTTGTACAAGCGCGAACTCTTAATTATTGGATCATCGTCGAATAAACTTTATTGCATGACATTAGTGACCGGTTGGCGTTCCGTAGCCGTACAATATGGCGTCAAAGCTTGCTTTGCTTTTGGCGCCAATCCTTCAAGCCCTAGACCATTCAGCTCAGCCCGGATAGTATAGAATTGTCAAAATACACAGTCTGTACGTGTTGTTGTCTTGACTGTCGTTTGGATAATCCATTCATCGTTGTTTGCGACTAAATGACCAAGTGGTTTCAAGGGTAGGTAACATCCGTCACCATTTCCCCTCTCAAAGTCAATTTTCATGGATCAGTGGTACTCTTTTGTAGGTGACCAACTTAGAAAGTACGGGAATAATATCGGATATCCGAGCCACGCCATTCGGAAATACCAGCGGTTACTTGCATTAGCGAGCAAATACGAACTTGCAGCCAATCGAACAACGAATTGCACATCCCACTTGGCAGTTGTTATCGTATTGGCGACCATGATCAAGTCGCCGACGGGCGACTTTCAGGCACAATGTGATTTCTCAGTTGTCCGTGACGCAAGGCAAGTAAATTTAAAAGTCCTACTAGTGTTGAATGGGATTTAATCTTGTACCGTCGATAACCAGGTAAAAAGAACAGGTCTCTGAACTTTGCAAGAGACATGTTGACAAATGATAGATTACTCCCTGGCAGGATCTTAGCGATTGAAAGATAATAAGTTGTTATTTATGATACACGTACATTGGTAAACGCGGCATTCACAGAGCGACCAGTTGGACAGGCAAGAGTGCACGGCACCTAACAAAGCTAAAACCAAGGACCATTTATGTCAGCTTATTTCCCCGCAATCGAATGATGCCTTTTTCAGCACTTCCTTCTTTCGTGTTCTTTTTTTCCAACAATAAAAAACAAAATATGATATCATTTGCACTGATCTCATTAGGTGGGACAAGGATTGACGGTTTGGGAGAGCCTTGACTTTATTTGGTAAGGTTCGCGTATCACGTGACGTGATTCGCGTTTGAATAAAAAAGCAGCTTGGGATTCCCCGATGACCTCCTTCTTTCGGAACTTTGACATTATGGGTGCCACGGACAGTAAGCTGGCCTTTCGAAAAGGTGTCTTTCGACTTTTCGAAGAAAGAGTATGTATCGAGCACTCGTTGTAAAAAAAAAAGAGCCAAAATCAAACTGTTGTGAAATCCATCGAAATAAACAATCTGGTTTCCCCTTTCTTGTTTTGCTGATAACGCATACAGAACGTTCCCGTCAATGCGCTCGAGTACTGGTCCCTCGTGAGTATCTCTTTTTCTACATATTATTAGCTTTTATCTTCTTCTTTCCCTCTCGCCATAGCGCTCATCATGACTAGTTCTGGACATTACCCGAAACAGCCGACGATGTATTCTCTTTAATAGGTGCCAACGATATTCGTCGTGCACGAGATTCAGCAAGAGAAAATCTAGAAACCCTTATTGACAAGGTAAATTGACGACAACAGCCGCCTCGTTTTTCTTTTCCAAAATGACCTTTGACGTTATTCTGTTGGCTCTGTTGCAAACACCCAGATAATGGAACACATGGACACATTAGTTCATGCTCCCGATTTCCCATCCGCCCAACACTCCGTCACCTCGCTTTTGAATTGTTGTCGTGTTCTCACACGTATCGTGCCTTACATTTTTGAATCGACCGAATGCACCGAGTGGGAGGAAAAGTTCTTTTGGGTACCGCGATCGGTAAAACGGGCACCGTCGACGGTAACAGGAGAATCCCAGGTACGGGTACATCGTTTTCTTTTCTTTCATGCTGAGCCTTTTTTCAGTCCCCACTTAAGCGGGCCAATTGAATACCTTTTTGTTGATGGAGTGAATGATTGGTTTTTTTTTAGGAAGGAACAGCGAATGATCAAAAGGAGCAATATGATATTTTGCCACCACGAGCTGAGATTTTGATAGCGTGTAAGTTGGGGAAAATATGGATCGACAGAGACAGAGTTGGATTGTGTTACACGGGTTGCTGAGCAATACACCATCCCATAGTGACGTTGCGATGTCTCTTCTTGGCAGGATTCACTTTGCCACACAATATGGGCACCGCCGATTCTCACGTCAATTATGTGATTTGGGAAACTGGTGTCGGCTCTTCTACCCCGATTGGGTCCTTTAGAGATAACGACATACATCGCACCGAAGTACTGCGTTTGCTGGTCGTGCTACTATCGAGATCTATGTATATTTCACCCACCCACATACTGTCAACCGAGGATCGATGGTTGCATTTTATCGTGACCAAAACCGAACGAAAGATCGTGCTTGCCTTGTTATGCAGTCTGTTGAATACCGCTTGTAAATACAATCCTCTCGGTTGGGGAGTGCCTTATAATCATGTCATGTTCACCGATACGCGAGAACAGCTGGTGGCCGTGTCTTTGCGTGTATTACTGGTCATTCTGGACTACCACTCGTCTCGTGCGGCCATTTCCATGCGAGCCTTGGATCAAAGACAAGGTGATACCTCCTGCCTGGAAATCGTTTCCGGAATCGAAGTCTTATCGCTTGACGAGTCACAGCAGGTCAGCGAACTGCACTCATCTTCCGCCTCCTCGGTCGCCAATTCAAGTACACACAGTCCATCCGCCGAAGAGCTATCACGCGATATCAACAATCCCAACGATAACATCTTTAAGCACTATCTTTCAAAACTGCATCGCGCTCAAGACTTTCAATTTTTGAGCGACGGCATCTATCGCATTCTCAGCAACCCAATGCAGGTAAGTGATTTGACTGATTGTCCATATTTGCCGCCCTACTTATTGTGTGTTTTTTTGGGGGATTTTCTCGCAGGCCAATGCCAGTTATCTACCGGGATCCACCAAACGTGTTCGCTGCCACGTAGAAATGATGATGTTATTTTGGAAATTGTTGGAAACAAACAACGTATGAAAAAAATTGCTGTCGAGCGAATGATGTTTTTGCGAGGATGCTTACATTGCGATTTTCATTTTTATAGCGATTTCGAACTTACCTAGTGGAAACTGAGCGTGTGTTGGATTTGATGGTAGTGCTAATATTCCACGCAATGGAAAGCAAAATGAATGCCGGTATGTGCTGTGATTCTGGAGCATGCCGCATATGAATACGCTGGACTCATCCGGAATCCATTTTTAGCACAAGTAGGCTTGGTACGCATGTGCGCCTTTCTTTTGCAGAGCTTGTCCGCTGACCGAACCTTTGCCGTCAAACTAAACCGCCCCTTTGAGAACCATTCGTCTTTACCTGCTAGTATTCGCATTCCCAATTTTAGGGGGACATATGCAGATTTTTTTATCATCGTAAGTGCAGCAACACCTCGTGTGACCTACCGGTGAAGGCACTTATTCCTTTTTCCCTTTATGATAGTCTATATTCACTCTGATAGCGAGCTCCCGTGGTTCATTATCCACCTTGTATCCAGCCCTTGTATTAACAGTGTCGAATGTATCGCCCTATCTCAAGGGTCTTTCGGTCACCACGGCTACAAAGCTGATGTCTTTGTTTGGATCCATTTCGGCTCCTGGGTTTTTATTGGCCGATGAAGTCAATCATCGATTAGTGAAATATTTATTAGAAGCCTTGAATTGTATTATCCAATATCAGTCCTCAGGTAAGAAAAAAAAGCATGAGCAGACAACCGACGGCGAAGTTCTTATTCTTTCTTTTGCTAGATAATGTGAATCTAATCTATGCTATTGTTCGCAACCACAGCAAATTTGAAAAATTGGCCAGTTTAACTTTGAAGGATGCAGTGGATGAAATTGAACGTGTACGCCAGTTGAAGCAAGAAAAATTGCTAGCTCTGCAACAGCAGCAACAGGCAGCGGCGGCGGTCAAGCATGGAAAGGGGCCTGCAACCGAGGATCAGGACGCTCCTACTACGCCTGGTGCGGAGGCCAGGATATACAGTGAACCGGGTGAAGCAGAAGGTCTGTCAGAAAAAGCGCGCGGCAAGTTACCGGAAGGCGTGTCGCCTCCCTTATCGCGGACATCAAGTACGGCCAGTGTACGGAGTCACACTGGTATGCCGCCCCGACAATCAAGCGTTTCTTCCACCTTATCTGCAGGTAGCTTGTTACCGGGGGCCAAACACGGCTTCACACCGACTGAAGAATGGGTATGTTGAATTTTCGATGTTGTTGGAGGAACGCTCCGTATTGAACATATGATCTGTAGATGGAAGGCTGGCATTCCCAGCTTCCTTTGGAGACGATTCTTGCTTTGCTTGACTATCTGCGCCCTCAAGTTGAAGCCTTGTGTGCCGAGGACAGTGCTGCTTCGGAACCGCAAGTACTCGAATTCTTGCGCGGGGTGACATTGGTCGGCGTTTTACCTCCGCCTCAACCGATCGTGATCCGCAAATTCCAATGGGGTGAAGCGCTGGTCATCTGGTTCCGATCCATGCTATGGGGCCAAGCCTACGTTGTCTCCATTTCCAATTACAGTCCCTGGAAGGGCACCCATGTCAAATTATTCCAAATCAAGCAACAACCCTCCCATCCGCCGCCCGAATCCCCTCGTCCCCCTTCTGTTACAGCGTAAATCATCTTCATCTACTAGGAATAGTAACAATCGAAATCAAACCATTCCAATGATTCTCTCATCATGCTTCTTTTTCATTCGCCCTGGTCTTTTTTTTTCTTATCAAATGTACATCATCATCAGTAAAAACGCCCATCAACGTCGATTAATTTAACGGCTTGACTATTTTTCTACAAAGTGTTATCTTCAGATCTACTGGTTTTATTTATCTTTTTGCTGCTGCCGCTTTATGTGATTTTTTCTCGCTTCTATATCATTGAAGCAGCCCTTGCATATCATTTTATTTTAATGCAATATAGCTCGAATTTTACTTACGAAGGCACCCTCTGATCGGGTCAGTCTTTAGGTTTGCCGATTTTTTTCTGTTGAAAAGAATTACTGGTTTACTCCGACTTCTTTTGTTTCCGGCATTCGACCAAGTGAAAAACTATCACAGAGACTGGAAAGTGGTTCAAGGCGACGGTGAAAATGTAACATAAAGATCGGTGAGATGACACCGTTTGAATGATTAATGTGGCAGTCACATTGTTTTAAATCATAATCTGTCGCGCGCATATCGGCACACCATCATGATGAGTGGGTGAGAGCTGCATGGTAGTGCAAACTTTATTTGTTGGCGCACCCAGAAAACCCCAGACCCCTTCCGCGCATAGGGTGGCAGATGGTGTTGGATAATATTTTAGAAAAAAGAGGGATTCTTTTTTGCTCCGATCGCTTTTTATACATGCTGGAACGATTTTTTTCAATCCAAGAAAAACTCAGATGTGGATGTTCTTAACTCCTGAAAGCCGATCGCCTTTTTTTTGACATTTGATCATGGCACGTCCTTTGCTGTAGCGAATAGTCAACGTGTACCTGTCTTAATTGAACTAAACTTTGTGCAATGTTGCAGTCGGGCATCTGGGTTTCTTTTTCTCATGCAAAATGTGAGGGTGGAATGGAAAAGAGATCCAATTTGGTCTTTGTCGATGGGTCACGTGGAATGACTCACGATGCCTTAAGCAGTAGAATGCCGAATCCAAAAAAGTCTACTGTCCTTTTTTTTTTCGCCCTCTCCCGCTTTCTTATCTTTTATTTCTTTTTTATTTCTGTTTTACTATTGAAAAAAACGTATAGCATGGTATTTAACCTGAAGCCGTCTCTGGAAGAAGTCCAAGCTATGGTCGCCGCCGACCAAGGCAACACCATTCCCATTTACGCTGAACTCGAAGCCGACTTTTTGACACCGGTTTCGGCTTATCTCAAAGTGGCGGATCGCTGCGATTATTCATTCTTGTTGGAATCGGTTGCCGGCGGTGAAACCATTGGCCGTTACTCCTTCATTGGTGCAGGTAAGCAACCACCATTCGCGACTTGACGACACCTCATGGCAGTCGCCTTGTCAACATGGTAGCTGTTTTAATCACTTGGTACACTAACTTGTGGTCGTTTTTTATTCCTTTTTTGTCGCTAGAACCTTACAAATTAATTCAGGTCGGCAAAGGATTGGATGTGGAAGGTGATCCCTTAACAGCCATTGAAAAGGAATTGGCTCCTGTTCGATACGTCAAAGTGCCTGGTCTCCCAAGCTTTACAGGTAAAAACCCCGGTTGGAGTCGAGTCAGTGTTCAGTGTTCACAGGAACATCATCATTCATCATGACTTTTTTTTTTTTTGACAGGTGGTGCGGTGGGATATATTGGATTCGATTGCTTTCAATATTTCGAACCGAGCATCAAGGGCGAATTAGCTGATCCTATTGGTATTCCCGATGCCATCTTTATGCTGTGCGACACATTGGTGGTGTTTGATCGTGTACGTCACATTGTGAATGTGGTATCGCACTATCGCAGTGACGTCAAAGATCCGGAAGCCGTGAAACGAGAATACATGAAAGCCGCCGAAGAAATCGAAACTACATTGACCTTGTTGAACGAAGAACATATTCCCAAAGTGCCTCAAGGTCCAATTCAACTTGGCCATGAAGCGAAATCCAACGTCGGCAAGGAGGGTTACATGAACTTTGTCAAGACGCTCAAACATCACATCAAGGAAGGCGATATTTTCCAGGCAGTACCATCCCAACGTCTGGCACGACCTACCTCTCTTCATCCATTCAACGTCTACCGTCACCTCCGATCCTTGAATCCTTCTCCTTACATGTTTTACGTCAACCTCAAAGATTTCCAGATCGTGGGTGCTTCACCTGAAATGCTGACGAAAATTCAGGACCGTATCGCATACACGCATCCCATTGCCGGTACGCGTAAGCGCGGAAAGACACCGCAGGAAGATCAAGCTTTGGCCGATGATTTACTAAGCGATCCAAAGGAACGCGCTGAACACGTGATGTTGGTGGATCTGGGTCGTAACGATGTCAACCGAGTATGCAAACCCGAGACCGTCAAGGTCGACAAACTGATGCAGATCGAGTACTATTCCCATGTCATGCACATTGTTTCCAATGTGTCGGGTGAATTACGGGACGATAAGACCCCATTTGACGCCTTCCGTGCGATCTTCCCGGCCGGTACGGTGTCTGGTGCACCAAAGATTAAAGCCATTGAACTTATTCGAGGCCTCGAAAAGGAGAAACGTGGTGTCTACGCTGGGTAGGTGGAAGCTAATGATTAGGCCTTTGATGATCCATTGTCTCTGATGCCCATTTTCTTTTTGTCTAGTTCGGTCGGTCATTTCGACTATTCCGGTGATTTGGATACCTGCATCGCTATCCGTACTATGCTATTTAAGGAAGGTGTTGCATATTTGCAAGGTAAGGAAAACAGAATTCGATATGAACAAGTGGGCAACGATACTGATGAATGTCTTTTTTTTTCTTTTCAGCTGGAGGTGGTATCGTATTTGATTCGGTGGAAGAAGATGAATATCAAGAAACCATGAATAAGATGGGATCCAATTTGGCGACCATCGAACAATGCGAACAAAAGATCTATGAACAACAACAACAGCAAGGAAAGGTCTAAATAAAATGTAGATATATCACATGCACAGTACAGATTGGTTTTTTTTGGGGGGATCATACTATGGTAGCACCAATGAACCTAGGTTTCCCTTACTGAATATTTTGAAAAACTGTCATTGAGTCTATTGTCTGGATTCTTTCACATTAACAATATGGTGATATCGCAAGTCAGTGACCCATGGCATTGAATCGAAGGCTACCGTATATAACGTTCTGGGCACTATTCCATCAAGTGGCTGTAGGCTTTATTGAAGGGACTGAGTTGATAGCTGGCAATAGAGAGTCAATTGGACTCAGCTTTGACCAAGATGGTCTCTCAACCAGTTCTCATTGGCTCCAAAACTCTTCAAATTGACACAATCGCACATCTACTTTGGATGACAGAATACAGTCTGTCTGAGAGTTCTTGTAGGAATAAACACTTTTTCTATCATATGCTACGTTTTTACTAGATCCGAATATAATGCAATTGACTACAAATGATGGTTTGAATTATCAGAATTGCCGATTTTGGGCAATTGTCTTCAGTAGCGTTTCAGAGAAATACCAACGGCTCTGTGTGAATCGTTTTTCTTCACATCACAATTATGACCGTCAACTCGGACGTGATATCGGTACACCATGGCTTGATAAAATGAGTGGGGTTCGCTGCGCCGCAGTCAAGCGGAATTTCAAACAAGTGCTATCGTGGAAGACGCCGAGACGACAGAATGATGAACTGGGTTTTTCCCTGTTCGGTATTTAGCACTTTTTTTTTGATTCACGGTCGGCTTTCTGTCTTACTCACTTTTTCGCTCTCTCTCACTTTTGTTCGATCAACATGGAGGGTCCCAGTACATTCAATGTGACAATGTATGCTCTTCAAACTGTGTCCAATGCGTACATTTACTGCTACGATCACTTGCGTCGATCGAACATTGTGCTTCCTCCTCCCGAGCGTGTGTTTGCTGTGGTCTCGCAAACTGCCCAGTACATATTGAACCATTCCCCGGCCGTCTTACGTCAAGTGTACGCGGCCGCGGCGGCCATTCCCATTCAAGCCAACTTTATTGGCATGCTCGTTATGCTGTTCGTCACCTATGTGATATACTGTGTTCTCCTTTCCATGTTTCGAAGTATGTACCGCTTTTTCCTGGGATTTCTTCGATTCAGCTTCATTGTCGGTGCCCTAGCAACTGTCGTCTATCTCGCCCAAATATACCTTCTCCCCAATTCCGATCAAGAGCCAAGTTTCTACAGCAATATTAAGAAAAGAAAAGTCTAAAAAGAACAAAGCCAACCTTTTCCTCCGTCCTACTGGACACTACAACCCTCATCCCACTAAGTCTATCATTGTTTCTATATAGTTATCATCAATAACAAATAAAGTGATCCTTTTTTCGCCCTCTTGAATACCGATACCTTGATTATGGCGTCTATGACATTCTCGTTCGTTTTGCCAAAAATTGCATTGATGGATGACACTTGCCGGTCAAACACGTCAAATCCACACACCTGGCAGTGTTAATTGAAAGTAGCTTGAAAATTGACCATGCATAAAATTTATCATTATGGCATGTTATGGAGCAGATACATGGGGTTATGTTTATTAGTTGATTGTAATATAAATATATCATGTAGGAAACAAAATAATGAAATGGATAGATGACGTTACTCTCGCCACGTGTAGCGAATTTTGCTTGATTGGGGAACCACCACCATGGAAGTGTAATCGGGTTTCGGTACGGAAGAGTCGACAAGTTCGAAATCAAACTTGCGAACAAACGTGGCCACCACCGCTTTGAGTTGCAGGTAACCAAAGCGTTCACCAATGCAACGATGACGACCCGCACCAAATGGTAAGAAGGGGTTGCGCGACGAAATACCCACAGCACCAAAACCGTAATCCATATTCGCATCGTCGCCTTGTTCCATCGAGTGGACCGGGTCAGTTTTCTTGCTCCATCGGAAGGGATCCCATTTCAGCGGGTTGTGGAAACAGGCGGGATCGATTTGAGTCACACCCGGCACCGCACACAGATAATCGTTCTTTGGGATTTCCAGGCCATACTTTTCAAACACCATTTTATCCGCCACCACTTTACGCATCATCTGGAAAATGGGCGGGTGAAGTCGCAGCGTTTCACGAATCACGTCTTCTAAAAACGTCAACTGTTCCAAGTTATCATACGTCAACTCAACTTTCAACGAGCCCAGCTTTTCAATCTGTTCCTCGCGAATGGCTTTCACCACATCGGGACGGGCCGCCAGTTCCAGCACTGCCCACGATGAAGTGGTGGCTGATGTATGCTGTCCACCAAACAGGGCTGCGGTTAAAATACCGGCAATATGATGATCGGGGACATCGTTTCCATCCTTGTACGTAGAGTCCATCAACACTTGCAAAATATCCACATTGCTCTGCAAGAACAAACCATACGTTAGCAATCTCGATACGCCCAAGACCGTTATGAAGAGGTTGACCTACCGTATCATTTTCCTCTCTACGACGGGCAATAATTTTGGAGTAGATTTCACTAATCTTTTCACGGGCGACATCACGGCGCTTGTAGGAGGGCAAAGGCAGATTCGGAAACATGAAATTCATGGGCTGGAATCCTTGGTCAAGGTCATAGTACAGTTGAGCCACACTGTCATCGAGGTTCTCTCGAATTTCGCGGCCAAGAAGGGTGGCTGAAGCGGTGTAGATGATCAATTTGCCAAACGCAGTATAGGTATCCATGATGCCCGTCGGTTTCTCGTATTGGTCAAAGAATCGGTTGGTCTCGTCCACGATTTTAGGCACATGGCGACGGAACGTCTCAATGTTCAAACCAGCTTTGATGAATCTAGTATTGACTCGCTCAGTCAGCACCCATTCTCATCTCATTTCAGAGCCAGGGGTTAAACTTTAGCTTTACCTCTTTTGCTCCATGAACACACTGTGAGGCGCATCAAATACAATATCTCTACCAAAGACATGCTTTGTCATGTCATTGTAAGCCGCGGCCGCCGAAGCCAGGTTTTGCTTGGCATTAAAAACGAATTGATTTCCGTCTGGACCAAGGCAAACCGTCACTCGTTTTCCCACAAGATAGAAGGTGAACACATCACCGTACTTTTTCTGACATTCTTGCAAAAACTTGATAGGGTTGCTGGCAAAAGTCCATTGTCAATCTTTTGTGTGTAACATATGTTTATCGTCGAGAAACCGATAGTTGACTTACGTGCCGAATTCAATGGCATTACCAAGGACAGGAATCCATGAAAATACTACGGGAGGTCGTTTTCTGTCTCGCGGCAAAAGCTACCCACGTTGTACTTGATAAGCAAAAAAAAAACAAGGAAAAATCGGAAAGACGGAAATGCACCCACTCACTGAACTTACCAATTGGGATAAAATGTGGACAACAATAAATAAGGCAATTGCTAGGAAAATTTTCCACACGACCGTCGCCATGGACAGCTGCTGTAGACCGAGAGAGACGATAGCCATGGTTTTCGATCAATAAGCAGAAGAAAAGCAGCAATAAATCCAACCTCAGCGTATCAATGCACTGAATAAAGGAGATCGAGTCCCAGATCCCCGAAACTTTTAAGTCACGCCATATATGTTTTCGAATCTTGATTATGTGTCACTACCGGTGAAGCTGGCAGACAAAACTGGTTTTTTTTTTTTTTTTTCCTTGGAATGGTTCGATTTTTCTCTTGTGACCTGGGATCCGCTAAATTTTTTAATTTTTTTTGTTTCGTTGTTTATTTTTAGTGCAAGCAGTATTAGTTGGAATAATCGAGTATTTTTTTTATATAAAAACACATGTATCTAAAGGGACAAAATAGAGATTATTGGTTCGTTTCGTTAAAAAAAAGAGCGGGCAAAGGAATGAATTCATGCGAATGCACTTACGCTTTGCTGTCAAGGACGTCTTTTTGATATGCCATGGTTACACTGTGATCATCGAATTTAAACCACTGCACAAATTTTTTTGTTTCTGTAAGCGATAAATTCATCCTCCGAAAGGACCGCGTTTTTTAATAAGGGGTTCATATGCTTACCTCGCCGCGATGTTTGGCAAACATGGTGTAATGCCCAGTGTCCATTCGACCTTGATGATTTACAACTGCAAAAAGCGTATATACATTTTCTTTCGATGGAGTACTGTCAACCGATCCCATTAGGACTCTATTATTTTAAAAAAAAATGATTGCAATTGATGTTTACCTAGTTCTAGCCTTTTTCCGTCCGTGCGTTGTGTAAGGTGTCATGTCCAGTTCTACAGGAAATTTGATTTTGGTTTCTATTTTACTCGCTGAGCCTCCATGCTCAAATCGCTAGAAAAAAAGGTTGCATCAACATTTTTAATCAATGCATTATTCTATTCATGTTGCACAAGGCTGACTTACTTTGAGCTGGAAGCTCAGCACGGGTGGTAATCGCTTGACGGATAATTGCTTGGTCGCTTCCTTTTGAATGGGTCAATAAATCATATTATTCCATCCAGTTAATTGAACGATCCATTTTTACCTGAAACGTATTATCACATTTACTACAGCTGTATTCATTAGGTCCCAATTTTTCGGGATGCGTATATCTAAGCACAAAATTATTTTTCAGTTAAAGCGAATACTGTCGTCTTCACCATAGAAAAAATGACATGTGTTACCTTTCTAAACAATCTACAAGGGTGTTGCCTTGCCTTGACCGTCGTGGTGACGCTGGTGACGCGGGCGATGTGTCACCATTGACAGTGGAAGCTTGGCTTTCTTTGTCGACCTCGGTCGTCGCGCTGGGTTTGGACGAACCGGAAGAGGTGCCGCTGACTCCATTTTTCTTTTTCTTTTCCACCGGTCGCAATCCCAGACTAATATCGAGCATGGGATCATAAGTGGTGGTCACATTGCCGCATCGCAAACAGGTGACATTGGATTGCAGTAATCCGGCAAACGTCTTGTGCACGATGCATGTGCAGTCCACCATCGATTGTCCTTCGCAACCAGCGTGGATGTGGTTCAACGCACTGATAAAGAATTCATGCGCGTCTTGTTGAGCATACCCAGCCAATTCCTTCAGGCTCATCCACATGGATTGCAGGAAACTGCAAGGTCCATAAGGTTCTTTCTGTCCCGAATAGATCTAATAATGCATTCACTTGTTAATCTTCCAAAAGGCCCGAAGACCAACGACAACCCTTGCAGATCACGAATACAAGGCTTACCTGGGCGAATAAATTATCCATTTCGCAACACAGGCAAAACTTATTTTCACAGAGATTGGGATTATGCATATCGCTCAAAAAGTAGGCTTTCAGCAAGGGATTGTGGATGAAGCTTTGAAGGATGACGTTCATAAAACATGTGTTGCCCATATTACACAACCCTCGTATACCCTGGCAAGAAGCCAAAGAGGAATTGTGAACTATCAATGCACTTTCTTGACTGGAAGGTTCCCATGCCACACTCGCCAATCGTGCTCGTTTCCTGGGGGAATCTAAGACAAAAAAACCGGCAACAGATCAATGCGGGTTTTAACAACGTCGCGTTGTCGTGAGCAACAAAAAGAAACGATGTTTACTTGATTCGCTGCGCAAAACTTCGTATCGTAGAATTCGATCTTCTAATTCGGTATCGTAGACGTAATCGTTGCATTCTTTGCAGTAAACCGTTCGGTGAGTAAAGTCCATGGCAAAGGTGTGATTGTGCGCTTTCATGTGTTCGCGTATATGTCCTTTTCGCCAACAACCCATGAACACGCAGTGAAGGCAGACGTGCAGCCGTGATAACGAATCGTGACATACTGAACATTGTGGGAAAGGAAGCTTCTTTTCCAATATAAAAGAAATAATTGCATTGCATTTTGCTTTTTTAATTTCATGGATCATTGGATGATTTACAGGGTCGATTTTTTTTTTGGGTCGTATCACTTACGTCTTTAGGGTGGCGTTTGCGTTTTTTGTCAGGGATATTGGACTTTTGGCGATGATGCCATGCTAAAGAGTATCGTACTAAGAGTCGGTAGTTTTCCACGATGTTCATGCCATCGTTCTTGGTTTGTTGTTTGAATCTGGCTAGATGGCTGCATCCGGCCGTTTGCAAAGCATGTTTACCGCCGTAAAACTCGGCTGGATTGTCGGTTGAATGGATAATATCGTACACTGAGCTGTGCTGTTCAAACAGAGCATCCGTAAAACTGGGCGATGAAGGTGACGACAAGGGTGAAATGGGAGAATCGGCCACTCCTGACGATTCTCGAGGTAGAGAGGACCAGGAAGACATGAAGAAGGCGGGGTTCGGACTGCTTCCCCTCGCCTCTTTTTTTTTTTCATTTCCCCGTCTTAGAGCCTCAAAGTTTCTCCTATACAAAATTTCCCCTTGATCACCATGGTAACATACGTCATTCTGAAATTCCCTTGCCATGTTGGCCAACGCCCTTTTTCCATAGCAGGGTCGCCTTAAGCGTGATTTATTGTAATAAATTCACGCGACACAGAGACTGTATTTCACATTTGATACAAAGGCACTGCTGTGAGCGGAGCTAGGTCATCCGAGATGATCCGCAAGATGGCAATGCTGTAGAAAACAGATGGCCCCATTCCAGTGAATACCAGCCAACCGGGGCCGTCAATTTGCAGTCTTGATAATGCGATTTACTTTGAAAAAAAAGAAAACACCAACAAATGAGAAAAATAATGGAATTGCTGACATTACTGTAGTTTATAGAGCAATAAAACGTGTGTATACGACATGAAGTATCAGATAGAGGGATGAAAAATATTTACAGAAAGTTTTTAAATTGCTAAACCTGGCTCGTTGAAAGAATTGATGTTTCGTTTCTTCTTCTTTGAAAGTTTAAGAATGAACGCTCATGAGTTCTTCGACAACTTTGCAAAGATCTTCCACGGTGAGATCCAGTTTTCGACCGCCGTTATGTCCATCAACCACTCCTTGCATCTGTTGGGGAGTCAGATCCAGAAAACTCTCAATCAGATCACCATCAATAAAGTTGCTGCATTTCTCTTTACGGTCCATCATCGATATACTTCGCCAACTAAAAAAAAAAAAGAAATAACATTTTCCCGTCAGTCAATTCTCTGCAATTTCAGATATACCGCTTGTTTGGACTTACTCTGAGTGACTCAGATCACCAATACTGCGCACAATTTTGTTCATGTTATTCTGCATTTGCCAAAGCAATTTGAACCGCTCTTCCGATAGGTCGGCAATCACCCCAATCGCGCCACTGGCCGTAGCAAAAATCAGAGATGGCGTGATGGGCGAACTGTCAGGATCCGATACATTCATCCTCAGTGAGCCTAGCAACCGACCATCTCTTAACATACCAGAAGCAATCCCCGTGAACATAAAAAGGAAACAACATACCAAAACGAAAACGATGTACCAGATCGCCCAAATGCCACTGACTCGCTGTGTGTAACAATGGTTCGTCATGTTCGTCTTCCAATTTTTCCGGATCGCGCCGCTGCATAATGAATAAATGACCCTCTTTTTCGGCTGCAATGGATGAATGCTCGTCCAGGACTTCCAACGCTGTAATTTCCTTGGGTTGTTCCTCCGCCGCGAGCTCTCGGAACGTACGCCCTCGTTCATCGTAACTTAAAACGACCACCGAAACCGCCATATCACCCGCCACGATCAGGTTGTTGTATGTAATGAGCGATTCTGTAATCGAGGGTAACTTGTAGTGACACACCGATTCCAGTTCTCCTCCACCACGCATATCCGGATGCAATTGCAATAAATGAAGCTATCCACAGTAGAAGTGTCAGGACTATCGCTCCCCAATAAAATGCATTCATCCATCGAGCCTAGAACATTTACCTCTCCTCGTACACTGGCCAGCAACTTCCCGTTAAAAGGACGCAGGCATTCAACCATGCCATTCATGATTTTTTGCGAGACCACTCGTAGACCACGTGAGGCTGAAATTTGCAATACTAGAATGCGTCCTGAACTGCCAGTCTCAAACTCATCAGTATCTTTGCCTGTGCCGAGAATGTAGCAATCGCCAGGACCATTTTCAAACGCCATGGACACGGCCGATAAAGGTCGCTCAAACTGCTTGAAATAAATTCGATCCAGCACTGCCAACCGAAAAAGGAAACGCAATCAATTTTCCTCTGCCCACGGTCTTGTTTTCCAAGTGCATCCAAAGTTTACCTGTGAAGCTTTGATCATCCAGAATCTCGAAACCACCGGTTACCGACGCGGCTGTGTAAGGTGTATTACTGATCCGTTCCGTGACCACACCAAACGATTTTGACGACTCTTGATAGGTGATTCGCCGTGGTGTATCAATGGTCGATATCTTGGTGATGTGAAGTTTCTGGATTTCCTCCATTTGACCAATCACTAGGGCATCCTTGGTCGTCAGTGCAACGGCGTCTGGAAACCCAACACTGTTGAACGATGTCACACCCCGAACATCCTACAAAAAAGATGGTGCGTACATACTTGAATATCACCCAGCAAAAAGTAATTGAATCAACAGCCTCTTACTTTGAGGTTCACATTGGAGTACACCAGTTTCTGATTTCGACTGTGGATAACACTGGGTTTATCAGAAGCAGCAAATACGTGGATGGTGCCATTGGAGGTAAACGTGCCCAACGCAATGGGCAGTTTTCCGAGAAATGATCGCTTCTTATCCGATAACGTGCCTTGACGGCTATCCAATTTGAAATTATAAAATTGGCCATCACCTAAAAAGAAAGGAATAAATGAACTGAGTATTCCAGATTTTTTTTGTTTCGAGGCGACGAACGAGTCTAATTACCAAATGCGACAAGAAGGTAGCATATGTTTTCAAAGGTGGCCATGAGGATGGATCGCGGCATCACTGAGCCAGCCATGGATTCTTCCGCAATCACTTGTAGATCCGGGATAGAGAGGATCTTGACTCCCACTTGCTGCCATACACCCACAGCGACGACCGATGACGCATAAGGTGTCGCATCATCCGTTGGGGTAATATCAAGACATGAAATTTCTTGCTGTAGTTGCGTAGCTCTGTAGGTTCGGCATAAAAACACAACTGTGAGAATCGCATCAGAATAGAACTGCGACCGAGTTTTTCGTTCGCAAAAGATGTCGTGACCCTATCCCGCTTACCCAGTTTCCACCAAACGCCGTCCATCAATTTGCAATACTACCAACCGTCCGTAACCCACCGACAAGACACATTGGGTTGGATTCAAACTCGCCACCGTAATGCAAGCTTCATTCGATGGAAACCATTCGTCCACCAAAGAACCATGCGAGGCAGATTCCAAGAGTCGTACGCTGTGTTCGGTAACTTGAATGATCAGGTCTCCAAGGATATTCCTCGCAGCCAACGTTCTTTGATCAAGAGCCAAGCCTGAATGCGATAAAAGCTGCTTCATTTCGTTGTCGCGCAACTGTAATAACCGTGTTTGATTCACAAATGACACCAACAGCATATTATCATGCCTAACGGAGAAAAAACCAGCATGCGCCTTGTGAGCCTAATTTTTTCATCTAATCCATCTACCTATCCCCGTGATAGAACTTACTTATCATCAAAGGTAGGACGAAGGGCCCACACCCCCTTGACGCCACTGATCTCGATGGCTGCCAATTCGTTCAATCCCACACCGTTACGGATAATGCGCAGCGAACTATCTTTGGCGGCACCGGAACATGTAATCAGTTGCACTTGACCCTAGCAGAATCAAACAAAAAAATAGAGGTGCGCGTTCAGCCCAAAGTTGATCTGCCCATGTCGCGTGGTTCTAACCATTGTACCTGTTTATCCAAATCTACCACGCAAAAATCCGTGATGGGACCGAGATTGGGAAATTCTTCAATGATCTCCAAAATGTCATCATCCTCATCGGCAATGCTGCTCTTTCTTTGCACGTGCACCACCTGGGAATCGCCCTCGGTTGAACCCACAAAAACAACATCGTTGCCTAGGTAGGCCAGACAGGAAGGTGATGAAATCTGTCGCCCGTTGTCACTTCATCAGTTGACCATTATATCGGTGAATCGCACATATGAGAAAAATATAGGACATACCGTGCCGAGGCTGATAAAGCACAGCGCCTCTACGACATTGTTATTCAGCGTGAGATTGAGAAGGTAAAGGGATCCATTGGCATCGCCAAGAAGAATTCGCGATCCGCTTGCATTCATGATGGTATAGCTAGGATCACGGATCGGTTAAACATCAGCAGCCCCACTGTCACGCTCCATCCTCTTCTCTTCTTTGTTTTGTCTTCCTAACCTATTGATGGTACATGGTTTGATGCCAATGGCTTTTGGCGCTTGGTTGGGTTTGAGATAGCGAATGAATTTCCCGGCTACAAGGATCACACCACCTACGGGAGCAGGAAGCGCGATTAAAAGATTGGCATCCGGCTCGAAATGATCCATGACAATATCGCCCGGTTTCAGTTCTCGATTGCGCAGGTCTATAGTGAACGTCTGAAGGTACCGGCGAAACATTGAATCATCGTACAAAATAAGCAAGGTGGGCTCGGTTGTATCCTGCAAAAATGCCATTGATACGATGGTTTTATCCATAAGACTATGATGAAAACCATTCTTCCAGAATAAGCATCATTGTCAACCGAGCATGGGACATGGAAGAGCAGTTGGAAAAGCTCGCGGGAAAATGAGACGAATTTACCTCAAATTCATATAGTCAGGAGGGGTTTGCTGTCGCCTGCGACCTTCGCGGTTTCGAAGAGATGTTCTTCGAGTATAAGAAGCCCCTTCTTTGGATTTTTGACCGAGTTCAGGAATAATCAATGTTACCATGGATTCATACAATGCCGTAGCGTAATATCGATGGGATGGATCTATCACGCCAAGACATGTGTCTCGCTGAGCTCGCGGTTGAACGGGCATGCCCACTTCCCCGCTCATTTCCGTAATAATTTGCTGAGTCTTTTCAGAATACGTGAGGATACAGTACCTGTGACGAGCCGTCAAAATAAATAATGACGCTTTGTCACGGGTCTAATAAACCGCCAATCGCGTGCATAATTAGTTGAGCGGAGTCGATTGAGTAGTTTGGGGGGGATGGGAAGAGAGGATCATTGAACGTACCGGTGGTGCGTAGAGTGACAAGTGAGCAATGACGCCATGGATATTGAATTCAAGGGTGGGTTTAAGACCTTCGGGGGTCACTGTGTAAATTTCGATGCGTGTACCTTTGCTGTACGTATGGTTAGCAATGGATGCGTAGGTTCGAAAGCGAGTATGGGGGACGGTCTGTTATACCCTAACACCAGGTTCGTTTCATGGGGAGACGTGAATGGTCCCTTGACGCAAAACTCGGTAGATGTAGGCTTTTGTGCTGTTACCACATATTTGTAGCAAGTCATGACGCGAACCGCAAAGAGTATAATGTTTTTCTATCCAAGCTTGATTCCAATGTCTTGCTTGCTTACTCTTTTCTTGCCCTGCTTTTCTTCTTTCCTCTTTTTTTTTGCAAATAGGAAGGGATTTCAAGGCACCCAAAAACTGGAAATCCGATCGCGGAAATTCACCGTCACACCCAAATCCACAGCGAATTTCATTGGCTGACGCGACCCCACTGCTCACCCACTTTCTGCGATACATGATGAGACGCGTTGGATGGGCTGGAAGGTACACCAATTTCGTGTCAACGAAATGAGGCGTGTTAACGACGTGGGGGCATGTCAACCATTCAGAACAGGTTGTTCTTAATTAGAAATTGCGTGTCTCTGTTAGTCGGACGTTCATGACGTTATTTCTAATGCGGTACAGTCAGACAAAATAACAAAGTGCCTGCAGCGTATCTCTACTGCTTTCTAGCATGACGATGACCAAGCTAATATGCAGCCAAGATAAATCTTGCAAAATGCGTGACAATGCAAGATCCTGATGTATGAACGATATGTTTGAACTATTATAATCTAGGGCATGGGTCATACAACCGCACGACACTGGACAAGCATACCGTAAGAGAGGGTGAGAACGGCACGTGTGGATGACAGTGCGTTGTAAATCACCTTATTTTTTTCCCTCCATGGTGCCATTTTTGATCACGGCGTTAAATAACATTATTTGAAAATTCAATATTGATTTTACAGCCAAAAAGGGGATGCTGGTAAATGTTTTCTTTTTTCTTTGTAATCATGGATTGGTTTTTTTGGTATCAAGAACAAAATCACATATTGGTCCGCTTGTACATTTTGTTAGCGTAGAAATCATGTAGGGATAAAGCCGTGACGGAAAGGAGAATACCACACAAAATTCTTTTGATATTTTTTTTACAGGGGTTGATAGGGTTCATGGGTGGATACATTCGTAGCATCGTGGACAGGATAGTCCGTGTCATGATCAAGCCCAGGTGGCGTAAGGGCCAAAAATGAATGCATCATATAACCTCTCGGGGCCCCGGTTTCTGCTGAACCGTACAAGAATTGTTCTCCCGCATCATGCGTTGATGCAACCGGTTGAAAGACTTGCTCGTTCCCGCCAAAGGGACACGTCAAAGTTAGAAAAGGGATACCAGATGTTGAAACCGTCATGACAACGGATTGTGAAAATAAAAAAGAAGAAAAAAGAAAAGAAGGAATCAAAAGAGAAAGCCGGTCCGTCGCATCCTTTAGAATCACGGATCCGATGTTAAAAAAAAAAAAAAAAAAAAAAGTGGAAAAAAGAGAGAGCCAGGATCACATGCATAAAGTAAACAAAACAAAACAAAACAAAAAAAGGTACAGTACCAAAAAAGTCAAGCGTGAGAATTAGGGCCCCATCGGCTTTGAATCCAATTCCACAGCATATCATTCTTTAGACGCACGATGGACGCGTTTTCAATCCTCTTTTTTTTTAATTAATCAACAGCAGCTTGCTTGATGAGATCGTTATACTAACCGAGAATATATAAAATATCCGATGGTTGCAATTTTAGGAAAGGTGAAGCATCTATTTCTTGCCTTGGATTTTCCATGACACGGTTCTCGTTGACTGCAATCTTGTTGGTGGTTTCCACCGCCGCCGTATTCGCTCAAAAGGGTAAAGTGACACGCCATGAACGACGGGTCAACTGGGACTGAACAGCATATTCACACGGGCATTTTTGCTTCTTTGATTTTTCTTTTTCCAGCTTCACCTGAATGTTCCAAAGATATCAAAGTGAATGAACAACGTGATTTGGATGGTATTAGCAACTGCAAAACGTTCACGGGCACCATTACGGTCGACAGCACCAAGCTGTCCAAGTTGGAACTGAAGGGTGTGGAGGAGATGAACGGTGACCTGATTTTGCAAGGCAACTCGGATCTCCAATCCTTCTCTGCCCCCCAACTCAAGAAGGTCAAGGGCGAAGTTCGCATCATCAATCATACCATTCTCGATAAAGTGGACTTGACGTCTTTGACAGAAGCCAAAGGATTGACCTTGGCCGTGTTGCCTGCTCTGGAACAAATCCGCTTCCCTGCTGGTCTTTCCAAGGTCGACGATTTACGTATTGAAGACACCCGATCCCCCAGTATCAGCGGTCTCAATGCTGAAACTTACAATACATTCCAACTCACCAATAACAAATACATGAAAGAATTTGACCTTGCATCCACCAAAGAAATCAAGACCAACATTGTTGTCCTTGCCAACGGTAACTCGATGAACTTCAAGGTAAGCAAATCAACCCCAGGGACGCCTTGACCCATCATCCTACGTTGTTGCATTTTACTCGTGACTCACTGTAAAATGACTATTATGAACGAATAATTCATAGGCACCCAACTTGGCTCGATTAAAGATGGCGACTTTCCGAAACCTCGGTCAACTGGACCTGCCAGCCTTGACCAGCGTCACGGGAGACATGTCGTTCCACGAAAACCAGTTTAATGCTTTGAACATGGACAACATTGAATTGATTGGCGGTACACTGACCATTGCCAACAATGACCGACTTGCCGAAACCTCTTTCAAGGCCCTGAGCAAAGTAGGCGGTGCCTTGTCCATTGGTAACAACACTCAGCTGCACAACATTGACGGGTTCCCCAAGTTACAAGAAGTGGACGGTACCGTAGATATGGCCGGTTCCTTTGATAACTACAAGTTACCCGTCTTGGCCGATATTCGTGGTGGCATGCGTCTTCAGACCACCAGCTCCCAGTTTGGCTGCTCCGACCTCGAGAAGAAACTCAAGAATGACAACGTTGTCAAGGGCAACACCTGGAGTTGCGCTTCCAGTCTCCAAGAAAATCAAATGAGTCCTACCATTGGTCAAAACGCTGGCGCTCCTCAGACCATCAGCGGTGGTGCAGCTGGTACCACTAGCTCCCGCAACGGTAACGGCGATGGCAATCAACACTCGGCGGCTTCTCGCTCCATCGCGGCTCAAGGAGTCGCGGTAGTGGTGATGGCCATGGTGCTTGCCATCCAGTTTTAAAAAGAAAAATTCTCTTCGTTGGACCATGATTGTATGTGTAATGGGAAGACGTATCCAACGGAATAATAATTTTCATCACCTCAAGCCTATTTTTTCAACTCCTTTTTTCTTCGTAAAGGATAATTTCACGTATATTCATTCCATGGTGAACAGAAGAAAGTAAATAGTTCTAGACACTGAATATATAAAATTTACTCTTTAAATACAATAATCAAACTAAACAAAAAAGCCTCTAGCCTGTTAAAAATGCTGTTGATGTTCTCTTATCTCCATTAAAGAGATTTGACTTGATTTTACAATGACAAGGGAAAGGGAGAATGGCTCACATCTTTTACAAAATCCTCATCTGTTGAACCATTATCTAACAGCACCAGCTGATTCTGCCATGGGCAAAAAATTTGTTGCTATATTTTTATAGGATAGCAAAGATCCGTTGAATCCATCCAAAGCTGTGATGGAAAGAAAGTTTTTGTATCCACATGGCAACGATCGGTTGACAATATCTTGTGCAATTCAAATTGATTAACTAAGTGATTCATCTCATTGGGAAACTCAAAAACAGAAATGCTATGATAGATATATTATGTGCGACTTGGCACGGCTTACTATTCAGCGTAGCGTAATGAATTGTCTGCCATTTTTTTGGGGAAATTAAAGGGGAAAAAATTACGCCGGCCCACTTGATGCGCTCAACGATTCAGATAATCGTATCTGAAACGTATTTCATAAAAAACCGGAGACCATATGGGATGATCTGTGCCACTGGAACCTTTCTTTTCCTCATCTGCAGTCCGAGGTTACACGAATTTCAGTAGGCTTGAACATGGCAAAGAAGAGAAATTGAATGAAGCACTGGGTATAATCCAAGCTTATGAATTATGCAATGACCAATCACGATGACAAAGATCAAAGATGTGTTGCATCGATCGATAAAAGGGGGGGGGGGAGGTATATCTTGAGTTCGACTATCGCGCATGCATCTGCATGAATCGAAAAGGACAATGACGCTGGCATGATGAAGATAATTACAAATGCTAGCGCACTGATGCATTTCTGTTCTACGATTCCCATCCTATGATCATTTTGTATACTATATCTCAGATCCGACCCTCCCTTTCGATCTGAGAAAGTAACACAAAAGGATGTTACTCAAAGAGTAAAAAGGAAACAAATTCATTTCCCGTTGTGGGAGTGCGCGCCTCCAAATTTTAATTTTGGGCGTTCGGTGATAAGCATCAATTTGGTTATTCGACAACCTTTGTTTATTTTCTGTTTGTTTCCCGCCCGAGTACAAAAGTTTAAATGGGCTCTACAGTTCGCCACCGGCGCGTCATTCAATGTACTGACAGATAACAATCAGTACAAGAATAAACAAGCTGTATTATCATTGGAAATACCTTGATAGAGTTCACTGACAAAGCACAATACCGCACTCTATATTTCCAGAATCATTGATAATGCACTGCACCACAGAAATTGTAGTGTGCACTTTCTTGGCTGTGTAAAAAAGAAAAAACCGCTCAAACACTCCAATTTGTGTCGGGCATGCCTTTTTCTCATAAATCTCCATCTTGCTACATGATGCCCGGGTATATCCGCCTGCCACATGCGTACTGAATTTGACAGATGATGGCCAAGTTTCACAGTACTACCTCGACATTTCCGGTAGAGCAACTGTTATGACGCCTTTTTATGTTTTCCTGGTGAGATAACTTGATCCGTCTGGGATCGATGGTTCGATAACGAGCACCTGCTGCATTTTCTTCCTTGCGAGAATTTTAGAAAGTACTGTTCGTCAACCGCCTTTTTTAAGCTTTAAACAAACATTGGTTTACGCCATGTGTAACATTTTGCTTCCCCTTGAATTAGGACCATTTCTGCCTTGCAAAAGCAATTGGGTTCAAAAAGACGCAACTTTCCGTGTCGGAGTCCAGTCGTTAACCTTGGCAGTTTAGGCGCGCTGGCCATTGGAAACCTTCTTTTGTCTATTGAAAGAAATCTTTTGAATCTTCATTTTCATTTGTTAGGTTACTAACAAGTTTGGATATTCGCCATCTTCCACTTCAGTGAAATCTTTTTAAGATGAGGCAAAACACCAGGTATTTGGTAACAAGGACCCACATGAGATGTTTGATCGAATCATCAATGTTTATAAAAAACTAAAAAAAAAAGATAAAAAGGTTCCAAGTATACCGCGCTTATGCTTTTTTCTACCAAGTTGTTTACGAGCGAAATTCGGTACTGTATTTCCTTTTTTTTTTTCTTAATTGAAGCTACATCCCGCGGCATCACTCGTCCACTGTTTGCTTGTCTCATCCATGAGTGGAAAATCCTGTGATTAGGGCGGACGGTTTGCCGAAAAAAGCGACTGGCACTTGTGATAGGACTACCGAAACTAGGACGATAATAGATTAAATGATTACGTTTCTATTTGCCAATTACGCAATGCCCACTATTCTCACTTCCACAAGTTCTCATGCTACGTTATACTGCAGGAGACTCTATTCATCATACAACAGATGCAGAGTCGCCTTCCCATTGGATGAACATTTTCATTCAATACATGATGTATTTCCTTTTTATGCTTTTTCCAAAAAAGATGAATGGCGTTCCTCTTTTTGTTTAATACAACTAGGTCCGCGTGACGCTCCTTAGAAGGAAACACTGGAATAAAAAAAAAGGGATAAAACTTGCTTGACATCCCCTAAAAGTATCAATTTTTTTTTCGCTCTCTTTTCGCTTTTCCTTTTCTTTCAAACTCTTTTTCACATTATTCTTTACCTTTTTATCTTGTCATTTTTGCTTTGATGAACAACCAAGAAGTGTTGTCCACAAGCTACACCGATAGCATTCACAGTTTGCTGAATGCTGCATTGGACGAAGAAAGTCTTAATGAAGGACGTCGCAACTCGTTTACCAATGCCTCTGTCTACTCACAGAATACTCGCTCCGAACAAGTCCCTCCCAACTATTATGCTACCATGACCCATGCCGAGCAACCCTCTCGATTAGCTATGGGAGAACGGTACGACCCAGGAGCTAATCGAGAGATAACGGCCAAAAATGATTCGCAAGCCTCGGCATCCAGTCCTCCGTCTCCACCATCAAAGAAAGCTAGCCAGGATCCTGATCCATCCTCTTCTTCCATCCCGCATTCGTCCAAACCCACCCCGTTACCAAAATTACAAATGTTCGTTATCTGCACTCTACTATTTAGTGAACCGTTAACATCGACGGTCTTGTTCCCATTCATCTATTTCATGGTAACGTAACGCATGCTCATTTACTGAATTTAGCTAACCTTTTGGCTGCCATGACTTTTAAAAACAGTTGAAGGATTTCCATTTATCGGATGATGAAAAAGAAATTGGCGCTTATGCTGGATGGATCAGTAAGTAGCGACCCTATCAGATCTGAGTCTGATGATTTGAATTTTATTTTACTGATTTCCCTCGACTGTGTCATTCATTGTCAATGAATTTTTTGTATTTAGCGTCGATTTTTTTTGTGGCTCAATTCTGTACGGCGATTGGTTGGGGCAAAATATCTGACCGTTATGGTCGACGCCCTGTGTTACTCATCGGTCTAATTGGCAATTCCGTTTCATCGTGTTTGTTTGGCGTAAGCAAAAGTCTTTGGTGGGCGGTTTGCACCCGTGCCTTTTGCGGTATTGTGAACGGTAAGTCGTGGAGAGACGGATATATATTTATTCCGACAAGGTTCATTCATTGGGCAATCCCTGCATATATTTATTTTCTAGGCAATAATGGCGTGGCTCGCAGTATGGTGAGCGAGATTACAGATACATCTAACCGAGCCAAAGCTTTTTCCATGTTCGGTTTTTGTTGGGGTATTGGCATGATTGGTAATGTACCCGAATCTCTCTGCGATTGGTCTTTCAACCAAATTTCATTTTAACATTTTTTCCCTTTTTTTTTGGGCCCTTGTATGCAGCTGGTAAAATTATTTTCCATGTCCCATTTTCATCCAACTGCAAGGGAAGTCGGTTTTACTAATGCTACATTCATCATTTTCTTCCTCATGCCTGAATCTAGGCCCTGCCATTGGTAAGTAAGATTAGGCAACTATTAAACAGACATGCTTGAAAAAATGCCGTCGTTCCTTCAATTCATTGTGGGGTTTCGTTTTTTTTTTTTCCTTTTGTGGATCCTAGGTGGTTACCTGTGTCAACCTGCGCAACAATTTCCCAACGTATTTGGCGACTGGCAATTTTTCATTGAATATCCCTACTTCTTACCCTGCCTTGTATCGTCTCTCGGTTCGCTTTTCGGATTTTTTGTTGGATACTTTTATCTCAAGGAATCGAATCCTGCGGTTCTTGCCCGCCAACGAGCTCACAAGACGAAAAAGTATGGTGGTTCAGCCGAAGAACACACGGCCTTGTTGGAAGGTCACAATCATTGTCACTCCCATCCTTGCCCTCAAAAGCAAGCTGAAGAACAGGAAGAACAGACTGATGGCATTTTTACATCACTGCGAAAAATCACACCCGCTTCCATGGCGTGTATTGTTGCTTACTCGTAAGTGGTGATTTTGGGGGGAGTGACTGTTGTTGTTGTACAGTTTGGTGGCACACAGCCGACTTTTTTCAAGGACAGTGCAAAAGTAATTGATGGTCTTCTGTATGACGTAGAGCCTACGCATTTCATTGTATGGTGTTTGATGAGATTCTGCCACTGTACTTCTCTGCACCTCGCTATGCAGGTGGATTAGGGTCCAACTCACGCGAACTGGCGAAAGCATTGTCTATCACGGGACTTCAACAGTTGTTTTTCCAATTCGTACTATTTCCTCCTCTCAATCGAGTGTGGAATACGTTGATTCTCAGTCGCTTTTCCTTGATCACTCTCGTCCCTGTGTATGCTTTGATGCCTGAATTGTCCACTCTGCAAGAATGGTTGTTCGCCCATATGACGGACGCGTTTGCGCGACAGTGGACTTTCCGATTTGCTTACATGACATTGCTGTTCATTCGTTACTCACTCAACTGTATGGCACTAACCAGTCTGATCATCATGGTCAGTGAGTCGGCCGCCCCGGAAGTCTTGGGTACCGTGAATGGGTAAGTACCACAGGATGGGGTCATTATCGGGGGGATGATTGTTTTTTTTTTATTATCGATCGTCTGACCATCCTTCACTGCTGTGCGTCTAGTCTCTGCCAATCTTGTCTTTCCCTTGTCCGTGCGTTTGGTAAGTTTGAATGTGCATGATGACATCTAAAGGCATTGCTTACTCACACTAACAATGGTTTGTAATCTAGCGCCTACGGTGGGTGGTACGTTGTGGTCATTCTCTCTGCGTACTGGCAATCCGTTTCCCATTGATCGTCACTTGGTGTACTACATGATGGCCATTCTCTCTTTGGTCGGCTACTTCCAGAGTTATCGAATCCCAAGCTTCGTGGCCTTGGGAGGCCGAAAACAGCATTAGAATATTCGATTTTATATATTTTACTAGTCTTGTTTATCCTTATATATCAATACATTGTCAAATTACATTCATATAAAAATTCAAGATTATTTTTAGACTTTCCACCGACCAAAATGTTTACGAATCATCAATGACTCGATCAAAGTTAGTCTATTATACGATCGTCTCGTAGGGTATTATACCTTGGTTGATTTCAATCGTGGGCACTTTTGAAGTTAAAACTATGACATGAAGGGCTTTCAACGCAACTGCGATCAGAGAAGTTTGCCAATAGCCCAATGATGGTGTCTATTGAAAAAGCGGCTGTTGTTACTTCTACATGAATTCAAGTGTGGAAAGTAATGGATGGACTGGTTGATGTTTAAGTCTAGTAATCTACAACGCGAGCCTGAAGTCTTTCAAGCGTTCAGGACTTGTTATCTGTAGAATCGGTGCGCCGGTCATCAGCTCTTGAAAAATAAGATTTGTAAACAGTTAATTAAACAAGGCGAATGGCGAAGATCGTCCTATCATACAACGATTATTAAAGAAGAGTATTGCGTCGACAAGGGAAACCTTCAACTCACAGATAAAACATACTACTGTATTACGGAGAAAACTGCCTTAAATGCCAGCAAAGCATGTGCATTTGGTTATCATACTTGGCTTACCCTTACCAAAGTCTACCAAGGTCGATCTCATATTTCCCAATGGATGACACCAATACACCAAGCCTACAGAGAAGCACCGTCATGCAAATGATTTACCTAGCACAAATCACGTAAAAATCAAACGTTAATGGTGACAAAATAATATATTGAATACTGGAACATAAATTATGGGACCATCTAATGAAGAGATGATGCACAGTGGTATCTCATCATTAAAAGGGAAATTCTTGGGTTTCTAGAAAAGGCAGTTTGATTCAGTGTTGATGCCATGAAAGCCAGCATTTGCCGAACCGAATATGACAAAGTCTTAGGCATGAATGATATCAATTATAAGCTGTTCTACTCAATTTCTGCCCAAGAAATCTTGACTTTTAGTCTGCTAAAAAGAACATGATTGTTGCTTTTGGTTTACACATAATAAGGTGGTGACACACATAGGATCAATTTCTGGCTTTAACATAATAATAGTAGATGGGTTTCGTAAATAGCGTACCGTATAAAACATTTGGGTCAGTTTCCATCATATAACCGTGTAGTACGCACGGATCGGACGCCAAATATTGGCTGTGTACACCCACGGTAAAAAGATGATAAATAGGATGCAGAGGAGATGTTTATATAACAACCACTCTATCAACGTTTGAACGCTTTCTTCATCTTTGAGAAAAACGGCAAAGAAGTTCTTTTATGTTATGTTGTGAACTAAAACTTGCCGCATAATGCAGAATAGTGATCAGATCAAAAAAGCTCACCTTTCATTTGATTCGCTGATGACGTAATTTTTGGGTGGGTGGGCAAGGTGGAAGTGTTCTCCAGAAAAAAAAAGTCCGATTGAACAAAAAAAAAAAAAGTTTGCCGCCGTTCGCTCTGTTCAGGGTCAGCCAAAAAAAAGAGGTTGCTTTTTCCAGGTCAAACCGCTACAAGTGGCCCTTTATTCTATTTTCCTCTTTACAGCTCCTGTCTGTGTTTTCTTTTATAAAAGGTACGTACCATCCTCGGTTCATTCTTTGCTTCTTAATGTTAATTCTTTGTTATCCTCCTTCTGCTATTTTCATAGGTACCGTTCTCTCAATGAGCCCCAAATTCATCGATTGGCATAAATCTTTCAAATGGGCCTTGAACTGATGAACCACTGCTTACTCGTTTTCAACGCGTCACTAACTACATTGCACTTTCTAGTTACCAGGCGACACTTTCTGTTCATATAATTGTACATACAGTATAGATATAATTTCTCTATATCTATTATGTCAGGAGACTCACCTTCATTAACGGGTGGCCGCTTCACACCCATTAATAAGAAATATCCTGGGTCACCCAAAAGTTCAGCAGCGAACAGTAACATGGCAGGTGAGTTAAACTTGAACTCCCGAGATTTGCGACCAAACGAAACCTTGTTCAGGAAAACGCACGGTCATTATGGGGAATATTCACTGATGCGTACAAGTTTTTCTCTAACTCCTTGACTTGTGTTTGATTTTCTCTGATGGTGGAAATCATTAGGCAATCGCAATGCTAATGCGCGTGCACGTCTATTGACCAGCAAAATCACAGCTCCTCGTCCCATTAACCTGCCTAGCTTACGGCGAGAAAACGCCGGATCAGAAACACCCGCTTCGCAATCGTCCATCAACACTGGCTGGGGTTCACCTTCCGGATCCCCTTTCGCATCACCGCAAAGTAAACAGGCTGACGTTAAATCGTCAACTCAACTCTCTCCTTCCGAACCATTCAGCGTGTCTCCCACCCTCAGTAAAGCCCCCATCACTTCCAGTTCCCCAAGTCTCTCCACTGCGACCGCTCTATCGTCTTCCCCAAAGCAATCCACACCATCCATTTCAGCTACCTCGCCACCCGTCGCCACCAGAGCATGGGCCGTTCCTTCGACGGTTCCCAAAAAGCCTTCTTTCAGTTCTTCGGATACTTCTGATTTCCCAACTGCGGCCGAAGCAGCGGCAGGTCACAGTAAGTTGGTTCATGAAATTTTTTTTTTCGTGATGAGAGATGTTGTTGTTCATGCATGCTGATCTGGGATCCATTTCATTGTTTGATATTTTTTTCATTGTCACCGACAAAGAACACAAGGAAAACCAGGTAAGCTCATTTTTTTCGACGGATATTTTCATGCTGATTGAACGACGAGACACGTGATAATTAATTGGTTTGGTTTGTGTTCAAAGCCTGTTACCCATGAAAAGAAACCAGAAGAAGCTAAACTGCCTAGCTCAGATCCATCGCCGGGAACAAAGCATGCCATGTGGGACGAGGTAAGTCTTGGGGGAACAAGCAAAGGCAATGGTAAAATAAAGGTAATACTGGTGATCTCACCGATGGCGGTTTAGATGGTGAGCGAAGATTTGGACTACTCCGTTTCCGTGGTCGAATTCGATGATGGCACCAAAGTAGCGTTGGATCCCACCGAAGAGGAACCCGAAGACATTTCAGGCACCGCGGAATTTGTTTCGCCAGCGGAACGCTTTACCGAAGATTACGATCGAAGCTACCCTCCTCAGTTACGTTCAATCCGTGACGAACAGATGCATCCTTTATCGGATGAAAGTCATCGTCAAGGAGGCCAAGGTCATTTCCGATCTTACCGTCACGATCAGAACGACAAGCATGGATCTCCTTATCATCGATGGACTCCCACCGACAAACCCGAAGCGCGATTGCATCCCTATGGTGCAGAGCGACGATCCTCTAACATGTCAACGGGCGAACGTGGCCCGTGGGGTCGTCCTCCCATCAGCGGCGATGGCCATCGACGCGACAGTGCACAATCCATCGATTCGGAACGCAATCCGTGGGGACGTGGACGACCTGATCGAAGACCGAGCCAGGAACATAAATCCGGCTTCCATCCTACCCTTTTACAACGTCCGCGACGTCCATCCGAGCATAGCGCGCGTTCCGAGCATTCGCATGATGAACGTGGATCGTTCCATGCCCCCGATGCCAATTCACCTGCTGGATCCGAGGCTCTTCGTACGTCACCGCCCAAGGAACCGTTTGCCGATCGGCCACCGGAAGTGGCAGCTGCTCAGAGAGAAGTCATGCTGACCGCGGCGGAACGAGCCAAGAAACGACGTGATGAGGAAGAAGCCGAATTTGAAGCAGCACGTGAACGAGCGCGTCAGAAAGCCTTGGCTTTAGCCCGTGACAGTGCGACGAAGGAGCCCAAGGAGACTAAAGAGGCGAAAGAGGCAAAAGACGAATCGAAGGATGCCAAGCCAAAACAGGCATCGTCGAATCCATCTTCTACGTCACCCGCAAGCGAGAAAGCCAAGCCATCGATGTCCTCTGAACGCACACCCTCGCCGGCCAATGCGACGACCAAGTCTTCTCCATCCGATAAAGACGCTGTCAAACGCGAATTGTCATGGGTTCAGATCGTGGACCCCAAAAAGAGAGAATCGCCATCGTTTACCAAATCACCGGCGGCCACGGAAAAGGAACAAGACAAACCTTCAACCGTCGATACTGCTTCGGAACCGCCCAAACCCATGCCAAAGGATTGGACCGAGGATGATATTGCTTGGGAAAATTACGTAAAGACGGTGAAATCATCCAGCAACGATGCCAATGCTCCCATCAAGACCGGAGTCAGTGAATGGAACTCTTTTGCCTCGCGTTTACAGCAATCCACCAGACAACGTCGACAACAGGTGACAGGCGCTTCCGTGGCTGAAGAAAGCAAAGAGTCGAATGAGACCCCAGTGCAACAGCGAACCACACCGGCACCACGAGGTCGCGGTCGCGGTGCTCATGGAGAAGATCGTGAACAAAGTGTTTCTCAGGATCAGGATCGTGGTAGAGGAAAAACATGGGATAATCGTCGTAGCGGCAACGGACGTTCGCGTGACAGTACGGATCTCGGTGCTACGACACCTTCACCGCGCGTTTCCAAAGGACGTGGCGAAACCAGCGATACCTGGCGTCGTGCATCAGCTCCAAAGAAAGAAGAACCATCGCTCCAGGGTGTTGGGATTTCTAGTCCATCAGACGAAACTGCCGTGTCACCGGAATTGACCCAGCCATCTTCCTCCGTTCAACCCTCTTCAGATACCCTTAAAAAACCGTCGAGTGATGTAATCACGGAAACAGAGGAACCCATGGTGACAGCATCCACCACAGCACCAGCAGAGAAGCATCCATCCGCCATTCAATCCAAACCCTCAACGACTACTACAAAATCGGGACCGTCGCGTCGTGTCAAACGCTCCATGTGGTCCAAGGAGAAAAGCTTGTTGCACCGTGCCTCCGCTCCCATTTTTCCCGAAGCCGTCGAACGTATTGCCGCCAACAGACCGGCTTTGTTGAAATTCACAGTGGACACAGATTCTGAGACCGAAGAAGAAGCTTCAGTAAGCATTTGTTCATGATTTAGATCCAAAAAAGTCATGGCAAATTGGCAATTGACCAAAGAGTACAGGCCTTTGTGATGACTTTTAACAGATCGAATTATAATTTTCTTATATTGTCTTTTCTTATACATTTTTTTTCTGTATTTTCTTTCCTAATGTTAACTCTAGGCACTTCTAGAACCTCAAAGTCACACAGTCGCAGCCGATACGGTAGTCGAAGAGGAAGTGGTAGCTGTCAGTATTCCGCTGCAGCAGGAGCAGGAGAAAGTGGCGTCGGCCGAACTTGGCACGGAATCGACTTCTTTGACGGAAGCCATCGTCAGTGATCCCACCAATAATTCGACAACCCCATCCACGGTCTCCTCTTTTGGTGCTAGCTCTTTGAATGTCTCGAATCCTGCTACTGCCCCATCGGTAGCACAGCAGTCAGCTCGTGGACGTGGTCGAAAGATGGAAGGAATGGCACCCGGTTATGCGGATCCTAATATGATGGCCAGTAATCCAAATTACCCATTCTTGGTATACCAGTTCCCCGCCAGTGAGGGCGCAGGCAGTCCTTCGAGAATGCAAGCTTTTACTGGACGATCCGAACAACAAGGTAAGCATTAAATACACGTGTAGTTTAAATAATGATGGATCCGCTTAAAACGTGTGATTAAAAACCATTGTCAATAGCAGATCCGTTCATGTCGCCTGTGAACAAGCAGCAGGGGGCATCGCAACCTCCATTGGATATCTATCTCATGCCACCGCCTCAACAGTACATGTCCAACGGTCAATATTTACCCACTTTCCCACAAACTGGCACTGGTAATATGCGATTCCAACCGGTGTATGTTCCGCGATTCCAATGGAATGCCGCGCCTGGCCCGCAGCGACCTCACGCCGTGTCTCCCACCATGGTCCCTCCGCGACCTCAGTCTAGACGTCCTTACCATGCACCGCGGCCTTGGCAATATACGCCATCCAACACGGATACCAAATATACACCGGGTACATCCCATTCTCCTCCCTCTTTTGAATCCATGCCAAGACCGGTTTGGCACGCACATCCTGCCGCCTATTCCAACCCACCCCGGGGTCACGTTATGAATGGTCAATATCGTCCTCGAGGCAACGGTTATCATCGTGGATCCGGTCGCGGTTATTGGTCCTCTCGTGGTCGTGGTGGTGGTCCTTCTGTTGCACGGGAAGCTCAAGCGTCGACTAGCAGTGAACGATCTTCCTAAACACTCTTTGTGGCCTACCGTATGTTTTGCTTTTCTTTTCTTCTCTCAAAAAAGCTTAACATTATCCTGTGTTCTACCCCTTTGTTTTTCTTTTCTCCTCCTTTTGCATCGTATGCTTTCCGTTTTCCATCCAAAGAAATTAAAAATTCAAGGGAGAAAAAAAAAGAAAAACACTATCATGGATATAACTTAAGCTAGCTAGTGTAATAATTTCCATGCGACAAAAAAAATATTCTAATTTGACAGCAATGTCAAGAAAAATAAATCCAAAAACAGAGAAAGATCCTGGTTTAACAAATGAAGTAACGTAGACAACTAGTCGACAAGTGTGTAAAAGCGGCACGACATTCGCGTGCCAACAGGATTACATTTGAGGATTGGTTTTTTTTTTTTTTGTGATTTATTACAGAATGCCAAATTGATCTCTTTCTTTTTTGCGATCATTTAATCGAATTTTTTTTTTTTTTCACCCCGGATGAGAGACAACCCATCTCTGACAGCTAGTTTATGAGGATACATATTTCAAAATGGGCGCGACACTTGTGCCTTGGATTTTCTTTTTCTTTTTCCGTGTTTACGGTGCTCCGTAGTATCGTACTGTTCGGTCCATACCAGCGGCCAACAGATTGTTTGCGAGAGGACCCCATTTCAATCCGGTGATTTCAGCGGCATTATCCGAGAACGAAGCCAAGGGGGAACCATCCTTGGCTTTCAAGATTGTAACATCGGTACCACCAATGGCAAGGTACTGTCCGTACTCATCAAATGCGAGCGAATGGACCTTATAACCTTCATCAAGAGTGAATGTCTTTGTGTTGCTGAGTTTACGAAGATCCCAAATCTTGATCAAGTTGTCTTCCGAAGCCGTAGCAAGAATGTAACTAAAAAAAAAAGTGGACGTTAGTCAAACTTGAAACAGAAAAGGAAACAGTGCAATCTTATGATGAAACTCACCCATTCTCGGAGAAAGTCAGTGCATTGATTTTGCCGGTATGATCACCAAAGCTGGCAGCCACACGCTGCGATTTGACATCCCAAATACGAATCACGGAATCACCCGTACCGGTACCCAAAATATTACCGTCAGGATGGAATTCAACCGTAGTATAACCTAGCAACAGGGTCAGCCTCATTTGCTGACATTGCCGAATCCAACAGTGATAAGATGATAATACATACCGCTTTGTGAGTCGGGGTCGTAAGCTTCAACAATGGATTTGCCAGTTTCAAAGTCATGCAAAGCCCATTTGGTTTCCAAACTAGCACTGACAAAGTAATCCTTGCTAGGATGAACGGCAAGACCGGTGACTTCACCCTTGTGTGATGTGATATTGTGGGCCATATGGTAACCCTTGGCACCGCCCGCCGCCCAGACACGGACATGCTTATCAGCACTGGCACTGAGAATGATGTCGTTTTCTGTGTCCTGGCCTCTGAATTTAACAGAGGTAATCTTCTTGGTATGTCCCGTCAGGTTGGCCACCACCTTGTCTTCTTCCTTGTCATACACTTGCACATGCTTATCGTTACCACCCGTCAAGATCAGCTTGCCTGTCTTGTCAACATCGACGGCCGTGATACCAGGTGTACGAGATGAATGCATGGAAGGAATGGTGCTTGTCTGAACAAATGTCTTGACAGTATCGGCCGATGTGTGCTCCGCCGGTGGTTTTCTCTTGCGACGACCTTGCGAAAGTCTGTTTGACATATGTATTAACTCCTCTGCATGTTCCATGCGCACTCCCCCCAAAAAAGTCTGATCACTTACGCTTCGCCTGTTTCTGTAATTTTGGCAAGTACCTCTTCAGGTAAGCCACCGGCGTCGACTTCCATGGTTTGTTCAGTTTCAGCAGGTGCGGCAGCAGCAGGTGCCGCTGTGCCCAAATGAGCTTGAACATTAGCGAGAGCACTATAAAAACGTCAACAAGTGAGCATGCAATGACGCCATTATCGAGATCGAACAAAGTGGAGACATGCCAAGAAAAAATAGAAAAACATACTCTCGTGCCGTGTCACGCTCCTTCTTGAGACGCGCAATAACTCGAGCGGCGGCATCGTTTTGGTAAAGGGCATGCGAAAGTTCTTGTCGGACTTGTTGATATTCCTGCTTCAAGGTGAACGATTCGAGCATCACACTATCCCATTCATTTTGCAAAGTCGACAAAAGCGATGGAACCGACGATAATTTGGGTGGACGAGGTTTAACGGTGGCAGGGCCTAAGAAAAAACATGATAGTTAGTTGACCTTTTTTTCCCTTTTCCCGTTTCAATCAAGACTATGACAAAAAAAAGAAAATTGAGAACATACTGGTTTTGACTTCAATCAAATCTTCGGTTGTCATTTCCTCGTTTGTAATAGGATCTTTGCCATGATCGGCAATGTACTTGTGGATTAGTCTCTTTTCAAAAACATTGCCAGACTTGAGCGAGACAACAGGCTCTTCAGGTGCCTCTCCAGAGACTAAAATGGAAAGCATGCATTCAGTACAAACAACCAACTGCAACGTTCTATTTTCAAAACAAAGAACAGAGCAAAAGATACTTTACTTGCACAGAACATGATGAACTTGCAAACAGATGAAAAGCAGAAACTACACAGCAGATAGTGCAAAGACGCGAAAGGTCACAAAACAAAATCGACTCGGATACGTCACAACGTGACAGCGATTCTGTTATTTGGCACTCCGAAGTCCCAAACAGCAAAGGGTGTCAGTCAGAACTGTCGGTCCGAACTAACAGGGGTTTTTTTTATACGAACGAGAAGAAAAAGAATAGGTTTAAACAGGAGGGAGTGAATTAAACTGATTGCAAAGGATTGTGACAAGTATCTATGATCTATTGATGCACCTTTTTGGGTTCTTGCTGGTGTAAATGATTTTGCGGGGTGTCCGGCATTTCCAAGACCGCACGCAATTGGGCATCTGGCAATTCTCGGGTCTTCTTCTCGTCGTCTCCGACGTACATGGATAAACCAGCCGAAGCCATCAACACAGCAATGGTGACAGCTTGAGCATACATACGAGCTTGGACGAGCTTTTGCTGCTTGCTCAGATACTTGTTGGAGAAACTGTATCCCAATGCGCCCACCATCGACAACGCCCAAGAACCACCTGCAAATTTGACCACATCATCCATTGATCAGTATGACGTTGAAATCACTCATGATTATATCTCTCTCGCTCCTTTCTACCCACCAATAACACTCCATCGGTTGTCATTGAGATATCGCAGTGCCTTATCCGTCTTGGAAAGGTTCTCGTCCGGAATGGATCGGCTTCGTTCAATAGCACTCAGCATTTCTTCATCGGCATACCCAAGTTCTCTGTTCTCAAATTCGGTCGTAGCGCGATCAGCCGCAAACAAATAACCAGCCGTACCACCTGAAATACGACAAAAAATCATTGATCAATAAGCAAAAAATTTCACTCACCCGTTGATTTCGTTCATGGATGTCTCTTGCAGTGATACTTTACCAGATACAGTCAGTAAGGATTGGATAGGCCGGCTCAATGCACGGAAATCGGGCGAACGACGAAACGCAAAGAGAGTGGCAGCGGCACCCAAACCAAGACCCACGGCGGCACCTTTGAGGCCGGCTATCATACCGAGACGTTCACTTTCTTCAGCTTGTTGTGGTGTAAGGTGCTTGGTAGGCATTGTATTGGTTTGTGTTGGAAATAAATAAATGAAAGAGTTATTCTTGCGTGCGGAAGAAAGATTGAAAAAGATAAATAAAGGAAAAAAGGCGCTGAGTTTCGTTTTTTGAATCTCATAATGCAATTTTTCGATGAGAGGGATAAACGTTTTTTGTCAACCGCTATTGTGACTGGGTTTTTCGGGTGCACATTGTAGCAGGGCCCCTCCATGTGGCCTCTTTTTTTTTATTCCCCCCAAAAAAAGTGGCATGATTTTTGACATTTTTTTTATTATTATTGTCGTTGTTGTTGTCGTTCTTGAAATGCTTGTCGAAATATTTGGATGAATTTGTTGCACAATGAATGAAATGGGTCTTTTTTTTTGGATCTTTCTGTTTCTACCATCCACCTTTTATGCTCGCTTTCTCTTGGCGCCTTTATCGTCGACTTTCTCCATGGCTTCCCACATTGAGTCGTCTTCCTTGTCTTCTTCGGCCTGCGCTTCTGGAACCGGGAGTTGATAATCATCATCGATGATGACGGCGGTGAGTCTTTGTTTCAAGTACACTTTATGTTGCAACTGTCGATGGACAGTGGTCATTTCGTGAACGCGGAGGAAACGATCCAAAGAAACACTAGCGAGCAAGGGCGCAGTAGTAGTAGTAGCAGAGGAGGGACGATCCAGCGAAGGATGCGGGGTAACTTGCGTATCGGTAACGGCACCACTAAGACCTGAATGAAACATATGAATACATTTTGATCAGAAACAAAGATTTGGGACCGAAGTCATGGAGAACGAAACAAAAAGAGAAACAAAGGTCCAAAAATAAAAAATTGCCCATGAACTTTTTTTTTTTTTTTTTTTTTTTTTTTTTTTTTTTTTTTACCTTTGAAGCGTCCAACGACCTCGCCTTTGTCAAGATCTAAAGCACCCATTGTACTTGTTGTATCGGTAAAAATAACATGACGATAGTCTTTGCCAATGTTGAGAGAGATGATCGGAACTTTGCCGATTTCCTTATTTAGTACCGGTCTTCGGCCTTTCTCGCTGTGATATAATCGAATCTGGATTTTGCATCGGTTTACATGAGAAACTAAGATCGGCCTCGATTGTATCTGTCTTTTGAGTATTTTACCTGATGATACTGAGTGGCAACAGCTACTTCGGTTCCTTCTTCATTTACAAACTGCAGATCACGGATCCACACTGGCACTTGAAGATCAAGGTGGTCATTTTTAACCTAAGTTGCAAGATAAGCATCGAGTCCTTTTTCAGGTGGTAACAAGGTAACTTACGTTTTTAGCTTGGAATACGAGTCCTTTTGCTTTGGGCTTTTCACGTTTATATTTCGCCGTATTGATTGTCTTCTCAGTAGCCGCATCAGGTTCAGGGGCTTTTTTGCCGGTCAACACTAGGACATCGTACACGCACAGGTCGTGATCCTTGCCCCCCACAGCAAATAAATATGGTTTGGTGGGGTGGAATCGCATGATGCTGAGATTGGAGCCTAGCTTGGCAACGTGGGTCGTTGTAGTCGAGGAGGAGGAAAGAGGGGTGTAAGAGAAATCGCCGGTGGAGGAGCATGTAGCAAGATGGCTATGTGAACAACCATGTTTAGCTTCTTTTTTCCATATACACATTTGAAGTTGAGCTTATGTGGTCCACTTACTTGTCAGCGACGTGAACACCGACAAAGTTGCTCTGCTGTTTCTCGTCACCGGTGCCCACACGAGGGTCGTGAAATTCCTTCAAGATCTTGCCAGTGTCGGGACACATAAATTGTACTTTGCCGCTTTTTCTCGCTACCACCAACTGAGAAATAAAAAAGGATTGAGAGTGAGTGAATATCAGCCATGCGAACGAGATCAGCATGTTGCGCGCCGGTACTTACTTGTTTCTGGCCATCAATGACTGCCCATGCCAATTTTTGAACCGCTTCTTCCTTGTTGACTTTGCCAAATACATTTACAATGAATTCCGGTGCTACTTCCTTTTTCTCTTTATCGACCTGTTCCTGATCTTGACGCTTTGCTCGCTTCTTTGGCTTTTCAACTTTGGGAAGAATAATAATGGCTAAAGGTACCGTTGCATTAGTTGTGCGAGGAACTATACCGTTGCTATAGTGCAAACCTACATTTCACCAAACCGCTTTCATCGCCAGTAAAACACTTCATGATGGCGCGATCGTCGAATGGATAGACTTGATCAGGATTCGAGAATGGACAAGACCAGAGAGGAAAAAAGAAAAAAGTCGAAAAATTTGTGACGAGGTAATTTTCATGTCCCCCCGCTGGGGACATTTTCCAACTACAGCATGAAAAAAACGACATTTTCAAATGGAGTGAGGGAATTTTTTGTGCGTGTTTTTCAGTTTGGGGATTACAGTGCTTCCAACAACCAATGTCACTTTCATAGCTTTATGAGACGTGAATGCAACCTTTGGTTTAAGAAGGCTGAATTCTTTATTTTGCCGAAAGAAAGCATTCAATAGACACTAGATCTAGGGTCGTGGATTCTTTAAAAAAAGAAAAGTAACTTTTACAAAAAGACGTATCGAACAACAAGTTCCAAAGGTACATGCAAGAAAGTTGGAATGTAATTTTTTAGATGTTTCTAGTATCCATTTACGATTTTTGTTTTCGAGATTTACTATCTAAATGAGAAGATATAATAGTCCAAAGTACACACTAGATCTAGTGTCAACACCGGAGTTTAACCCAATGAAGAAGAAAATGCGTTTATTGGAAACACTCGGAATGGACATGCGGTGATGGCCAACACAGTTGAACTGTATGGATAGACCAAAACAGTCGATGTTCATCGCGAAGTATTCGACAAAAAAAACGCCTGGATTCTACCGACCTCATTGCCATCACCATTCAAAGCCCCACACACAAATGTTCCCTGTGAGTTTCATGGCAGTGGGGTTGCACTCCAAAGTTCACGACTGCGTACCCTGGTTCGCACGCAAGCGTTACGGAGAATGGAGGACCCGTAAGGTGATGCCGACGATGAAGCTGTTGAGGACAAGGCCTAATGTCCTATGCGAAGACAGCCGTGCGGCCTATTCGGCTGGTCGTGGTCGACTATACTGGGCTTGCGCTGATGTCGCGCAAGCCCTTTCTGAATTTTATGTCGTAAGTCATGGGTTATCAAGATGGAATGCATTATCCTCATGTTTCTTTTTTCTGTATTTTTTTATAGGTCCCTTCCCATGACCATGTTTGTCGTCGTATACCGAGCTTTTGCAGACCCACCATCCTATTCCCTTGTCAAATGATGAGCTCTGCCAACTATTAAACCACGATTTCACCATCATTCCTCATGTAAAACAGGCCGCAGCCCAATTACTTGCTGGATCGATCATCAGAAATAACCTCAACGGGCATGCTGTCAAGCTTAATACTGTGGAAATTTATGGCCAAAAAAAAAAAGCGTCGATACACATCGAGAACCACTCGGTATGAAGAACTAAACGCCATTCCAACATCGTTTCCTCCGCCTGTCGCAACTAGGCATGAAAACGTATGGCCAATGACTCTGGATAGCAACGATGGGCCGTAGTTAGTGGTCGGAACTCTTTCTTTCAATGCGTTAGTGACCTCATCAATTCGTCTCGATCAATAGTGTCAAACCAAGTGTCGGTGCGATAACTACGAATTTCAAATCATCAACGCTGGAAGATTCCCTTGCCACGTGCGTCTACGTGGAACAAGAATGTGTCAACAAGGCGCTAGCATTGGCATAGGGACGACGGATATGATCAAACGCCATGGCGGAACCTCGGTGTCGCTTCAAACCGGATCATCCAAGCTCGTCAACTTCAATCGAAGTATCATCTGCCCTCCACCTATGATACTTTCTTTGCCGTTCCTCTGGCCCATTCACCCCAGCCCACAAATGGCACCCTTACACGGTTTTCACCTTGCGGACGTTGACCAGGGAAGGACTCCTCAAGGGAAAACATTCATCGTCATTGCTGAAAGTGTATTGAAAATGGTGATAAAGCTACACTGGACAAGTCTCTGATACACAAAGTATACCAGAGCTCAACTGGTAACACGAAAACGGTCTTAGCCGACATACTGGATCTTTGTCCTTCCTTCTATCACTCGAGTGGCCATTATGGGTAACGAAGCTCTGAACAAATCGTAGGAAGAATTGGCGCACTCTCTGTCTTCACCCATGTCCACCGCAAGCAGGACTTCTCAAGCTGCTATCTCCCATGCGTTCTCCTGTTTTGATGTGAACTAATCTGGTTCGGAAGCAAGCGTAACGGAGAATGTAGAAGCCGCAATAGTGATGCCGACGATGAAGCCGTTGAGGACGAAGAAAACTCAGGCCACCGAATCCAGTTCGGTACGCCTGCCTTTCTTGGAGAATATGATGGCCATCTTAGTGGACCTCTACCGGTACAGCAAGATTTACGTCTATCCGCCCGGAACATCTCTCGAGTTCATTATCTTGTTGAGTAACTTTATTGAAGACAAACTCGATAAAAAAAACTACAAAAATTTTAGATTAAGCTCAAATTTTTCCTTGAGATTGTGGAGCAGTACTGTAGGATCGCCAGTCACCTTCAACGTGACTAGAAACATTATCGGCGATGGAATAGCCATGTTGCACATCAAGTATTCACATGTTACAAGTAAGAGTGTGACTCACGATCAGATAGGCCGGTTTTTTTTTGCGTTCATAAAACGAGCATAGATGAAAAAATTTATTTAAAGATTTAATAAGCATAGGAATCAATATGTGAAGAAAAAAAGAAAAGGGGTGGGGGGAAACAGGTGCTTTCTTTTTTGGTTTTTTTTTGCGTCAATAAGATGATTATCTTGTGGATGATTAAAGGAAAGGGGAAGGATAACACAACAGGTGTGAAAATAACAAAAAAAAATTAATCTTTTTCGAAAAGCAAAAGGAAAACAAAAAGACAAGAAAAACAAAACCTATTCAGGTTCTGACACGGGAGGACCCCGTCAGAGAAAAGTTACGGAAAAGGTGCCGGCAGCCAGTAAAGGAGGTATGAAAACCTTTTTTTTGGGTTTGAAGATGATAAAAGTTCGTCGTCGATGAATCACTTGCACGTGGGCATAAACTGTCATACATTATCTTCCGTGTAATGGTGCCGTTGGATCATGTGGCGGGTAAGAGCGTCTTTGCGGCTGAAGCTCGAGGTACATTCTTCACAAGCAAACAATCGCTCGCCATGGTGCACGGTGGAAATATGTCGTTCGCAATCATGTTTGCGGTCAAAGGACTTGCTGCAAATATGACAAGCGTATTGCTTCATTCGATTTCTGTCGTGTGTTTTGATGTGCGTGCCGAGGTTATATCGACGGCTGAATCGGTTCAGACAGACAGGGCATTGAAATCGTTTGTTTTCGTTGTCAACAAGGGCCTTGTTGGAACGCTTAATTCGTTTGGTACCAATGGTTTCCACAACCTGGGAATCGTCAGTCGCACTGCGCTTGACGCCGGCAATGGGTAACAGGGTTTCAGCCTGCAATGTGGAAGGTTCCCATGATTGCTGCTGCTGCTGTTGTTGTTGTTGCTGCTGCGATGGTTGCAAGGCGGAATCGATATCGTCAAAGGATTCAGGGAAACAGTGGCCAAAAAGATCGGCTACATCGGTGGCTGCAGAGTCTTCGTTTTCCATGGTGGGCAATACATCGACGATAGCTTTATCTTGTGCAATGTCGTCAAAAGATTCGAAAAAGGGAAGTGAAGCATCCTCGTTCACATTGGAGATCGTTGCGCCATTGTTCTGAAGAACAAGTTGCGAAGGATCCCCGGTGAACTGAGGTATAGGGCTGCTCTGTACCAACTGCTCGGCTGAAGGCATCAAAAAATTGGGTTCGCCAAATAAGTCATTATCGTTGACTCCAGCATCATTCACAACGTCAATGAAAGGTGAATAGAAAGGCGAGTTTTGGTAATCACCAAAGTTAGTGGCGGGTGTGAATGGAGTAAAAGGAGTATTGTAACTGGAATCAAGAGCAGGGGTATTCATCATGGGCGATTCACCGACAACAGCCGAAGCAGCAGCGGGTGTGATATCACCCATTAATGCGGCGAATAGGGAGTCGTCATTGGGCAATGGTTGTTGTTTGCCTGTTTCACCAAGGGAAAGGGCAGCAGCTAGTGCGGCACAATGTAAAACAACAATGAGATCACAAGCCGCTACGAAATCGCTTTCGGCATACTCACCATCAAAGTCCCAGAAAGAGAGATTATCGTAACCAAACTGAGAGTTCATAATGTGACGTGCGGGAGTAGATGATGAAGTAGGTTCAAGAAGGAGTTTGTTCAAGTCGTTGATATTCAAAATAGCTTGATTGGATGAAGTGGGCATGCAATAAGTTAAAGTGGATGAAGCCAAATGCAAAAGATGAGAGGGGTATATAGTGTCCAAAAGGAATAAACGAGGAAAAAAAAAGAAAAAAAAATTAAATAAAAGAAGAGGCAAAAAAAGAGGAGAAAGAAGTAGACAGAAAGAAGTAGGTGGCCTGAACCCGAAATTCGATCATTTATACAAAGTTGCTGTTTTTCTTTCTCAGACGCCGCAGCAACTTTCAGTTCATTCTCCGCAAAGTGAGTCACACAGCAGAAAGGTTTCCATGGCAACGAAGGCCCTTTTCCCAGGAGATGACCTCCTCAGCCAAGCCCACGGTGCTTGGTGTACCGGTTGGCCAATTGCCTTTTTCAGCTATTTCATATAAAGATTCGGCTTCTTGTTTGGGAAACTTTCACAAGAAGTTCTGCGCCTCAAAAACTATTTGCGTCATTTGTTGCCAGAGATAGGTGAGAATAGGGGGTGATTTTTTTTTCTGCGATTGATTAATAAGCCCTCGGTGAAGTGTGCCGAAAAATTTTCCCTTCCCCACCTTGCTTCATCGTTGGCGCGGGGACTCAAATCCAATGCAGAGCTTTTTTCGCTTTTTCTTTCGATTTTTTTATTTTATTTTATTTTCCAGTATTCGATGATCGTCGCTTGTCCTCTTTCAACCATTTTACTCCGCGGAGTCCAAAGTTTAATCTGCTGTTGGATGACTTGCAGTATACACAACCTGGGGTTTAGGGTTAACCTTGGTGGATTTGGAACTTTTCAAGTATTATCGTGTAAGTGAGGGTCGAGCATGTCGCTAGGTTCGTATTGGGTACATTGCATAAGCACATAATGATTGGATTGAGTTTTTTATTGCAATGAATTTCGCTTGGCAGATGTACAGAAAAAAAAAGTGAATGCTATATTTATATTATATGGCCAGATTAGGCAAGTTGCTTGGCGGCGGCTTCAATGCTGGCAATCACATTATTCAGTGCCAAGTCGGTCTCTTCCTTGGAAATATTCAACGGAGGAATCAAACGCAGTGTTTCGTAGATGGAAGTGGTAAGGACGAGGGTATCCCGCTTAAGTGCCTCTTGAGCCACCGAGCCTGCAAAACCGGTGGGCACACCCATGAACTCGATACCAATCATCAAACCTAAACCACGGATATCCACTTTTACATTTTCGGGGACCACGGTAGGAATGCGTGATCGCAATCCGTCAAAGAATTGTTTCGATCTGTAACGAGCAAAAAAATCAGTGGGATCAGGGATTGCTCTTTTTTTGTGTGTGTTTGTCCGTCGGTTACCTTTCGTTGCATGATTCCAAAATCTTTTCTTCCTCAAAGATTTGAAGTGTGGCTTTGGCGGCAGCACAGGCAATGGCATTACCGGCATAGGTACCACCCATGGATCCTGGAGGTTGCTTATCCATGATGTCCTGACGCGAAACAATAGCTGATAAGGGATAACCGGAAGCAATGCCTTTGGCCATGACCAAGATATCAGGTGTCACACCGAAATGTTCCACAGCAAACATCTTTCCTGTGCGTCCAAAACCGGACTGGACTTCATCACAGATAAGGAGAATGCCGTGTTGATCGCAAATACGACGCAAACCGTCCATAAAGTCTAACCGACACCCATCAGCACTTTATCCAAAAATGATCCATTCCCAGTGGTCAAACTTACTCTGAGGAGGGACGACGTAACCGCCTTCACCTTGCACGGGTTCAACGAGAATAGCGGCGGTATCCTGAGGAGCGGTGCGTTGCTTGAGCAAAAGTTCGACCTGGTGGAGTGCTTCCTCACCACACCATTCAGCTGTGAAGCGGTTAGGATCAGCTTTATGGGCAGCCCACTGCTGATAGTAGGGGAAAGGAGCCACATGGACACCAGGCATGAGGGGGGCGTAACCAGCACTGTAGATGGTCTTGGACGTGGTCAATGCCATGGTACCAAAGGTGCGACCGTGATACGAGCCTTGAAACACGATGATGTTCTGTCGCTTGGTAGCGTGGCGGGCCACCTTAATAGCGGCTTCGACGGCTTCCGAGCCTGAATTCCAGAAGAAAAAGGTATCAAGTTCTGGAGCTGGCATGCGAGGCTTCAAGGCTTCGATCAAATCCAACATAGGCTTTTGGAAAAAGATATTGACTTGACCATGTGACAAGGTAGCGGCTTGCTCTTGCACTGCCTTCACAACCTTGGGATGACAGTGACCTTTCAAAATTTTTTCCCACGTTTTAGCTTTCCATGGATCCGCGTTACCAATGACGGTGGCCGGGTTTTTGACTACATACCTGTGTTGGTGACACCAATGCCTGTGGTAAGATCAAGGTACTTCTTTCCTTCGACAGTGTAAACAAATGTGCCCTGGCCTCTCTCGATCACCAAATCAGTACTACGGCCAATGCCCTTGGCGATATGCTTCTTGCCAAACTGAGCGAGTTTTTGAGATGCCATAGTGATATCCGTGATCAGAAAAAGATAGATTGATAAAATAAAATGGGGACAATGGGCAGTATTCACAGAAGTATAAAACGACGTAGTGCGAGAAAAGAAAAAAGAATCCGTTGGTCTTAAAGAATGGCCCTTTTATAGACCAGAGAGCAGCTGAAAACTCCCATCAAGCGCCTTGTTTCCCGATGCATTTGTAAGCTACAGCCAATGAGATGGGTTCAGCAGGTACATATTTGGTAAAATGCTATTTGGGTGACAGTCTCCGCTAAAGCTTTGTGACTAAGACTTCTGGCTGGAATGACGGTGTTTGACAAATCATGACTGTAGCCAAGATTTATTCAGACAGTAGTGGCGTTTTGGGCCTTTAGTGCTTCCGTGAAGCAGGGCGCTTTTGTAAAAGAGGCGGCGCCAGACACTTTCATAAGGGAGGCTCACTTGGGCTTTTGCGGGTGATTTAAGACTCCGCACATAGTCACATCGAAGAAAATTTCTGTTTACGTGTTTGCAGTGATTTTTTCTTTTCCCTTTCCGTCTCCAAACGACAAGTCATGGCCGTTCATCTTCCTTCTAGTGAACCCCTTAAAGCCGTCCAGCTTGATGGATTGGTAATTGACTCTTATGAAGCGTCTTTGATTTGACCATGATCTTCTGATACGATTTTTTCATTCTGATAGGTGGTCCTTAAAATCATTAAACATTGCCGTGAATCGTATCCCAGCGATGTGACAGGCCAATTGCTTGGTCTGGACGAGCAAGGTGTTCTTGAAGTGACCAATTGCTTCCCTTTCCCTTCGGAAGATGACGATGACGCTAACGGTGAGTGAACATTCTTTGGTGATCGTATTATGAATGGGTTATTCACGCGTGAACTTTTGCATGTCTTTCTTAGCACAATACCAGTTGGACATGATGCGTTGCCTTCGTGCGGTCAATGTCGACAATAACACTGTGGGCTGGTACCGGTCGACCCACTTGGGTAACTTTGTTGATCTCAGCTTGATCGATACTCAGTACAATTACCAACGCACATTGAGCGCTCAATCGGTGGTGATCATTCACGACGTCTCTAAGAGTGCCGCTCAGGGTAACCTGAACTTGAGAGCTTTCCGCTTGCAAGAAGCTTTCATGAAGGTGTACGAAACCAAGAAGTTTACAACCGAAAGGTATGAAACCCATTCGAGTCGTCGGTGCAATAGTGCACTGCTGGGATCAGCGAAAACGGATCAAATTGCTAACTTTATCCGTTTCTTCAAAAAAAAAAGTCTCGCTCAGGCCAAGTTGTCGTTCTCCAACATTTTCGAGGAATTACCTGTCCAGGTGCACAACTCTCACTTGGTGACCTTGATGCTTCACAATATCGAAATGCCCCGATTGGAGGCTGATCGTCTTCGCTCACTCTCCACCTTTGCTTCGATGCAAAAGACACAGTTCGAATTGGAAGACGCAAAACCACTTTCGCCCAACTTTGACGTGTTGGATTTGGAATTAGATCCTTTCATGCAAAAGAATCTGGAATACCTTTTGGAGTGTTCTGACGTTCAGCAACAGGAACAGAATAACTATCAATATTGGCAACGAAGCGTGGCCCGTGAACAAGCCAAGATGCAAGCATGGCTCACCAAGAGAGTAAGTGAACATGAACATTGGAGGTTGACTGTTGAAATTGGGGTTATTGACATGGAAATGGATGGGTTTGATTAGCGACAAGAGAACGCGCAACGTGCCACTCAAGGAAAGCCTCCGTTGCCTCTTAACGAAGTCAATACTTTGTTCAAGCTCCCTGCTGAACCTAGCCGTTTGGACTCCATGATCCTCAGTGCACAGATGCACAACTTCACGAAACAACTCAACCAATTCGCAGGACCGAGTCTTGCAAGATTGTATAGTATTCAAGAGCTCCAGAAGTAAATAACCATATCTCTTTGTCTCCTCGCATCAGTCCAAAGAAAAAACACATCGAAAAAAAAGAAAGAAGATGGAAAATCAATTCTTCTATCATTTACGTACATTACAAAGTCTGGTAAAATTTTCAAGTCTGGGAAAACAAGGTGAAAAAAGTAGGCGATTGGATTGCCTCTGGATAGAATCATCACGATACAGAACGACGGGGATGGGATGGAAGCGAAACCTGTTGTGGAAGGGACGGATGAATGTATGCCATTGGTGAAGTTTCAGTGCGGTGGGGAAATGGTAAAGGACCAAAAAAGGATCGGCTGAATGGTGTGGATGGCCATTCGATGCTTTTCAGAGGAGGAAATGTCCGCTCGACCCGATTCTTTGGGAATCACACAACGTCAATCCACTGTCAAAAAGTTATCATCTCAGATCAAAGCAGTGCTTCATAAAAAAGCATACTTTTTTTTAATTTTGCCATCATTTTACTCTTTTTTCTTTTCCTTTCCTTTCCTTTCATTTTTCTTTTATTGGAGCGCTCAATTTCATTTTCTTCCTTTGCGGCGTCCCATCCTTTATCACAATCGTCCTGTTTCCTTCTTTACAGTGATGGATATTTGTAATTTGTTGAATCACCACAACGACCAGCGACCCTCTTCGGCAAGATCATCTCCGTTTTACTGCACTTGGGATGGGTGTCACAAACCATTCACTCGTCGGTCCGATCTCGTGCGTCACTTGTGCATCCATACAGGAGAGAAGCCTTACAAATGTTCATGGCCCGATTGCAGTAAGCACTTTATTCAACGCTCGGCTTTGACAGTTCACATGCGCACGCACACGGGTGAACGACCTCATCTTTGTGAATATCCAAACTGCGGCAAGTCATTTGGCGATTCTTCCTCCCTAGCACGCCATCGACGCACGCATACCGGCCACCGCCCGTACACTTGTGAATGCGGTAAATCGTTCACTCGTCGAACGACGTTGGTCAGGCACCGGCAGCAAGTGCCTTGCCACCAGTTCAATGCGTTATCTTTAGAAGCAACATCACAAGTGTCCTCCCCGTCCATTGCAGGTTCACATGGTTCCGCTTATTACAGGTATGCCGCAGCATCTCCACCTATGCCAAGGCAGCCAACCATACCTCCGAGACTGCCTTCACTCTCATCCTTCTCCACCGATCCGTCCTCCTTCGCTACCCACCAGGTGTTATCTTCTACCAAAAATTATCCACACACCTTCTTTCCACCTTCCCCTCCATACCCCTCGAAGCCCGCTACGCATCCTGATTCGTCTTCTTCCCATTCTTGCATTCACTGATATCATTTGAATATGTTCTCTCATACCTTCGAACTCCGACCTTCCCATCCTTGCTCCCTTCTGTATGCAACTATGTAACGTAGTTTAATAGTAGAGGAGCAGTTGCCATCTACTTTCTGTATTCGGAAGGCGGCATTCGATACTTTGATGGCCTATTTCCACTTTCACAGAGTACGATGCAATCCCTCAGAAGCCACGTCATACTGAGAAACTGGAGCGGATAGACATGATGTCTTGAATGGAATAAAATCAAAAATGCACGTCATGATGAAGCATTCCTGCAATTGTTAAACCAAAAAAATTTGTTCATCGATCGTCTGGGTTTAAATGTATTCGACATCGGGGATCAGCGCAGCCGTCTTCCAACGTCGGCTTCTATGGAGAAGTAGTCACCCTGCGCTAATAACATGAACAGTGAAATAGAATTGCTCCTGTATTTAATTATGTAATGCAACTGAGTCATAAATAGTAGGAAAAAGCGTGCTTGCCAATGCAATTGTGTGCCTTCATCTGCCAGTGAGAGGCGACATCTTTTGAGTGAAGGATATCCAGGGCTGTGAAAGTCAGGCAGTCTACCATTGTTCAAATTAAATTATCGTTTTCATTGCGGTCGTTTTGATGGGAAGAATGAAATAAAGTCAGATGGATGTAACCATGGCTCGAAGAGGTTACATTCCAAGCGGAAGAAATGTTTCATAGTCGTTTGTGATGCCATCAGACGGGTCTTTCTTCTAGCCACCAACAAACTTGACCCAACGGACATGCTTCTTTTTTATCGGCTGTTTGTGTTGTGCTATCGCGAGTTGGGCAGCTGATTGATGTTTCAAGGGCAATCAGCGTGTATTTTACAGCCATATCCTACTGATTGCAACTGGAAGAGGATGTGCTTCTTGTTGTTGTTGTTGTTGCCTGAGCAACATCTGTTGCAATGGAATTCACAACATGAAGTATTTTGTGTCATGGGATAGCTACGATGAGCCAAATGGATGCGCAGCTTAAGCAACAAACATTGTGTGATGGACGCCTGGTGTTTAAGAAGCTTAAACAACAACAATTATAGATAGAGAAAAAGATAAACAACACTTGGTACTGTGGTGCTGACCGATGGCGACTTGGCCTAATAACAGGACACCTGGTCAGTGGAACCATCGCGAGAATGTCCTACCCAACGGCGAATGTGACAAAGTTTTAAGAACACGATGTCTAATGTGGTCTTTCAAAGAACGAGTCGAGATAAATTCAAGATGCAGACATGGATCCGACCAACGCATTACGGTCGCTTTATTCAGAAATGGAAGCGCCGCTTATATAAGAACATAGATTCTTTTAAGAAAAGAGTGATCAATACGATGGCGGAATCCAATGAAAAAATACAATGTTTTAGCGACATAGATCCCAAATATGGGAGTTTGGCTTTTTTAATGACGTCGAGTTTAAAAGGAAGCTTTTTGTTTTTTTTTAAGAGCGCTAACGGATGCTCTTACTACGAACCAATGCGGGACGATTGTTGAGTATGGATTTTGTATCATATTTACTTCGGCCGTCGTGTTCGAAGATACGCCAGAATTTCAAGTTCTCGTCAGCTGCGGCTGTGGCGACCATTTGACCATCGGGGCTCATGGCGGTATGCAGGATTCTGGAATCATGACCGGGAATATCGATAATTCGATTGAAGGAAGGGTATTCCCAAACCGTAAGTTGATTATTGGGGTATCCATGCGAGGACACAATTTCTTTGTAATGTTTCGACCAATGCAGGGAGGTAATTTGAGATTCGGTATCGATTTTGTGGATTCGCAAACTTGTTGATGTATTCCACACCTGAATACTGCGATCGTTTCGGCCGCCACCCGTCGCCAGAGTGTGACGGTTCCAAGGACACCATGCTAATGCCTGGAAACGAACATCAAATTAATCCATTGACAGGTGAAAGAAAAAGTAAAAAATGAAGAAGAAAAATGAATATTTACCTTGACAGCACCTTCATGTCGTTTTGTGAGACGTGGTTTATTGGATCGGACGTCCCATACTTGGACGACATTGTCGTTGCCACCACTGGCTAACATGGTACCATCCCATCGCCATTGAAGACCACACACTTCATCGCTATGGCCGTTGAGTTCCATCACCTTGTGTTGCGAAATACGCACGTCATGGTGCCAGATACTTCCATCTTGAGCGCCAGAAGAGACCAGATGTTTATCCCAGGACAGGACGCCAATACGGTGTTGTTGTCCAACCATAGAACGTAGTTTGGTATTGGCTTCGGCATCCCAGACTTGGGTGTCGCCGTTGGCTGTACCGACTGCAAGATAGGCGCCATCGGTTGACCATCGAACGGAAGTAATGGCATCTTGTCCTTGGTAATTTAAGGGACGAATGGAGCCATTGTCCGCGTTCCACAGATACACGGAGCGATCCAAGGCAACAGCGACAACATTGAGTTTGGACCAATCGAGCAAATTCAAGTAATAATCGTCGGCAAGGTATGGTGCATCCAGGATTTTTACGGGTGCCGTGAGGATACGACGTACAGTTGCAGGAGCCGTGGTACGTAAGGTGTAATCAGCACTGTTCTTGGTCATATCGGGGACTTCAGGTTCAGCCTTTTCTTGCTTGGAGGAAAGGAGTCGACCGGTCTGCACGCCACACGCATTCGCGACAATTTGCCTATATGTTTGATCACTTTCGTCCAGGGACAATGTTTGCTTTTTTTCCATGAAACGATATTGCGCCGATTCGATGGTTTTTTGATCTCGCGCAGGAATAAATCGATCATTCTAAAGGCATAGTGACCAGCCCAAAAAAGAAAAAGAAAAAAGAACGAGTCATATGAGTATAACATGCATGTTGAAGGAACAATAGGATGGGTAAACTATAATGACGGAAGAAAGAAAGAGAGAAAGAAAGAAATAAATAAATAAAGAAAAGGGGTTTGCGGAGAAACGAATAAACAGTACCGTGGCTGCCGTCTTGGGGCGTTTCTTTGCGTTGGTAAGCCAGTTCTTTGCGAACGGATCCAAAGTGCATTGTGCCGAATAAGAACGTTTCAACGACTGACGACGGACAGAAGCTTCCACTTTTTTGGTGACGGTGGTGCTTGACGTTGGCTTGCAATAGCCTAACGATGGAGTCAAACGGCCTTGCACCCCTTTACCAGATTTGGCATCATTCTTGGAGGAAGCGCTTCCAATGTTGCTGACCGTGGCGTTTCTATTAGACAAGACGGGGGCTGGCTTGCTTTCTTGGGTAGACTCCACTTTCTTCCGATACGGCACTGCGCATTCGCGTTGGTCGTTCACGGTGTCTGACGAGCTCTCATTCTTTGTATCATCGTGAGTAGCTCCCATGGTGATAAAACAATGGGTTCTAGGCGTGGTGGCGATGAAAAAATGAGAGTCAGAGAGAGAGTAGGCTTAGAGCAACCTAAACCAACTTAAAAGGGAAACACGACAAGAAATCTTTCTGTTTTTGTACGCTGTGCATTAAAAAAAAAAAAGCCGCGTGACTGCAGCCAGACCCTGTTACAATGTCTGAATATCCGCTTGAAAAAAAAAATTGTCTTGATCGATCCGTCCATTGTCTTGCGTGAATGTATTGAAATGACGTCGATCGAAGCATGGATTGACAATGTGAACAACGACATTGGCGGCTGTCGTACACTGGTGACACGACTAGTGAACAAGATACACGGTATCAGATCTTATGCTATGCATCGTCAAGCTCTGTCACCGTTACCTCGTTGCAAAGGAACGGTGCTGTACGGAAAGCCAGGCACCGGCAAAACCGCGCTTTCAGTAGCTATCGCGAGTATGTATTTGATATCCAATGTTGTTTGTATACCGGAATGGATCTGCATGGATACAGGAATTCAGGGCGGGGACTGCCTACTGCAATGGATCATGAAATTAATGAGACCCTCTTTTTTTCCCCTCCCATCTGCCACTGCTGTCTCTTTCGATCATCTCTGAAAACTTCCAAAGAGCACTCGCAATTACCTTATTATTTGATTAATGGTCCAGATGTGTTTCAAACAGGTACCTTTGCTACGCTTCGCTTGGTCGGCTCTCGGCAGGCACGACAGTAAAGTTGTTGGTTTTCTGATCAAGTGTTCAATGTGTAGAGGAAGGTGCCAGCGAAATTCAAGTCAAAAAAGTGTTTATGAAAGCTTTGGAGCACAAGTTCTCCATTATTATTATCGATGAACTGGATATGATTGCAGGGAATCTGAAAGCTCAAAAAGGAGCCTTAGATATGCGAATAGCCTCCACTTTATTGTCAATGATTGATCGTGTCAATCAGACAGAAGATGACCACTTTGTCTTTATTATGGGTACGCATACAGTCGTTGGAGTATCCTCTCTACAAAACACACGTTCACCGTAATCGCTGTTGATGTGTAGGCCTTACCAATCGACTTCACGCCGTTGATCCTTGCTTTTTACGCTCCGGTCGTTTGGATAATCTTGAAGAAATCAAAATCACTTCTCCAAGCCAACGACGAGATATATTGACCATTCTTACTCGGCGTACGTAAGACAGCCATAACTGACGGGCAACGCCATCCTAACAGTTATGTATACCAATCACAGGGTTACCCTTTGTTTCAACTGTGGAACGTAATCAAGTGCTGGATCGCATGGCCAGTGTCACTCACGGATTTGTGCCCAGTGATCTGCAGAGCCTGTGTGCACAGATGATCTTGATTCTTGTTAAAGAGCAGCATCAAAACGATTCTATTGAAACCCATCACATCCATTGGCACCATGTGGAAGCAGTTCTCGGTATTGTGCGTCCTTCCAATTTAAATGAATATGCATCCAAGGTATGATACAAGTTGATGTGGATAAGCGCGAGACTGTCCTGCTAAACAAAAGCGATACCCTCCCCATTTAGGTGCCAGATGTAAGATTCTCAGACATCTACGGAATTGATGACATTGTGGAAACCATCCAGGTACGAATTATAATAATAATAATACCCCTCCTCCCAGCAAAAGAAAGAGACATGTAAACTAATCGGTGCTAATTATTCTTTATAGGCTTCCGTTATCTATCCTTTCCATCATCCCGAGGAATATCAATTGATGGGTATTCATCCACCTCGTGGCATCATCCTGTATGGTCCACCAGGGGTGGGAAAGACAATGCTTTGCTCTGCGTTAGCCTCTGAAGCCGGCATCAACTTTATGTTTGTCGAGGTAAAACACTCATATTTTTCAGCATGATCGGGATACTGAGGAGCAATCACGTAGAGTTCCCACATTCGTTCGAAAGTGGTGGGTGAGTCGGAGAAAAATATTGCCAAATTATTTGCCAGTGCACGAGCCAATGCGCCATGCATATTATTCATTGATCAGGTAAGTGACCAGCTCTTGGAGATTGTTCCCAGAACCCGTCATCTCATGCATGCTGTAGATTGACATGCTGTTACCTAAGCGTGGATCAAGCCGCACTTCGGAAAATACAAGTGACCGCATCGTCACCAGTTTCCTTACAGGTAAGCAATCCATTTGTGTATGAGATTGAATATCGCCACAACCCTGTTCTTTGTCTCACCTTGCTGTTCTTTTTGACAAAGAAATGGATGGGTTATTGACAAAATCAAATCGCGATGATCAAGTGCATATTGACGTTCTCGTTATTGCAGGTAATGGCGGTGCGATGTGTCTTGCACGTTAAAACAAACAATTAATTTCTGCTGATTTGTTACAGCAACCAACCGTATCGAAGTGATGGATCCAGCTGTTCTGCGACACGGACGCTTTGATGAACATATCCATGTCCCTATACCAAATGCTGAGGTTAGTACGCTCCAAGTTGATTAAATGTGCGATTTTTCTCCTCATCAACAAAAAAAAATGGGTTTGCTACTCCATAGACCCGTGCCGCCATCATTCGTGGTTTATGTGCAAAGATGCCGGTTGTGATGAATGATGAGGATATAGCACAATTAGTGCATGAGACATATCATTGGTCAGGTAGCAACAAAAACCAGTTTACCAGGGTGAAATACATCGTCTCACTCTTTCTTTTTTTCTTCCCTAATATGCAGGAGCAGAAATCGATAATTTATTCCGAGAGGCTGCTTTGGCCAGCTTACGAGAGAATGTCAACAACGCGACAGTAAGTGAAATTAACGTCTATATTACTAAAGGCTATCCCAACCCACAATTTATTCTGGTCATTCCCTTGCAGATCACAATGAATCATATTCACTCTGTAAATGCACCGAAACAACGAAATCTCACATAACCCTAATTGACCGAGGCAAATAATTTGGCATGCATCCGCTTCATAAAAATTCTCCTTTCAGTCATCTCATCTTCTTCTTTTTCTTTTTTCCCATCGTTTAAAACAATCTAAAGCCTATTTTTTGTCCTCCAAAATGATGCCAACGTATTGTCTCTTCATTACATATGCCATCTTGCTGGTGGCTATTCCTGTGATCGCTCAATGTCCTTGTTTCCGGAACCAGTTCTTACCGCGCCTTAGTCACTTTGTTCGTCTTGATCTCGTAGGTCGTGACGAACTCATCGTGTGTATCGGATTCATGACGCTCTACACGTATTTCATCATGGGTATCCTTGTCGAATTTTTCCACACCAAACCCAACATTGCCTACTGCACAGTCAAGAAGACAACCACGACTTCCACCACTCCCGTGACGCGTCGCTCATCGACCGGCGCTCGAACAAAAACAGCCGAAGTAGAAGTCGACGTGGACGAGCATACTCAAGCTACAAAGCACACCATTCGTTTCGAGCGCGCTCACCAGCAGCTTCGTCAGCTGTTCCCAGGTATGTGGTCTACTTTGTCTGACAGCCTTCGGTACACTAACCAAATACAACTTGGCCTCTGCAGCGTTTGTTACATCGGCGCTTTTGATGTGGGCTAATACAAACAAGTTTGACACATATCGTCACGGGTAACGTAGTGTGATGCAAAAGAAAGTGGAGAGATGAATTTTCTAACACTAGAGCCGTATGATTAGCTTCCTTTTCCTGCAAGGCCTTATTCTGTTCCTCTTACCTTTTGCGTGTGCTTGCCCAAAACGTATGCTTGGCGTGACAGCGAAAATCGCTTATCGCTGTGCTCTTTATTGGACTTTAGCCTATGCCATGATGCCAGGAGAAACCAATGCTGTGCTTTGTCGTATTTCGCACTTTTTTGGCCATCGTTCCGACTGTAGTCTGATGGGCAAAGAATGGGCTCTCTGAAATAGTGTGACTGAACTTTCGCGTAATCTAGAATGAAATAAAAGCCGGGAAGACACAAATTTCCCTTTCGTGTTTAAAAAAAAAGATTATATTTTTTTTTCTTTTCCGCTGTGGTTCTTCTTTAGCTCAATAAACACATTGCAACATGTCTCTTGAACTTGAGCCTTCCGATTTGCTTCTTTTTCCTCGTATGTATTCATCTCATTGTTTCCCTCTCCTTGCTTAACGTACCAAGTGTGGTCATATTGACTCGACAATTTTTTTTGGCCATCTTTAGGTCCTTTAGCCGATGGTCCCAGCGTTCTCATGAAAGTCCATAATACCGGCGACGAATTGTTGGCCTTCAAAGTCAAGACTACTGCTCCTCGACATTACTGCGTTCGTCCTAATGCTGGCCTTATTGGTCCAGGTGACTCTTTAAGCATTGAAGGTAATCCATGAGCCGCAGTAGTCTCATTAATCTTGTCATTAATATCGTCTGTGTAAGTCACTTTGCAACCTTTGAAAACGGAGCCAGCCGATAACGCTACCTGCAAAGACAAATTCCTCGTCCAAAGCATTCCAGTGATTGGCAATTTAACCAAGATGGACTTGTCTGATTTAGTAAGTGACATGAGTAAAATGGGCAAAACGGTTTGTGTGTTACTCATCAACGAATCAGTGGACTCATGTAGAAGCCAACCTGAAGAATGAAATTCGACAAAACAAACTCAAATGCGCCTATATGAGCAACACGCACCTAGTGAACAAGGTAACTTGAAAATGCCTTTGGAAAGTGGGTCTTTTCTGTCTGAGCTTCATCCACACCTCGACGCGCGTCATGGGAAAGAGGGTCTTACAATATGGGGTCAGTGATAATGTGTGACTCTCTTTTGTAACTTTGATGGAATAGACATCCCAAGTGGGCACGGCAGTAGCAAGTCAGCAAGCTGAAATCAAGAACAAGGCTCGTCAAGAAGCATCGTCGCAAGAAGACTCTGAAGTAGCAAGAATGAAAAAGAAGCTAGCGGAATATCAGCAAGAAATAGCCGCTCTTCGCAAGCGCACCGTTGAAGATGAAAGCAAGAGAGCAAGATATGAAGAAGGAAGCGAGCCCATGATCCGAACGCAAGTCATTGAGAAGACAAATGGATATCCTCCGCATATTGTGGTCTTGCTGATTGCCTTGACCGCCGTTGCAGTATGGTATTTTATGAATTCTCGCTAAGATGGGAAGGAAAATGGATTTGGATGAGAGAAGGGACAACGGATTCTTTGCTAATGTTGGCCACAACCAATTTCTGCGGTTTTTTTTTTTTTTTTTTTTTTTTAAAAAAAGAAAAAAACTATTCCCTTGAAAACTTTATGATATACTTGTTCCTAAATTTGTCAAAGAAAAAACAAACCAATCTTTCAGTATAGGATAAACAAAAAAAGAAAATGGTTGAACAGAGTTCTTGATGAATTAACTGTCGATGACTTTGCTTCAAAAAATCAATAATAAAACAGCTGTATAAAAAAAAAGAAAACAACCGCTATCGATCTAATCCTGTTTGGCTTGGCGTCTCAATTTCATGGCCTTGTAATCACCGTTGAAGGGCAAGGCAATCTTCATGATTTCAGTAAATACGTTCCAGTCCAGTAATTTGACAAGCAACACTTTCATAACAACGGTAATTGGACCCTGGTCAGAGACAACCACCTTACCGGCATTGCGGCAAATGGTATCGGCAATCACACTGGGAGGAGACGATAACTTTTGCGCGGACAACAGTGCTGACATCTTTCCAGCATTGCTGTAAAAGTTGGAATTGATAGGCGAAGGATGCTGTATATATGATAATGTAAGAAAACAGTGTTCGCTTTGCAGGGTTTATATGAGCAATCACTTACCACGACAAGCACGTCAATACCATCTTCCGTATACTCTGCAGCCAAGGATGCAGCAAACGTGGTTAAAAAGATTTTCGTGGAAGCTTTTTTAGATCACGTTAGCGCTTGGTTACAACTCCCTAGTTAATCCAAAAATGTCTGCACTTACAATACAAGGCGCTCATGGGATTAGGAATAAATCCGGCACTGCTAGAGGTGAATGTAACCAAGCCTTTCAATCCTTTATCGAGCATCTTGTTCAAAAAGTAGTGTGTGAGCGTCAATCCAGCCGTAACATTGGTGTGATAATTGGCCATGTTGCGCTTAAAGGTAATGTCGGCAAAGGCACCCGTAGAAATAAAGCCAGCATTGTTGCACAGAATTTGAATGTCAATATCGTCAGTTTGCTGCTTCACGGCGTCCAAGTAAGATTGGCCTTCAGCATCGGAAAGATCACAGCCAACAAAACGGAATTGGTTATTAGGGAATTCTTCAGCAATGGTGTCCTTAAATTTCGCCATCAAAGCATCATCCAGTGCCACCACCACCACATTCAATCCTTGGGAAGCCAATTTGCGTACAATGGCTGCTCCAATACCCGAAGAACCACCTGTGACAAGAGCCCTTTATCGAGTAGTAAAAATAATCAGGTCAATACTCGGTGCTTGAAAGTCAGATGCCTTTTTATCGTTTACCATTGCGCGTTATACTTCTTTTTCAGGTTCTGTTCCTTGCAAACAAACGCGCCATAAAAGCAAAGAGCAAGGTAGGGCACCACGGAAAGGAAACCAATCCAGAAAAAGACTGTAACAATACCGTGCAGACACGTCAATGCCAAGTTCTACTCAAGCCAAAAACCATAGATGACGGTATACTACCCAAAGTCAACGAGATCATCGTCCAAATGTGAGAAAGAGATGACAACGAAAAAAAGACCGCCATGACCAGGTGGTCGAAAAAGGCAATTAGGGTGCCAGCGCGTCGGGGTGCCGAAACCCGACGGGGTCAGGTTATTTTATATTGGCTGAGACATACCCATGATCCCGAACTGCAAATACATGCCAATTAGGGTTGAAAAACGCAATGCACTTTATTTTTAGTTATTGAAAAAGCTTTCGAGTTTGGCAGGATCAGCACAGGCTTCTTCAACAAGGCTTTCTCCGGGACCGTTCTAAAAAAAAAAAAAGAACAATAGTCGAGATAAAGTGACCGCAGTGTCAGTTGATATTTGGTCCCATTCATTAGGTCGATATTATGATTTACTTACAGTAGACCACTTGTACAAAGTGGGAATAGCAGGAACTTGGAAGCGAACACGGTAAGGATGCGAAGCATTACCTTTCCAGTCGCCGCGATGGCCGACAGGAGCCTCGAGAAGAATAGCATCAGCAACGGGCAAAGCAGATTTACGAATAAGAGGATCAGCAATAACACAATCGGGACACCATGATTCGTGAGTGTCAGGTTCCTCGCTACCAAAGAACAACACGAACACCTTTTTATAGTTGTCCAAGGCCTGCTTGACTTGATCGTCAAAATCTTCAATATTCACACGAGTAAACTTCATGATAAACCGTGGGCAAAATTTTCAGCCGCTGTTCTTGCACGAAAAAAGGAAATAAAAGTCTAAAGTGCTGTCTTTCAATTTCATTGGCGGGAAAAATCTCGAGTCGGCAACAGGAACGCAATCGCGCCTTGGAGCAAAGATAACAAGCCGTACACCCGCTGTGAAATGAATGCCGCCTGCCACCGGAGGTCGCCCCTTACATTGAGCAACAGACAAAAAGCCTAACGCATACACGGCATAACCTGCGCGAGAACTTTGACGGACTTTGGTATATTAATGACAGTTTTATGGCATACGTTGCAACGTGATTTGTTTCTGAACACGCGCAGGGCAGCACTGATTGACTCCCTCAGTTCCATCCCGCCCAGGCTATGATAGATCTAGAAAGATGTGTGGGTATGTTGGGTATTGAAAAAGTAATGAGTTAGTAAGCTCTTTGATTGATACAATTTTCGTTATATTTTACCTTTGTTATTTGAGTTTTCAATAGCCATTGATCGCTTGACATGACTTGGATTATATGACATTGAAAATTTTTGAATTAGTATATGTTCATTACATCATAGCAAAGGAAAAGAAATTGGACTTGCCTTTGAACCAAATGGTGTACCGGAAAAAAAAATGAATACGGATCACAGATAAGCTTCTTCTTCGATGCGGACAATAGAATTGCTTCCAGGGACGGTTAAGCGATAGATCGGTGGTGTCAGCTTGAGCAGGCAAAAAATATTGACGTGGCCAGAAGTGACGGTAATTTAAGCTGGATTCCAGATATCGAGAGTTTCCCGAATAAAAAGAAGAAAAACAAAAAAAAGTACATGATGATAAAAAAAAACAATGGTCGCGTCAGTAAAAACCTCCTAAAAAGCCCTGTGGGAAAAGAAAGGAAAAGACTGCGAAAAGGGTATGTACATGAAATATAAGATACAAACTATAAACTAGAAACTACAATAATTGGGAAGACATTTCGAATACGATATCATGAGAAGCAATCCAAAGGAGAGGAACATGAAGAGGACGCGTAAGCGTTTTCCGAAAAAGAGACAGTACCACCGACGATGGCCTTTGACGTCATCTGGTTTCGCCAAATGGATGGATGGATGGATAGCGAGAGAAAGTCAACTTGTAGTATCCAGCACTTGTCAGGCGAAAAGAAAACGGAGAAAACCGGAAGCTGGAAGAAGGATGGAAAAAAAAGAGAGGTAACTCTGTTTTGCCGGAGCAAAATCGATGGTAGACCACTCGACGCTTACCTTTTTGAAGATGGTAGTCGATTTAACCAGGTTAGATACACGGGATAAGAATGGTCTGGATGATGGATGCGGATGGGATCTTGATACAATGATAGTGAGGGTTTATCAAGCAAACAGAAAGAGAGAGAGAAAACCAAAAGAAAAAAGATAAGATTGAAGACAATATATGATTCTCCATGGATGAAACAATAGTCACCCCACTGATGCATGAATTCATAGATCGAAGCACGTCTGCTTATGTATTATTCGATTCATTGAAAGTTGAAAGAGAATGAAAGGACATATACGTATAACTGACAAAAGAAACAAATTGAATGATGCTACAGAAGAACGCCAGTCGTATCATCAACCACTTTTCTTCAAAAAGAGCTCTACTCACATTTTTATTCGAAAGACGACGATACTCTGTTTAACCACAACTGGCGCAAACGCATCTTGCTACAGCCACATAACGATCATTTTCTTCATCCGCGACAGAGGGACAACAATATGAATACAAAGTTAGGGACGGAAATAGTCAGACATCGTATTATATTACATGGAAGAGACAAAAATAGATAACAGAGAAAATCATTACTTGGGAAAAACATAGCATAAGGATAAAATCAAAAAGAACATAAGGACAAAAAGCATACAGTAAAACATAAAAGAACGATAGAAACACAACATAAGGGTAAATGGTAACTTGAAAAGACATAGACATAAGGATAGAAGTAAAGGAACATGAGGCAAAAAAAGTATGCAATAAAACATAATGAAATAATGAAAAACACAACATAAGAGTAAAGGCATAAAAAAACATAAAATACATAAATGAGGATACAAAATAGGACCATAGCGCAGTGCATGATTCATGGACTTAACGATCCAGCTGCTGGCTCTTAAACACTTCGCGGTAGACAATGTTCCTGGTGCATACTTCTGTCGATCGATCATTTGCATCCCGAACGATCAAGGCTTTTATCGCTGATGGTCTACGCACGCGCGACATAGCAACATATAGCTGCCCATGGGTAACACCAGAACCGGTAGGAATGGTCCGATCGCCTCGAACATTTGTCCTTGCGCCTTATTATTGTCATTGCAAATGCGACGCGGATGGGAAATTGGCGCCGCTTGAAATGAATGCCATTTTCGTCTGCTTCGTTGGTCAAAGTGACTCGAAGGATGAACACGCGCTTTCCAACATTCACGCCAGTTGCGATTTCTGCTTCGATGAGATGGGATTGGAATGAACGACAGAGTCCTTTTGTGGCATTGATATTGCGTAGCAACATGATAGGACAACTGACTTTGAGGATCAATCGATGGGGTGGTAGGCTCGCCGGACTCATGGAGTTCAGATTTTCCACTTGGTGGAATAATCGCTCTTCTTCAGAGTCCATGCCATCAGCACTTCGATAGATACACAGTTCTCCTGGAAACCTCTCGATAACTTTTTCGCTCAGAAAAGCTGCGTCTGAATGCTTTGGTGTCAAGATAGCTCGTTCAATTAAGAATTCGGCTGCCGGAGCCTTTGGAATGCTGGCCCCGTATACTGACTGATGAGGTCGCTCGAATCGGAGGATGGCAATAGCATTCTGTTAGATTTGGATGCCCCTGTTTCCATGGCTCGATTCCAGTCCGTTGCCAATGCGTAGAAGGTATGTGACAAAATTCTCTAGAATCTCTGTCCTCGTTATTGACCAAGCGTGCCTGTTGAACGCGCATGTTGACGTTTCAGCGTAGGATTTCGACCGAAGACCAAAAAGAAGCTTTGTTCAAGCACTGCTCGACAGTTTGTGGACGCGTTGCCCTTGGAATGACCGGAAGAACCTGACGAAAACCACCACCAAAAACGACAGTCTTTCCTCCGAATGGAACATGCTGCAGAGCGGGATCTCTGGTTGCCATCAAGTCTTGCAATGTACGGCTGACGGCTTCGAAAACGTATCGGCTCATCATTATAGCTTCATCCCAGATAATCAACTCTGCTTCTTAGGATTGTTGCGGGATATGGCACATTGAATGCTGGTCTACTTTCAACGAAATGCCGAACTGTGAGTGAGCCGTTCATCCGCCACGCAACAATAATGCAGCAGTGCCACTTGAAGCCACAGCAAGAGCTATTCTGCCTTGTTGACGTACTGAAGTAAGGATACTGTCGAAGAGGAAGCTCTTGCCTGTGCAACCAGGATCGTCAACGAAGAACAATCGGGCTGATGCATTGCTTCCATGTGAGACACTGTGGATGATTGCATCGTATACGGCACGTTGGTTTTCGTTCAAGCGTTCATGACTTCCAGGTGCGTTGGCGGCATCTGCGATAAGATCGTATTGTTCTCTTATGAGTCGAAGCTGAGAATGGTGTCCCATTCTGTCAATTTCTTGGCGAGCAGGGAGAACAAAACCATCATTGAGCAAAGAACTTGACTGACGATTGAGATGATCTTCAATGTCAAGCAACGCGCGATCGTACACGGTTTGGATGCCTCCACTTGATCGACGTCGCCCGGATTTTGGGTTCTCCAGAAATGAATGTAGTCCTCTGCCAATTGCTGACGGAACTGCATCCATAGCTCAAAAGGATTGGGTGCCTGACATTCACTGACAACAACGGCAAACAAAAACCGAAGAGCGTACGGCATCTGGTAGGCGACCGTTTTCTGAAGACAGTTGTGCCACTATTCATTCCCTCCGAGAAGTCCTAACCGTCGTGCAGCTGATTGATAAGTTGCCATAACGACACCATTCACTGTTCGGAGGTGTCCGAAGCTTTGAGCTCCCGAGACACTATAGAGCAACATCCGAAGATAGTATTTCTCTACTTGGCGAGGTGAAACCGCATACACGCGCCGGATCGTATCACCAAATCCACGCTGTCGGGGTTCCCACCTACGGGATCTCGATGGTAAACGTACTGAGCGGGAAAGTCGGGATACAGGAGAAGTCGTGCCTGAGGATCCATTCGATTTCATGCAAACCATGCAGTCACGTTGTTTCGCGCTGACGATCGGCAACGACTTGAGGGTTTTCATCCTCTCGGAACTGCACAGTCTGCTCGTTTTCAAAATGAACGGCTAGGCGTTGCGTGGCTTGGTATTCACGGTGCATCGAAAATGAAAGCAATCTATGGACGGCCTCGGCAGCTGAAACATAACGTGCATCGATAAAACGTGTGATGTCGTCCACTTTCTCTTGAGCATTTCAGTCGTTATCAGCACGATGCATTGCTGCTGCTGCACGATCGTGACCCTTGTACACGTACTTGTACAGGTATTTGCCGCTTTCCAGAGAAGTGCAGATTTCGACGTTGATGTGAGCGTTATACCTTGCACAGAGGTATCGATTGTGGGGAACAATCCATCTATTATCCAGTTCGACATGGTTCTTGACCACGAAATCACCATTGTCGCGGCGACGGTAAAAAGGGTAACCCCTGTGATCTTCGATAATCGCTTCGTTGAAGGAACGCGGATAACGCTTCTTACAGGAACCGTTTTCCATACATGGAGCCCTCGGATGCATTGTTCCACACGGACCGTGCATCATACACTTACTAATGGTATCATAGAGATCTGGATATCTCTCTCTGTTCGGCATTCTGCTGATTCTTTGTAAAGTTCTATCTCCAACGTAATTTTTCAAGAGACAGAAGGGAACGGGTGTATTTTTTTATTACTATTTGTTTTTATGCTATCACGTATCCATAGCTGTATTAAATGGACCGTCCTCGCTGCACCTCGCCTTGCAGCTGCTCCACCAAACTGCAAATTCCCAAGGACGAAAAAGAGTTAGAACAACCATAAAAAAAGTAGTACATATTCTACAACTTACCGGACCAACTGGTTATTTCCATCTTGATGCTTGGCAGTTTCGCGCTCGAGATGGTCGATAGTTGCTTTGTCTGTGTTGGCTTGTGCTTGTAGTTGTTGCACCAAAGATTGCAGTTCACCGGTGTGATTTTCCAGAACGCGCAATTTATCCTATAATATGGGAAAATGGCAGTGGATACAGGATATAAGGTAACAATAAATAAACGAAATGAAAAACCACATGAATAACCATATGAATAGCAGTAATATAGGAAAGGGAAAAAAGGGATAAACAGAGCAAAAAGTTGGATACAGTCGATAGACACAAAGAAATAAGAACAAGTGTAAACAAAATGAAAAAAAAGTAAATGTACAAAGAAAAAAGGTGAAGAGGCAAGAAAGCAACAGAATGTTTAAATCATCAAGGTATAATACTATACATCCCCAAGCCCAACCCAAGAATAAGAGACAAAGATTAAGAGAGCATATCAAAAAAACGGTGCCAATGAGCATTAAAATATAAATTCATCCCCCACAAGGTATCACAATAACCTCAATAATCTACACATCGGTGTATGCATCCAAGGATATATTGACCATTCGTATGTAACAACGATCCCTTCCCTCCTCCCCCCCCCACCCCCTCCTCTCGCATAAAAGACATCAAGATCGAAAGACTTAAAAACCAGGTTTCCATGAAATAGAAAGGCAAAAAAAGCCATAAACAGAGAAAGAGAAAAGAAATAAAACAACCAACTCACCTCATAGCCTTCAATCTGGCGTTCTAAAGAAACAACTTTCTCTGTTGTCTCTGTACGCAATTTATCCATCTCCTTTTGTCGTTGCGCTGCAAGTGCCTTGACTCGGTATGCGTAGTCTTCCAATTCACGGTCTTTCTTATCGATCAATATTTGGTATTGTTCATGCAGCACGGTGATCTCTTTGCTGTGTTGTTGCACAATAGAAAGCAATCTTTCCTATCAACCGAGTCACTACACATGCTTTCTTCATTCTCTCGCAATAAATTTCGGACCCTTTTTTTTTTTTTTTTTTTTTACCTCGTATTGTGTGGTATCTTTTTGTTGTGTTTCTGTCAACACACTAAATTCTTTTTGTAATTCTTGCAGTTCGCGAGCTTTTTCCTGGACCAACCGATTGAGTTGCTGCTCATGGGATTCTTTCAACACTACAATTCTAGCTTGCAGTTCATCTATTTCTTGCTGTCGTGCTCGCAAGCGTGCTTCGCACTGTTGATGCAGCTTAGCATCGTCATTCGCGGTCGCGACGGATCCTTTCGGTGAACCTTCACGACTGGTCCGTGTGGAGGACGACGTATGCTGTTCTAGACGAATGGTGGCTTCTTCCAACGATGTTTGCAAGGTTTCGACCTTGGACTGCAACAATTCGATTTGTTCAGAAAGTCCATTCATCAATTGTTCCTTTGCTTCACATTTCTCTTGCCATGATTCCAGTTCCTGTTGATGCGTTTCTTTCAATTGTTCAAGATCCAAAAGATGGTCTTGCTCCAGCCGTTGCAACGCATCGTGAAGCCGATTCACTTCCTGCTGAGCTCCACGATGTTTCTCCAACCATGCTTGTGCCGCATCGTCGCTACCGTTCTGCACCTGCTGCATTTGGTCACGGAACCGCTTTTCCAAGTTCTCTATTGTTTGCTGGGATTGACGCTTGTGTTGTTCGAAGGTAGCTTGGGTATCCGCGAGTTGTTGTTCTACCTTTCGTAAATGCGCCACACTTCGCGATTCATCCAACTGGGTTTCCATAGCGCGGATTTTTTCCTGCAATTTGGAGGTCTCGTTGTCATGGCCTTGTTGTGCTTGAGCCAAGGCATTTTCGAGTTCTTCACGCTTGATCTGCGACGCAGCTTCCGCTTTTGCCTGAACCAAGAATTCCCACCCGCCTTTGTCAGTTTTTTGCTTCCCACATTGTACGCTCCATTGTATATACCTCGTATTCCCGTTGAAGTTCTGAAATACGCCGCTGATGGTCGGCGAGCATCTGTTTCAACGCCTCTTCATGCTCAGCCCGCTGTATACCCAGTTCGGTACGTAATCTTGCTTCTTGCTCTTCTAGGAGCTTATCCATAGCTGCTTTATGAGCATTCTCCAGTTCTTGTTTTACTTCACGTCGAATGGCAGCCTGCTCAGTTCCCAATCCATCCAGTCAATTTGACATCATTCTTTCCTCTGTCATCAATCCATCCGTTGCCTTTTCACTTACCTTAATGTGCTCTGCAGCAACGCCGTCTGATCCGCTTTTCGTCTTTGAAGTGTCGCTGCCAGAATTAATCTCCGTAACTGCTTGGTGATTTGGTACCTTGCTGTCAGTCAGCTGACCATTATTAGAAGCAGGTAACTCCACGGGACGATCACATGGAATCAATACAGACGAAGAGGAAAGCATCGGCATTTCTGATTCCAAAACTTCACCGCGTTCTTTTTCAAGGTGATCAACACGCTCTTGCAACTTTTGCAACAGTGATTCCTTTTGAGCCAGTAACTCCTCTTTTTCTGCCAGCTATGAAATGAAGTGAAACTATGCTTTAGCTGCCGATGGTTATTTGATTCTGGGATCGCATGATCACACACCTTTTCCTTGAGCGTTTTCAGTTCCGGAGTGAGGTCCAATCCCGCAGTAGAGGATAACCGTTTGGTACTGTTGCTTGGTGTGGTGGCAGTGCTAACGGTTGATGCTCTTCGCGTCAAAGGGGAACGCGGAGGAGGCGGTCGCTGAGAGGACGTGGTGGGAACGATGGACCGGCGTTTGTTAGCTGTAGGTGTCGGGGTCGTAGGAGAACCGAGTGGGGCGGAGCTACGATGAGAGCGATCCACAGTAATGGAAGAAGGTGTCTTGCGTCCAGCCGAACTTCCGGATGACGAGTTGCTTGTTCGACTTCGGACACTGGTCGATCGCTGCACCGCCGGTGATGAAGGTACAGTTTTGAATTCCGGACTTTCTTTCCCTGACAGTTTCGCATCGCCGACGATGGAACTAGGCCTCGGTCGAGCAGTTGTTTTGGGTGTGACCGACGCTCGCCCTGCACCAGTGACTGTATTAGCGCGCTTGACCGTCGTTGTTGCGGGCTTGGTCGTCCCTGCAGCCGAAGAGGATCGCGGCGCGGCTCCGGGTTTGATGCCGAGGTCGGATAAAATAGATTTCCGTTTAGGATTCACGGATGGCGTACCAGTGTCCTCATTGCCCGATTTGGTGGCCATGGATGAGTAGAAGGACAAAGTATATCTTTCCCAAGAATAAACAGAGAAAAAGTCATTTTGCTTTTTTTGTCGGTGGAAAGTCTAAATTGAATGTTGCACGCAGCTTTTTCTTCTTTTGGCTATCACCAACGATGTCCACTCTTCTGTCATCCGTTGTCTTTGCAAGCTCTCCTTTTCCCCTTTACCCTTGATACATACCTTTCATGGCCTATCCCCTCTCCAGTACCATATCATGGACATATACTTTGGTTCCTGAACCGCCGTGGTTCAGTCATCGTCGCAGTATGTCAGAGCTTGGTCCGCGTGTCTTGTTCATTTCCCGTCGTCACACAACGGCGACACATTATTTCACCTCCAGGGCGCCATTTCATTCTCGGGAACTTTCCCTGCTTTTATGTACAAACATTGTCATTTCTTCAATGTATCTATATATTCGAAAAGGGAATAGGTTTTTGCTTCCACGCTACTTATGATATAAAATCAAGCAATAATCGATATCTTTTATTTTTATGCATTCTCGCAGTCAGTCACCCTAGGTTACTGAGCAAAAAGACCAAAGAACACGATCCTGCAAGTTGCAGCAACTGATCCTCATACAGTTCAAAGACGAAAAAAGAAAAAAAAAACCTGGCATTTTGTCACCATTGCAACTAATGAACTATGCAAAAAGTCTCGCCTGCTTGTTGCGGCTTGGCAAAACGACGCCACCAATCATCTGAATCGCCTTTACTACTTGGGTTCTCTTCATGAAATTCGAGGGCTTTCTGCCCTACGGTAGAACTTTTACATGCTGTCTTCCGGTCTAAAATACCAATGATACTATATTGTATCTCTGTATGGACACGCATCAAGTAGGTCTTAAATTATCGAAAGGATGTGGAATCGATCTATTGAAATATGTAGGTCTATTTTTTGGAGCAAACGATTGATAGATTCGTGATCTCATATCATACCTTTATCTTCATATTAAGCTAGTGGCTATTAGCAATCAGCCTCTTGTTCTCTGATGCTTGGATCTAAAACCATGTATGACGGTTCGTTAGGCGCAAACATACGTTTTTCTGATTTTCAATTGTTCTTTCCTCAGTAAGGACGTTTTGGTTGTTTAGACATTAAGCAACTGCTTGAGATAAGTGTTGTTTTTCCGATATGACCTCTGGCTTTTATAGCGCTGCATTTTCTGGCAATCACATTTGCTCATGGGCAAGCCGACCCTGTGTTGCTTAGGAACTGGATCTCTAACTGCAATTGTAAAGACGCTTCACCGTCGTTAGATATTTGTGAAATCATTCAACCAGCTGAATTGCCAGTTTTTATTTTACATCGGCTATTGTTATCGATCAACCACAGAGCAAGTCAATATTAAATTAAGTATGAAGGTCTTGATTATTCCAAGCCTTATTGCAGGAATTTTTCCCAAATATCGTATCTCGAAATTATTGCGATCGTTCTTCAATTGGATTGCTAAACAAAACTTGATCGGATACCAAGCGAATTCAGTTCGTGGAAACGAAGATTGGAAATGCTTGTCTCAATATTATTTAGTAACCTCGTGCTTTGCAGTTTCTTTAACTCGGCCCCTTCACCATTAAATTACTATTTGCCTTGCAGAAACCGAGCATGCTCTCAGGGAACTGTTCAATGAGGTAATAAAGTGGAGAAAGGAGTCCAGATAATCGTAACGTCAAGAATGTGTTTAGATCAGTCCAGATGTCTTTAGGGACAAGTAATTTATACAGTAAATATATTGGCCCTATTGATCATGGGGAGAAGTTATGTACCGCTTGGTCCTTGGCCATTCAGGAAAAACCGGGATTTATTTCCTCAGAGATCATTCATACCGGTTTTGATATCTGATTCCCTTTGGATTGGATTCTTCACAGAGTTAAAACCGATTAAAAATAGTTCAAGAACTTTACCGCCCAAGTGCCTGCACCGAAGACATCTTACAGCTATTGGGCCAAAGATATTCGAGAGCAGCATATCAAGAATTCGAATTATGCGTTACCTCTCTAGAACATACTCAAGAAGGTTTTTCTCGGCTGCGCCACCAGTGCTCCCGTAGACATATCAATAACAATAACTAGAAAAAGGCTTATCAACACCTCCGGGTGAAGTTTGAGTTGGTTTCCTGTGGTGAGTGGTGTTGTATTTTCGCATGGATTTGATTTGCAGGACTGTGCAATCATCTCCACCTAAAACGGAGTTTCTTTTCTCTACCATCTTGTTTTCCTTAGCTGGTGCCTTTGGATGCTTCTTGTGTTACTGCCTATATTTCAACGGTGCATCGGTAACAAACGAAATGCTTCGTGAGTTTCACCGGACATTAATAAGCAACGGGTCGTCGATAATCGACCACTTTGTCCGTGAAGAATAATTCAATTATAATTGGCCACCAAGGCAAAAAAAAGGGGGAAGAAAAAGGTAAAGGGAGAAGCAAAATTTTTCAATCACGCGTGAGAAAGGGAGACCTTGGTTGGTTTTTAATGGTCTTTTGAAAGATAATCATTTAACGTCAAGATAGTTACATACATCAATCGGTGATTCTATCCAACGATTTACTTGCCAACATGGCACTGAGCGCCCCATTTGTCTTTCCAGCCCCCAAATTCGGCTCACTCAGGGCGGAAAAAGCCCAGCTCGTCCAAGAATATCTCGGGCTCAAATCAATTGAATTATTCAAAGCATGGCAGCTTTGTCGACTGCGCAATAGCTAAAGAATGCAACGGTCGTGCACGTATCAGTCTAGAAAGGCAGGGACGGTGGCAACTGAAAACGTTGAGAAAATGTTTGCAATATTTCATCGACGATGACTATCACGGGACCGATGTCGATTGCTGTGAGATGAACGAGATCTGTGCGCTGATCGTCTTTTGTACGAATCATCTGGTGATCGACTTCGCTGTCTTTTGTGGGAGCGTTCCGTATGATGGTGCCTATCCGGTGCGGAAGATCGATGCCTGTGGGAAGACGATGCGTAACGAGATGCTGATTTGGAGGTCGAATATCCGTCACTGTCTCGCCAGTTATCGTCGTACCGTTGATCTGGCAAAATAGTAATTGGTTCTCGTCTGTCACTCCTTCGCAGATTACTAGATATAAGGGCTTTTCGTCAGATATTGCGCACCAAATTACAAATATGCATTCTTACATTGGTTCGCGGAAGCCCCGTTCCCTGGCACCGAATCTCAGCTGGCCACTTTCTTTTTGGCCACCAAAACCACCTCCTAAGCGACGTGGAACCCATCCTTTCATGATACGACTTCGTTCATAGTCTACCAAGATTACGTGTTCGTCAAGTACAGCGTGATGAGCGCGTTTATAAGCTTCTGAGGCTGCAGCAGATCGACGAAAGGTGACAAAGCCATAACCTTGGGACGTTCCCGTCACTACAATGACTATATTTAAACGCTTCGGTGAGTCAAGATTAGGACACCGTCGTTTTACCTTGATTACGAATGAGTATAACCTGATCGAGTTCACCAAAGCGACCAAAGAGCTTTTGCAAGGATTCTGTTACAATATAAAAAAATATAGTTGTAACACTTGGCACCGTTCATCTGATACATAGTGACAACCACGTCATACCTTCAGTGGTAGAGAGGTTGAGGCGAGCAACAAATAAAGTCTTTCTTGGATCAGTGGTTAAATGCTTTGGAGCAGTATCTGACATTGGCGATGGAGAAGTTGAATAATGACGCGGTTTCAACGTGTTGTAACTTCCTTACAGTGTGCAGTCAAAGCTCTCTCAACGGCATGATCGTGAGGTACCGTGTCGGTTCCATCGATGGAACCGACTTGCACAGGCGAGTACGTTTTTGCATACCACATACTGAAAAAATTTTGGATCAATCAAGCAACTTCTTTTTTTTATTTGCAAACTCAGCCTTAAAAATACAATGGGAAGCCAATGCATCGCTTTTCCCACCTGACAGCGTGTCGGAGCATCCTGAACTGTGTCATATGCACAAATATGGTAGTTGGTAAGATTAATCTTTCGATCCCATACTGCTTTCCCCTTGACCTGGCTCTTATTTCTGACCATGCACATCGCTTTGCGTATTTTACCTGACGAGTTTTCTCTCTACCAGCTACCAAAGGATAGTAAACTCCCGCACCAACTTTTGGATTTGCCATGGTACACTATTTCTAAAACGGCCTCTGAGATCTCGCTGGTGCTCCCTTCCGGCGTTGATACCCATAACGCGCTTCAGTCAGCCAAGTCTGAAGGAGGCTGGCGCGGATTACAAGTGGACGCCCAAATGGAATTCGGTTTGGTCGGCATTCTGGCCAGCATCATTGACCCGCTACGAGATAACCAAATCCCAGTTTTCGTTGTTAGCACTTACGATACAGACTATGTGTTTATCAAGGACACCGTGTTGGAAAAGGCCATTGGCGTGTTAAGCAGTACAAAAAACATCGTATTGAAGCCAGGCAAATCTGTTTTGGAAATATAAAATAAAAAAAAAATGTGATTTTTTTTTGGCCGCCAGCAAGTTTTCTTACACCATCACTTAGATGCACCACCCTTATTACCCCCTCACACTTGACATACCCCACTACGTGGCTAATGAGACACCTCGATTTCAGTTAGTAGCCTCTGTTCTGCTAGTAATCGGCTCCATTGTGGCATCTGCCTTTTCTCTTGCCAAGAAGAATAAACGCATCCTCAGCTCATCTGAAGCGTTACGCTTCACTTGGTTCGTTCTGTGCGCTTGTTTGCACTGTGGCCTGGAAGCTTACTGGATAACCCATCGTCACCGTGTGCCTGCTCGTTCGGATTTTCTAGCAGAAGTTTGGAAAGAATATGCCCACGGTGATTCCCGATACGTGACAGCTGATCCTCTTTTGATTGCTATAGAAACCCTCACCGTGGTAAGGCATATCAGCGTGTTATCCTTTACGTGTATCGTGCTAAACCTTCCCCCCAACAGTTTATCTGGGGACCATTATGCATCATAACAGCATACTGTATATGGCAGAGTCTACCTCTGCAATACCTGTACCAACTGATCGCATCAATCGCCCATTTATTTAGCACGTCATTGTATTTTGTGATGGATATACCTGAAGGATTCAAGAACTGTGATCCTCACCCTGTTTATTTCTGGATTTATTTCGTAGCCTTCAATGCTCCATGGCTAGTGGTACGTTTTTGGAATTGAATTGACAACTGTCGGGCATCCATTATTTAAACGTGCTGGTAGATTCCTATCGTGCTGCTTAGTCAAAGTATCAAGAGAATCTCACAGTCATTGAACGAAACGTCTAAAAAAGTAAATTAGTAGAGACACATAAATGTGATGCTTCTATTGGTGTGTCTTTATTCTTTTCTTTTGGTTTTTTTGTTTTTTTTTTTTTCACACGTCCAGGATGTATGGGCATAAGAATAAAAACAAAAAGGAGAAATCCCCAAAAAAAGAAAAACAAAAACATACGAAGAACATGTACAAAGGGAAGTCCGCATTAAACTAAATAGTTGGCTGCAATTTGTGTATACAGGTGAGTCAGAAACATGGAATCAGGAGTTTCAAGAAAAAAGGACAAGATGAACAAGAACTGAGAAAAAGACAAAAATCCAAAGAGATACCCTTTAGATCTCATCAATATCGAAATCAAACTCAATTTCGTCCTCTTCTGTTCCACCGAAGGTTTCGGCCTCGTTGATTTTGGTAGTATCTGGCAATTCACCGTAGTTCTTCAACTGTCGTGCTTCTTCAGGAGAGTATTTTCCAATCACGTCAGCCTTATCGTCTTGGTATTCACGCAACGACAACAAGATGATATCACCCTGGTTGATCCACACTTTCTTGCGCATTTTGCCACGAATGAGCCCCAGTCGCTTGGTGCCATCAAAACATTGCGCTTCCAAACGTCCGTTGCCAAGCATCTTCAACACCTGCGCATACTCTTCAAAGCAACAAAAAAAAACAAAATGTAAATTTTTTTCAGTCATTCCAACTACCCAGAATCCTAATCTTACCTTGTCCTTCATCTTTGAAGACGAGTTCGCGTTTGTCGCCTTCGTTCTCGTTCTTTCCTCTTCTTCTGTTTTTACCTCCCTAAAATCATACAGATTATGATGAGCTTACCCTGGCATAAAGAAGAGAGAGGAATAACTTGACGACTTACTTTTCCCTTATTCTTGGGCATGACGCTGATGCAATGTAGCGAAAAAAAGAAACGAGCAAAAGTATTCGCTCCACTGGGCCCGCTTTAAATTTTTTGCACTGTAGCAGTGCCCGTCAGATAGTGGCTTAGTGCGCTTTTCGTAACATGGAGCCCACAAAAACCACGCTACTGAGTTTCAAATCCAAAACGCCGCATCATTGATAAAAAGAGACAAAGCGTCTGCAAAGCTACTGCGGCGCAAACTGGACATCATGTGCCACTTTCTCTGCAATGGTTGGGATTCTGCCAGTTTTTTTTTTTTTTTTATCACTGCGGCTCGTCTCTAAAATAAGCTTATTGCGTTAGTTGGTGTGGTCTCATACTATACTCGCCAGTCTGCGGTCGCAAAGAGTTCACCTTCTCAGATTTTTCATGATCATTAACTGCTATTGAAGCCAACAGCTACATCTTTTTTTGTTTCCTGGTGATATTTCCTTACTTTGGATGACAGTTAAAAGCCCCAATTCCTGCGAGTCTCAGATTTTCATCCAAAAACGTGAATACAACTCCAGCTTACGCTACAGAAAGGGAGTCTTCCGCTAAACGTGTGCAATGTACAATCCATGAATACATTATAAGGTCGCAAAAATTTACTTCCAACTGCAAGGCATTGTGCCCTGTGCTGCCTCCAGCAAAGACTGCGAAACACAATGTGGGACATTCGGCAATTTTTGGGAAAGAAAAAAAAAGAGGCCCCAAGAGTCGATAAGAATATCAACAGTCACAGAATTTTTTTGGAGGACTTCTTTTTCCTTTTACTGCGGGCTTTTCCCCGATCGATTGAACACTTGTTATTCAGTCAGCTTCAGAACACCATGGTAATTACCGCGGATGCACGTTTGGCTTTTTTGTACCGTTCCTAAAATTATGTGTGGTAGATTCGAAGAAATACTCGATTGCGCCGAGAATATCTCTACAGAAAATCGCTCGAAGCGAAAGAACGCACCATTTTTGAACGCAAGCAAGCGATCAAAAAGGCCATTGAACGTAAGGACAACTGTCGCTATTCATACCCGATTGCTTTGGTCTCATATCATATGTATAGAGGGCAAGCCTATTCCCACTGAATTGCGCAATGTGGGAGAAGATTTGAGAGCTGATCTTCCCTTTGATCAAGCACAAGAAGGTAAACATGTCAACTGCTCAAGCTGTAATGCCTCGCATCGACTTACTCACTCTGTGCGTCTTTATAGATCTCACTACACACGAAGATGACGAATATGCGAGGGCTGGTGTCTTTGATCCCAAAATTCTGATTACCACTTCCCGAGATCCTAGCAGTCGATTACAGCAGTTTTCAAAGGTACTATTATAAACCGTGAGTGGAGGCAAAAAAAAGGGCTATGCTAATGCACATATTTAGGAAATGCGACTTGTTTTCCCTAATTCTCAACGTATTAATCGTGGTAACCATGTTATGAAAGAGATTGTGGAGGCTTGCAGAAGCAACGAAGTCACAGATCTTATCATTTTGCATGAACATCGTGGTCAGCCTGGTATGTTTTTCAGAGAATAACATAAAGAGCTCAAAGAGAGGCACATAATTAACAATGATACTTTAGATGGTATGGTCGTATGTCACTTTCCTTATGGTCCAACCGCCTATTTCTCCCTTCACAACGTTGTTCTTCGACACGATATTAAAGACCAAGGCACGGTTTCCGAAGCATTCCCACATTTAATATTCCATAACTTCAATACAAAATTAAGTCATAGGGTACGTATCACATAAGTCCTGTATGTCGATTGATTCTCATTTCGGTTCTCATCCGTTTTTTTTGTAGATAACTAACATTCTGAAGTACTTATTCCCTGTTCCCAAAGAAGACAGCAAACGTGTCATGACGTTTTCCAACGAAAACGATTATATTTCATTCAGGTACGAAAAAATATGATCAACCAGTGCTTTTTTTTCCATGGAGTTCTTTTCTTACATATTCTTTGTACCATAGACATCATGTTTTTGTAAAGACGGGCAAAGAGGTAGAATTAGCAGAAGTGGGACCGAGATTCGAAATGCGACGTAAGTTCAGTGGGCGTGTTATGGGGAAGATATCCCTTTATTGCATGATATACTGACAAATTGCTACTTTTTTTTACAGCTTACGAAATTCGATTGGGCACGGTTGATCTGACAGATGCTGATGTTGAGTGGCAACTGTCATCATTCACTAGAACTGCTGGAAAGAGATTAGAGTTATAATTTTTAAATGTAGATAAACATCATTCAACAACATAAACTGGCTTGCATCCGATTTGATACATGGTTAAAGATAATTCTTTATAGTTTTCTGATACGATGGACAGTTACGGATCCACTGAATTGAGGTTTGGCGCTTTGAAAATAAAAGAGAGGGTACGAGAAACTCCGCAAAGCTGGTTTCTTTTCCCTCTTTTTGTCCGTTTGATCAAGATTTCATGAACGGTGACGATGTCGATCTGACGGCCATGGTGCAACAAGTGCGTCAACTGTGTGATTCATGTACAGATGACGATATTCGGTTGGACCTGCAAAAGACAAAAAGCGTAGAAGTTACGCTCAATCGAATATGGGACGGACAGGTAACAGGCACAAAGACTACATGTACTTGCCGGCGATCCTCGGCTTAACAATATTGTGCAGCTTCTAGAAAAACCAACCCGAAAGACCGATTCTCAGATACCTATTGTCGTTGTGTCGGACGATGAAGACCAAGTGCCTGATACTGAGATTCTTACTCTACATGAAGATGTGCATGTTCGAACCGCTTATGCCGACACGCGTACTGCGGAAGTGGATAGCAATAATGCCACATCACCCATATTGTCCCCAGCGAATCGATTCACTTCCAGCTTTGATCTGGACGGCGATGCACTACCTTCTGCCGATGAGCTTTTCAGTAGCATCACTATAGATCGTCGTAAACGGAAAAGAAGTGAAGGACCAAACAATGCGGTGGCCTTCGTTGACAGTCAAGCAACCGACCTCTCTCACAAATCTCGATCGTTGTCTTCCGATAAGAATCCAGTGACTGACCTGACTGATTTGGATAATTTTGAGTTTGCTATGCCTTCCAATACTTGGGATTTCCTAAAGGAGTGGGAAGACGATTTGGCCAGCTCGCAGTCCTCTATACCCGAAACAGGTTCCCAGCTTTCAGCCGTGGTAAATTTTATGAGCAGGATCAGACTCTACGAAAAGAAACATTTCACTCACTTTGCATACTAAAAGGAAGATACCACGAAAGGATCAAGCGATCTCCCAAGTAAGGAGCGACGCGCGCAGCAACGAAAATTGCAAGCTGAGGAAAAACGCAGAGAAAGACAACGTCTCAAGGTACGTTGAAAATAAGGTTTTCAGCAATACATACATGCAGCATTTTAAAATCGTGCTGTATAGGAGCAAAAGGAAGCTGAAAAATTACGTCGGAAAACGCTCCAGCAAGTCAACCGATTGCGTTCGAATCGTAATGAATCGTTGAAAGAAATCATTCTGCATATTGACCGCAATTTCGCGGAAACAAAACGAGGGCATTTGTTAATGGCGGTCTTGGCAGCAAAGGAAGTGCAAGTAGAGCTCACAGAGCCAAATAATTCCTATGATATCACATGGAGTCGCAAGTGTGTCGCAGATTGGGATACCGATTCACAACAGTTCACCCCACGCGAAGAAATGACCATTGAAGAAGAACCGTTCGTATTAGTGCTCTTGGATGCGGATAAGATCTGTCACTTGGTGAAACGCCAGCAACTGGAATCCCGAATGGAAGAAGTGCAACTCGCGGTTGGACAAAAGCAAATTTTACTCATGATTGAAGGACTGGACTCTTATTACAAGAAGCATAATTTGATGAAACGCAGACAGTTCGAGAACGCAGTTTTGGAAAGTATTCAACAGGAGGAGCCTGTATCTAGTCAAGAGAGTCTAAGATTGGCTTCGGAAGGCTCAAGCAGGGCAAACAACAGGCGATCGCGCACGGCCGCCGATATTTTGTCTGGACCCGACAAGGACGAGATCGAAGGGTCACTGACCACACTGCAGATCATGCAAAATGTGATGCTTGTACCGACATCAGATGCACAGGACTCTGTGGATTGGATCCTCTGCATCTCAACCGATATCGGCAATGCATTGTATTGGTAGATATTATTACTTGTTCTGCATTTTTTGTACCATGCTAACTACCTTTACAGGAAGAAGTCCATGAATCGTAAATACAAGCATTTCAATAGCATGCAATCGGGTACAGATCCAGAAGATGTTTGGTTCAAGATGTTGCAGGAAGTCCAGCTTTGCACACCAGCGGTTGCGAAAGCCATCATCGAACGGTATCCTTCTGTTTATCACTTGTTCCACCATTATGAGAACTTGGAAAACGTAGCACAAAGAGAAGATCTGCTGGCAGATCTTTCGGTAAGTCATCTTCAGATGGTTCATGCGCAATGTCATTTTTCTCATTCTTCTTCTTGGTGGCTGTAGGTCGAACGAAACTCACTATCACAGCGTCATCATAAAGTGAATAAGGCCATGTCCAAGAAGATTTACGATATTTTTACATCCGATGACCCCAACAGAGTCATTGCATAGGAATCCCAGTATTGCATAATTTTCTCTTTATCATGACAATTTGTATATTAAATCAATTCGTTGCGGGGAAAAACGCACCAAGGTGCTGTTGATGATCTTCGACAAGAAAATTGGGAATGAGGATTACTCTTATCGCTTGTGCAATCAAGAACATGATATCTAAAAATCGAATTCGTGGCGAAATGCATCAATATTTCGTCGGTCACAGGCTGTCACCAAGTCCTCACGGTTCATCCTAAATAACATATCGATTAGTCTGTATCCTCAAAAACGGCAAGAAAAGATAAGATAGGAAGACAACAGTGGGAAAACTTACATGAACATCAACATTCGCAGACTATCCCAAACATTGTCGCTCATGCCTCCTGGAACTTGGACAGTTTGACCGTGTTCATCGACCATGGCGGACATACCGGAAGCAGCGTCTCCAGCCTGCTGAAGCGCAAGAGCAGTAAGCAAATGCTCAGCTGCTTCACGTCGTTGCCCAAGATTGATACAACTGATGGCGAGATTATATCGCGCACGGACGTATGAAGGACTAATTTCGAGTGCGTGGAAATAGGCGTCAATAGCACCAGCGGTATCCCGGGAGTTGGCTAATGTGGCACCCAGTTTGTTCCATAACACATAATCCTAAATGATCGGCGTAAGGGCAGTGTATCAGGAGACAAAGCAGCAGTATCCGTACCTGAGGTCGACTTGCGAGCGCAGCTTTGAAGCAATCAATGGCCTTATCATATTCCTCAGATACATTAAAGAGGATGCCCAAACCAACTTGTACGTTGGCGTCCATTTCTTCCCCGGGCGCTGTTCTCGCTGCTTCTAGGAACATGTTGGTTATGTAGCTGTGTCTAACGGCGGGATCCAATCGTTTGGCATCTTGTCGCACCAAGTGCTGGTATTTTTCATTGTTGACCATCCATTGTTCCAAGGCATCATACGCGTCAGCTCTACAGTTTTCGTTGGTGAAACTGACAGCAAGGGCGAGCCAAGCGTCGAGGGAAGAGGGGCTCATGCTAACGGCTCTTCGCAAAGCGGCAATGGCGGCAACGTCACGTTCGTTCTCTTGCTGCTTCAGACCGAGTTCTTTCCATGCGTCGGCATTTGACACCTGGAGCTGCGCCTTTGCTTCCAGTGCCAAAATGGAGTCGGCTAAACTGGCATGCTCAACGTTGTCGATGGCAGCGGGATTCATTAGGTAGGGGTTGTTGGTGACAAAGGTATAGTTGTGATATTGGGGTTTATCGGCTCGGTATCCGAGTCCTTGTTCTGGCCGATAACGATCCCAATCTTTTTGCATGGAATCCCATTCTGCATCTTGAGCTGTTTTAAGATGAGCAATGTTGCGTTGGTATTGCTGAACCCAGTCGTCGGTGTCGGTGCCTCGACCGTATAGCTTATGCATCTCGGTTTGACTCATATTGCTTTGCTTACTAAATTCGGCGGCCCAATCGTTCTGCACGGCTGAAGAAGGACCAGCTGTGGTTTGGAATTCATCCGCCCAGCCACGCTCTGCCTTTTGCGCGAATTCATTCGACCACATATTTCCACTCGTTACATTGCCAGCATGTTGTAAGAAGTCATTGGTCCATGATTGCGAATCGGTTTTGTTCCCTTGCTGTTGTTCAAATTCCGTTGCCCAGCCCGATTGTTTTCCTTTGGTTTCCACCATTTTGTCCCCTTGGATAGACACTTCGCTATCTCGCAACTTCCTCATAAGGTTCATGAACTGAGAATTCTTGAACTTTGGATTGGATTCCACATCCACCGATTCCAAGAGCATAGCGGCGGTTCGGGCTAACGCATCCTGATTGGCGTCGTTGTCAGTAATACCTTCTTGTTGCGCAAACTCGTCGGCCCACGACATTTCCTGTGCGGCAAATTCGGATTCCCAATCAACCTGTGCGCCTTGCTTTGCTTCGTCAAATGCTCGTTCAAATGCAGCCTTTTCATTATCAGACATTGCGATCTGCTCCGGGTGATTGGCTTGAAATGCCGCGAAATCTTCATGCCAATTATGTGCTATAGACGCAAAATAAATATCCATTAGCCACCTCCTCCTCCTTTGATCTTTTCGTTTCATTCCGAAAAATTCACGGTACCTTGAGCATGATGATTTTGCTGATATATTTTCTCGAATTCTTCAAATTGCTCGGGTGGGGGACCTTGAAGCATCGGTTGTTGTTGCATGAAATCCGCTGCCCAGTCACCTCCTGTCATTCCACCGTGTTGTAGCTGCGGATCGCCTTCAATCCTTTTCAGTTCTCCGCTCAGGCCATGGAAATCAAAAACGCCAGCAGGCCGCTCCATAGCCACATTCTCTTGCAGAAATTCTTCGCTCAACTATAAAGAGCGTATGAGATACTTTGTTTTTTTTTTTTTTTACACAGGTTCTATACCTTCCATACCTGTCTATCGTTAAACGAAGTTTGCATGGGCCGGGACCGAAATCCTGCCTATAATGGGAATGTTTAATATTCTGACAGTGTTTTCCACAACCGTTGCCTTCTACTTCTTTGAAGACTTTTTTTTACCTTTGAACTCTCGCCTTGTTGTGCACCCATAAAACGGTCCTAGTTGATTATGAAGCCCAAAATGTTAGGTTTTATTCGTATTCGTGATACTCATGGTGTTGATTTGGTCGAAGAAGGTGGTTACCTGTTGCAATGACCTGTCCCGCTGAAACTGTTTGAGTAACCCGGACATTGGGTTAACAGGGCCGCATTCCGCTGCTCCTGCTTGGTTCAGAAACGACATGAGGGAAGAAACTGGGTAATGTAGGTAAAAGTTGTAATTTTTGCCTTTGTCAAGAACATGTGGGGAAAAGTCGGAGATGTGACTACTTCATGTGAAACGCACCAATCGAATCGGGAAACTCACATCCACTCAAATGTAGGATGTCAAAGAGATTGATCGCTTTTTTCATAAGTGATAACCCACATATTATTAGTTTCGGGGCTTTCTTCATATCACGAATGGACAAACTTTGCTTTTTGACTATTAACAATAGTCGGTTACTCTAGCCAAAAATGAGAAATTCAAAATCAAGGTGATATAATGAAGAGACAGGGCTTGAAACGGCAGCACCTACAGGTTCCTAAGATAGTTTTTAAAATTAGTCAGCACTTGTCGTCCATATAATGCTTCTTGTGATGGCGTGATCTTCGAGCTAAATCATACTGACAAAGACATCTTGCCAGTAACTTGATGGTTACACGGTGTATTTTAGCTGACCAATTCTCGTCCGTAATGGGCCGTAGTTTTTTGCTTTCCGGGATATCGCCCGCAAGTAAGTTCCAGTCTTGTCGAACAAACCGGCTTCATCAATGCAACGATTGAGTAAATATATGTTTCAGAGTATATCATAAGCATTGGTCAAGATGTCGATGTTGCGATCGCCAAACTGCAGCAGATTACTGTATGCATGCTGTATCCACGACGGCATGGCACCTTTGTCTATCTTGTCTTTAAGATGCGTGCTGTGTCACAAATTTAGAGTGACCCACTACATGGCACTGTTGATTCTATGGGAGTGTGCTTTATATTTTTCCAGGTATCGGTCATCTCTATTTTTAATGGGGACAAACAGGACGAAAGGCTTATTAATGGTAGCTTATCGAGAAAAAATGCTAGTGGGATATTTATGAATTCTATGTGCATAATGATGACAAAAAAAAATGTAGTGTATCTATAAGTAATAACATGTAGTAGTGCTCGGTATGAGTGTTCGATCGTTTCCTTTACGGTAGCCGTGTATATTCGTAATATCGATAACGCACAATGCCTTCCTCCTCCTGTCTCTCTGAGTCTATGCATAATCGTTGCTGCAAACCCAGCTGCTCCATTTTTTCTTCAAATCGATGAACTTCTGGCCAATGGGTATCTCGCAAAGGGATCATAAAATAAAATTCGTTTTCCATCAGCATGTCAACGGCAACTGGCAAATTCTCGGCATGCTCCATTTCGTATAGCAAATCGCTTGCAATAACAATATCGAACCGCTTTGCAATCCATTCAGGGGCTTGACTGTTGGCTACTTCCACAAAATCAAGCTTGGATACCGTGGCTTTGGCTTCATTTAAAGCAACGTTCACGGCAACATTTTCGAGAACACTGGGATGGTAATCCGTCACTTGAACGCTTTGGGCTCCCATTTTGTCGCATACCAAGCCAACCATGCCGGTACCAGTTCCCAACTCCAAAATATCTCTTGACGCAATATCAGGAATGATATTCTGTTGTAATAATTTTCTTGAAGATTGTGTCAGCATCACAGTTCAACTGATCGATAGGAAAAAATAGGTAGGTGCTTACTTGGCTAATAAGGGTGCCGCACCCCACGTCTTAAAACCTATATCGTTTCCAATATAGCTTGGTTCGTGAAGCTTCAACTTGAATTCATCACGGTTGCCATCAGCGTTCAAATATGGGATATGCCACGTGCGAGTGATGGCGCCAGCAGCTGTTAAGAGCCTTGTGTCAGTCTTTTTCCCGGCCAGACAATAACAGGCTTGGCAATAGTCCCTAGTTACCTCCTCGACCAGATAAATGCGCTAACAACCTAGCGGCTCTGTTACTCCTTTCATCGTCCAGATCGTCCTCCAGTAGCATCTCGCCAGAGACAATTTTCAGCAATAAAGGACCAGCTAATTGATTGGCTCGCATAATATCATGAGGATGCACTCGATATGTGTCTTCTTCCTTTTCCTCCTCTTCCCCGTCGACCAATTCAATGTTGGTATATCGATCATATGACCACTGAACTAATTGTTCCATTAGATTCAGGACCATATCCAAGTGTCGTCCCGCATCGTCCCGGCCCGTCTTCTTTAGGATCACAGCTTCTGTAGCATGTAGCTGAATCCCATCGAGCATTTGATATGGCAATTCGTACTTCGTCATTGAGCTGGAAAAGAAGGAGCGGATCAATGAAAGGATAAAAGGGGCAAAGAAAGGTAAAGAAGTTTACGATCGATGCAGAAAAAAAAAATCATCAAAAACATGCGGAACTTCAAATTGGACACTTCTTCTAATCATCGATTGGTGTCTCTGTAATATGCAGTTAAAACTCAACTACAAATCCAGTTGTTTCGAACAGCCAATCATAACTTGCAAGTTGGAATCTGGTTCCATGACTGAAAAAAAAAAAGGTCAGACAGTCACGACAGCACGTTCGAAAGGAAGCAATGGTTAATCATGTATAAAGGATTGCTTCGTCTTTATCATGAGAGCGTTAGCACCATTCATTAACGCCTCTTGCATTATGCACACACTTTTAAAGATTTTGTTTTGAGCTGATTACTTTGGAAGATTTTCATTTATCAGCAAGGCATGCACAGTCGTAGAATTCTCTTTCATCCATCCACGCCATCGTAGACTGTGTTTTAGACGATCGAAAATAGCGCAACAAAATGGGCTTTATGCCATTGAAATTTCAATTTATTGACTTCCCCAAATATGAGTGGACTGCAGTGTCCTCATTGGAACATGACACAATGTTCCTGCCCTGGATGTCGGTTTTATATTGTCCTGGAACAACAGGCGGTAGATTGAAACGCAGATGTCCGATGAAGGTGCGCAAGCCACCCAAAAAATCAATGTCCTCCGCATGATGGTGCAGCAGAGAGCGAAACGCGCACATCGCTTATTCTTGTCGCGTGGTACTTTGTCGCGTTATTCGGCCGCATGACAAACCCAGATTACAATGAGCTTGTGAGAAAAGAATATCCAACTATATACAATCGATTCCTGTCCAAAGATTCTTGTATGTCTGTTGAATTCGTGTATTTGAAACCAGTTTAGTAACTATTACTGTCGCGTGTTTCTGTAGATTTATCTCCAAGCAGCGTCTATCATGTCTTGGAACAAAACAACTTTGATATTAAAAATGCAACTTCGGAACTGAAGAAAACTGAACTGAATGCGAGAAGAAAAGGCAAATATAAGGAGCAAACGCGAAGATCCACTCGGTCAACTCCCGTCAACCAAGATGAGGAGATGGAACAAGGTACAGTGGACCGTAGTAAGTGAATCCCAAAAAGCAGAGATTAGCGGAATAGCTAAATAATAGCAGTAGCAAAAATAGTCTTGCAAGATCAAAGCAATCAAGTGGGTTCCGACCGTGATGTGGTGATGGATACAAACGAAGAGAAGCAACGTCCGAAACGGGGAAAAAGAAATTCGACGGCTGCCAGTCCATCGACCGCAGCAAAGAAACTAAAAGCAGGTAAAAATAAAAATTCTATAGTCCAAATACAAGATCCGTCGTATCTGATGATGAACCCGTTCATAAAAAAGAAGCGCAATATTTTGAGTCACCTCCGGATACAGTCGTCGAAAGTGAAAATCTCGAAGTGATGGGCGAACAGACCGAAGAGGAATCAGCCGACGATCATACGCTGCCAATGCGCACTCTTGATAACTTTGTTCTTTACGACGTTAACGATGGTCAGCGTTTGAGAACCCTGGACGATATTGGACGTCATAATATGGACATCCGTGCCTTTGGAGACGTCGCCGCCATTTATGAAGAAGCCGATGATGAAGAGATAGACGACGAAGACGATGATGGCGAACCTCTTGGTAGCAGTCCAGTCACCACCCCAGTTCATTTGACGTGTATTTTCTTTTGGCAAGTGTATATGAATGCTGACGGTTGCGGCGAAATCTGGTTGCAAACACAGTATGGCTGGTATAAATTGTTGTGTCCGGCTCCTGAATATGCATCCTACTATGATCCAATTTTCACTCGAGTCTCGATCGCCAACATTGCCGAAACGGTGCTCCATGCGAACAAGAAAGCTACATATAGTGGTTTCATTAAAAAGCTTAGAGAAAGCGATGGCAGCTCCTCGTCGTCCAACGAACGAAGATACTATATACCTTTGACGGAGGAAGGAGTGCACCAACATTTGCGTTTCATCGTGGAAGAGTTGACTATCTGGGCAGACGAAAACGATGAACCAGCGATTCACTTTAGTCCGCTCATGAAAAAGCTGGTGGAGCTCCAAAAGCAACGGCAAAAATCCAAACGAAAGAGAGCAGTCTCGGATGAGCTTGCCGAGGATACTGACAATCGTCGCACTGTACGTAATATCAACCTCTCGGTGCTGCAAAATCCCAACCCTACCTGTGTGACTACACATATTGCGACGATCGCAAAAGATATGTTTGCACGACGTCTCGTTTCTATTAGCGAAGCGGCCACCGAAGCGGTAACTGAAGCGGTGACGTCCTCGTCTCGAGATATAGACGAACATGAGCAAGAAAAGTTATTCTACAAGTCGTACACATCAGAGGTGAAGTGGTCCGGTAAAATCGTGGTCAAGGAAGACGATCGTGCCTATTATGAAGAGGCGGTCATTGACGGCGAGAAAATCAAAGTCGGCGATCATGTGTACATGCGAAACGATTCGGACGAACCGTGGTTTGCACAAATTATGTACATGTACGAAGACAAGAAAACCCGGGAACTCATGTTCCACGCCCGTTATTTTTCCCATGGTAAAGAAACGGTGCTTCAGGAATTTGCCGGGAAAAAAGAGTTGTTCCTTTTGGACGATTGCAGTAATAACAACCTCAATTGTATCATGGGAAAATGCAACCTTGTTCATCTGAATACGGATGAGAAAGAACCCATGGACGTCGCAAAGAAGAACTGGTGGTTTTACAGGTCTTTATATGGCAGCAACGGTTCAAACACTCAATAGCACAGCAAGTATTCATGCCTTTTATTCTTTAGATATTGGTACGATACAAACCGCGCTGTATTCGAAGATGCGAGACGCCACGAGGAAACCCAGAATGCCAACCATCACCGAATCCCATGTCTTTCGTGTGAACGACGATGCCGAAAATCCGAATCCGAAACCGTTCAACTGATCGACGAGAAAAATATTGACCGTGGTTTTGCATATATGAAGCAAGAATATCATTTGCATGATTTCGTTTATATGACCACGGGCAAGCCTAACGAACCGTACCAAATTGGTCAGATCGTCGGTCTACAAAAACAGTCGGCAAAGCAGTCTCCCGCATCTAGTCCTGTGCCTCGAAATAGACGTGGCCGCAAAAATAACAACGTTGTGAAAGAATCAATTTCACCGATTCAGGCAAAAGTTCGACTTTTCCAACGACAGGCCCTTATCTCAACTCTGAATCATTATGACGTATCGAGTAATCCTGATGTACCGACCAAGGATGCTCATGAGCTATTGGCTACGAACGAATTGCAGACGGTGGATGTACTATGCTTCGAAGGTACATGCTGGGTGCAACATATCGATCGTATAGACGATTTGCAAGCTTACAAGGATGGCGCGGATTCGTTCTACATACGCTCAAAAATGACTGACGATGGAGTCACGACGCTTGACGCCAATAGCGTCACCTGTTGTGAGGTATGCAAGGCTGGCCGCAAGGCAAGACTAGAGAAGGAAGCATCTTTCGACAATACGAAGCGTCGCCTCATTAGTCTCGATATCTTTTCCGGCTGTGGCGGTTTAACTTGTGGTATGGACATGACGGGCGTAGTGGAAACCAAGTATGCGATTGAATTTTCGCCGAGCGCTTCGTTGAGTTTCGAGAAGAACTTCCCCGGTGCCGTTGCATATAACCAATGTGCCAATATTCTATTACAACGAGCCATTGCCCTCCACGCACAAAATGAAACGTTGGAACCCATGTTGGATCACTTGGGACGTCCTTTGAAAGATATGCCTGCTCCGGGCGAGATTGATTTCATCTATTGCGGACCGCCATGCCAAGGTTTCAGTGGTATCAACCGATTTAAGAAGGCCGATGATATCAAAAATACCCTGGTATGCACAGCCCTTAGTTATGTTGATTTTTATAAGCCGACCTATTTCCTCTTGGAAAATGTGCGCGGCTTGATCAACTTCAAACTTGGCGGTGAACAAATTGGCGAAAACAAAATTCAAGGAGGTATCCAAATGGGTGTAGTAAAATACATCTTGCGAACCTTGACAAGTATGGGTTATCAAACACGATTCAGTATTCAGCAAGCAGGTCATTATGGTGTGGCTCAAAGTCGTCGTCGATTGTTTATCTGGGGTGCGAAGATTGGCCATACTTTGCCTGATTTCCCTAAACCCATTACCTGCTTCCCGAAAAACTCGACTCTGGCAGTCAGCTTGCCTGACGGTACCAGTTTCAACTACATCCGTAGAACCAATGGTCAGGCACCGCTGCCCACAGTTACTGTGGGCGATTGCATTTCTGAACTACCAGCGTTCGAATACGAGAATACAAATTCCGTTTACCCCAAGGATGACTCAGAACCACCGTCCACCGTGAAACAGCTGAAAGCTTGCAATCAAGGCATCGTGGGCCCTATTGTTCAGATGTACAATCGACCTCCCTTGACCGATTTCCAAAACTGGGTTCGAAAGAATTCTGATCAACTACACAATCATTTTACAAGAGCCTTCAATGCTATCAATGTCGAACGTATCTACAACATTAGAATGGAAGCCGGGGCTGATCATTCTTGTAAGTAATGGTAGTTTTATGCTGCTGCTCATTCTTTCGTAACAGTTTTTGCGCTTATCTCTAGCATTACCTGAAAAGCTCAAGCCATGGTGTCTTTCACATAACGATTCAGCAGCAGCACGTCATAATGGTTGGAAGGGCTTGTATGGTAGACTGGATTTCAATGGACAATTCCAAACGACGTTGACGGAAATGTCGCCAATGGGCAAACAGGGGGTGAGTCTCCAACTACATTTAATATTGCTTGTGCTGTAACTAACTGATGAATGATTGGCAGACTGTTATCCATCCAAATCAACGTCGTGTTCTTACGGTTCGCGAATGTGCTCGTGCTCAAGGATTCCCCGATGTATTCATTTTTTGTAGTACATCCGCTGACGGTACCAATGGCGCTGTAAGAGATATGTATCGACAAGTGGGTAATGCGGTCCCGGTGTTACTGGCTTTGGCCCTTGGCAAGAAGTTAAAGGAGGCAATGATTCAAGACTGGTGTGAAAGTGGAAATGGCCAACAACAGATAGAATAACGATAAGTAGTGCTCAAGATCAATTTATTCCATCTCTCTCTATGTACGACGGCGCAATCATTTCATTCAGTGCATTTATTCATCACCCAAAAAATTATCGTTCATCATTATTAAGAATCAAGGCTTCTCCATCTTTTCTCATCTCTGTGCTGCATTGTTGAATCAGCTCTCAAGTCAGGCTGCTCCTTCATCAGTCGAGTGAGCTTTCACCATCAGTGTATCATAGTGAGTATAAAGGCACCTAACAAGTAACCAAATGCGTTTCGGCAAGCTACTTGTTACTGGACGCCGACGTCTTGCATTCATCGGCATTCGCTTTGGTTGTGGTCGTTTGAATGGCGTCGGTCGTTCATTCAGTTTGCGCGCCATGAATAAAAAAACGGAACGGATGTTCTTCGCTGCCGTTACATCCCGATTCCATACCGGTCTTGCATGTTTCACACATGAGGATAGCTTGTATTTTCGCCCCGGAATCACCACGTTCTTTCAAATTTTGCACACTTCTTGTTTGACATGTCGGGCATATTTGTGACGTGAGGAATTCGTTAATCATGACCACTATGACTGGCACCTATGTATTCGTTTTTATGAATATGTTTATTGCTGTTCGCTCCAATAATTCTTGTTCGTTCCTTACCTTTCGTGTCCAAGAAAGTTGTTTCAACCTTTTCACGATTGATGTATTTGGGGCACTCAACTTGTCCCTTCATTGTTCCCGAAAATGAGGCGTTTCCATACGCAACGATGGTTGTATTCTTCTTATCACTCGGCGTGTCATTGGGACATGCTGGCTGCCATTTACCGTTGTCAGACGTGGGACGTGGACTTGATTTTTTCGCATCGTATTTCTTACTCCCTGCCAGAAGACAATTCGCAATCTCGGCGGTTCCTTTCTGTTTATCCATGTGTGTTTTCAGCTTCAGCTTGTTAAATCCTACAAAACATGCTTGTTAACCTTTTACATAACAGTGATATAAAGATTCACGTACCTATTACCGTCGTCATAAAAAGCGCAAATCGTACGATGATGTAGTCTTCTTCACTTCCGGAGCGCTTTCTGTGTATTGCCTTCTTTTATAGGTGCCCTTGTTATATTCGCGAGTAAAGATCTTGCAAATTCGATTCTGCTCCAGAACCATCCACTGCCACGAAAACGTATGTCACCCCAGGGTCAACTCCCCAGATTGCTGCGCCTTTTAGATCTGCCTGAAGGTCTCGAGGCGTCAGTGGTTTCTTGGGGGTAAATCGTTTCGGCTTTTAAAGACGAATTGCACGTCGTTGCCATTAGTGATAATTGTATCCTATTGAACAATCAGCAATGACGTTGGGATGGGATTTCAAAAATTGATTCGACGTTACCAAAAGATACAGCGGTCTGTTTCCAGATTTTCAAGCGTAGGAAAACCAATCTTCTCCATCATAAAAAGGCGAAAATATTCTTGCCGTGCAGTTTCTTTGCTTGTGAATGTTCTTCGTTATGCCACTGGAGCATAGAAGCTTGGAAAATGACTGAACATCAAGCGCGATGTGGCATTTTTGAAATTAATACACCGGTAGCAGAGAATATCTCCTGCAACCCTTGGGGTCGATGTATTTCAGAGCTTGAAACATTCCTATTGGATTGCGATTTTCGTGGCCCCGACAAACTTCTCCAGTCGCTCATATTCATCGCTCGCAGTAGGCTTGCACTTGGAGGGCATCCGCAGATGTGTTTGTTCCTTACCGCATCACGCACCGCGACGTTCATGCTGTATACGACCCTCTTGGGTAAATTCTTTCCCTTAAGTATCTGACAAAATGACTTCCGATCAGCTGTGCAAAAATAATTAAAATAAAAACTTTATTTGCATCGTGCACATTTCTCGATACACACCGCAGTAGAAACAAATGTTTGTGGGACTTGTTGCATTGCGTCGATTCCTTCTCGGAGTCAAAGACCACTGGAGCTAAATGATCCAATCTGGGATGCGTTTACCACCGCTCATTACAGCCTGTTGGCCGAACTGATTGAATCGTCTCTTTCACTTGTCGTCAACAATCACCAAGGTGTCTTGTCAAGGGAACACAATACTGAAAATGACCTTCCTCAGTTCTATATTCGGGTGCAAGAATGGGACAGAAACGAACTTTTGGATACATTACCACTATATTCCAATAACTTTCCATCGGACAAAGATTGGGTTACTGAAGTTATCGGACAACTCGAACAAAAGCCGGACTCTATCTCCGTATCACTGCTTTACGCTGGCGTTACGACGACTTCTACAACTGCCCAAAAGTGTGCAGAAGCGGACAATTTACAAAGCAAGAGTGGTGGAACTCGCTTGCTCAACTGGTTCTCACTGACGACTGGAAGACATCCCAGCGTATTCACGATCAAAAACTCAGGATGCCGCCTGTCACTGACCGTGAACACTTTTATACCCAAATTGGATATCTCGAGGATATATTCATCAAAGCAATTGAAGCATGTTCCCTGAACTCGGCCAATGGTGGTTTCTATACAGATTGGGTGCCGAACCAGAGTCTTCAAGAACTTTGGAGGAAGGTACTGATATTTTTCCATTTTGATTTTCTCCTCTTTTCTTCTTTTATATACATCTGCTATTCTTGATACAAGCATATTGTCATTGATGATCATTGAAGTAATATTAATTTTTTTTACCCTACGTATAATATTGATAGGTTGTCCAAGACCAGGATGAATATATCAACCCGGAGCCTGACGCGGATGCATTTTTGATGGCCAGGGAGATCCGAGCCCATTTGCAGGACTTTGCAAATTTTCTCTCCAAGGTTTCAACCACCCTTAATATTCCGCCACCGACCGATCGGTTTATCGAGTCGGTCATTTAGCAAGCGACGCCGGAGACCTACAAAGGCCATGTGGTGTCTAAAGAATGGTATTACGATTCTTGATTGCTCCCTGTCATTCTGTGGAACACTGTTCTCTTTCTCTCTTTTTTTTTGTCTACTGTGCATTGCAGCTGATGTTTTGAGGCCTCCTTATTCGGATGCAAGAGACCACAAAAGCTTCTTGTAGTACCGCGTCTAGGTTTACGGTCCTTTCACATTTGGTTTGAAGACATGAAAAGTTTTTTGTTTGCTTCTTTGAGTTCTGCTCTATTACCACCCCCCCCCCCTTTTTTTTTTGTACATCGCAGCTGATGCGATGATACTTCTCACGAAATTTCCCAACAGTGACTGGCTCAACAGCAGTCCATCAAAAAAAGTCTATAAAATGGACATACCACCGCGTCTGCCAAAGTTCTTTCCTTTTCCCCGAACCTCCATTCTACCTTTCAAAGTCATCTTTTTTTCCGAGGTTGTCTTTTTATCAAGGCTGTTGATCCTTTAAGAATAGAAATTTGTAATTCTAAATATGATTTTCCTATAATAGTTTATTCAACTGGCCGACCATCGACGGTTCCGGCGCGTGCTCTCCACGTTCGACAAGCGCTGAACAGTACTGCGTAGTCCGTCCTGGCCCACTTGGTTAGTTTTCCGGGCAACGAAGGCCTGTAGATGTTTACAGGTAAGCCAGCGGCATTCAACATTTTTTGCTATATAGTCATACTGACTTGCTCTTTTTCTATTTTTCGTCTGTCTAAACCACATTTTTTGACTTATGATCTTTTTCCCAATTTGTTTCGTTCTCATTGGTTGCTTCTGCATTTTTTTATTGGTCATTTGAACACTGATTTTTTTGTTACTTCAAAAGTTGAATAAACTGTACAACCACAGAAACCTGGAAAAAAAGTGCAAAAAGAGCTTCAACTAACTTCGGAGGGTTGCCATCCACCGTTTTTCCAAGTGCGGAGATTGCGTTGAGTTGCAAGAAAAATAACCGTAACCACTGCATTGCTCCGAGCCTTAACATGCCAGAAGTGAGAAATCAGCTATAATATGGAAAGGAGTATTATCCATTCATCGAAATTCATAAACCAATGGTATTCATCTGCCTTGCCCAAAAAACCACTTGAGTTGAACTCGACAAAAAATTTCGTTTATTTCGAACAAGCAATTACGGAAAATCATCGAGGCAGATACGTCTCTCGTCTATCGAAAATCGAGTTGAATTGGTTGAGAGACTTGGTTCCAAGAAGACAGAAGCGTTTGCTAATGGTACAAATGTGCTTTGCCATTTCTATCTGTAAGCTTGCAAGTGAGACAGATCAATAGCGATCGCTAATGTAACAACATGAGTATGTGTCATTTTTACAATACAAGTTGTTGTTCCCTAATCACTTACAACATCCTGTTTCGGCTCCTGTGGGGTAGCGTCTAAGTTTTTTCTCAAAGGGAGGAGGTGGAGGAAATTCACGTTGCGAATGAAACGTCCATTTGCCTGCCTCTGTTTGAGGAGGTTCAGGAAAACTGATGTCGAGTGTCTGATATGAGGGCTGAACTGGAATAGTGGACATGCGGACAAGAGGAGAGCGTGAAGGAGGCGGAGGTGCAGGAATGGTTCTTCTCGATTCTGTGGTAGACATTGGCCGTGCAGACGGCGGTAATGGTGGAGGCGGTGGCACTCCACGAGATGGACTAGAACTCATGCTTTGTTCAGAAAGAAATAAGCAAGTGACGGTCGCACGGCACTTGTCGGTCATTCATTTGCAACCATTTTTTATTCCCACCTGCGGGAGCACCGCAAATCACTCATTTTCCAACCGAATTTAACATGTCACTGGATCAGAAAAAGCAGTATTTGTGCTTTGTGGTACGGATACATGATATTCTATTCATTTAATCGTCCATTTGATTTCACCGCGTTTAAAGCAATTCCATCATAGAGCCAGCAGGATGAAATTAGGTAAATAGTTCGCTGATAAATAAAACAGCCGTAGGTAAGCCGCTGGGAGATGGTATTCTTAAAGCAAATGCTCACAAGGGAATTTCCATCATTAGTTGGCGTACACGTTCACGTATTAAAGCGTTATCACCGATAATACTCGTGGCTACAAAGGGTGGTTCAACATACACCGAGTCCAACATCTGGATAGAAGCCTTGCCTTCAACAAGACGGAATGGGATTCGGTGCTACTATTATAAGTTCCTCGGTATATATGATGCGCATTTTAGCTTACTTGGGTGAGATAGTTGACGACCGCGTTCCGCCGCTTAGTCAACCATTGATCGTCAAAACTTGGGAGATGCAATGCTTCGTCCATGATACCAAGATCTATTTTCTTGCTCTGATCGACTACATAAAAGGCCCACTGTCAGCTATTCAGCACTCAGCATTATTATAATATACAAACTTTACACTCGTATGAAGTGATAGCATGTTGCGAAATCATCAGCGCCTGAAATGCTTCCGGCTGATATAATATAAAAGTTCCTGAGATAGGATCGACTGTGTACAGGAATCCTTCTTTAGTCTCTGCGTTTGCAAGGGAAATCGTCACATAACAGCCAAGAAGTTCTTGCAGTTGCTGATTTGAATAGATTGACATGCGAAGAAGGGTAGAGAGCTAATCAGAGTAGTGGAATCGTTTTCATATCCCTGCACACTGCCACGGTTTCTGAGATTCAAAAACAGAGAAGGCCACTGAATTTTGTGCAGACGCACTGGCGAGATGGTATACCATCATATTGATGAAATATATACTGTGGGTACACATTCATAATAAGAAGGACACTTACCATAGTATATACACGCACTTTAGAAAGCATGAGCCCTAGTACGATTGTAATCAGGAAAGGCACATCTCGACATCGCATATTGAGCGTGTACGCCGTTCTCAACGGAACCCACACCCACTTCACACTAGGCCCGACGAACTAAAACCAAGAAAAGCGGGCGTTCCCATCCTACGATCTATTTGTCACAGGTCAGTGGATTTGGCATACACTCCTGTTCAAAAGTCACCGTAGGAATTTCAAAAAAAAAAAAAAATCGAAAATGCAATGATATGTTTCGATGGACAGCGTCCTAATAAAAGGTCATCCGAATACCCCATATTTCATAGACGAGATATTCGGTAACTCGTAAATGTATAAATATAAAAATATTATTTAATAGTGTTTGACTGTCTTCTTTCTCTATTACAGCGCGGCACCTATTGGGCATACTGGAAACTAAATTTTCAAGAAGAGGAGGTGAGAATCTTCAACCAGGTTTTATGGTCGAAGGTTTCGAGTTGGATCACATTTTCCAGTTTGCCACGTTTGCTGCGAAGCTTATACGCAATATAAGCCCAAAGATGCTCAATTGGATTGAGATCTGGTGCAGGCCAAAAATCGAAGCTCTTCACATCACCTCTTTCTCTTCTTTTATACAAGGTAGCATAGCCAACAGTATGGCATGGAGCTCATTTTCAGGTTTTCAGTATGGAAGAAACGTGTTGGCCAAGCAAGCGGCATGTGTTAATCGACATTACCAGTGAAGGTCACCAAAGGACCAAGTCTACCTTCCCAAAAGCATCGCACACCATGATCGAGTCTTTACCATACTTGTGTATATGAAGCCAGTATGTACTTGTCCGGTGTCTTTCATTGCTTTTTCTGACAACTCGGATACAGCCGTCATTGCCAATCATCTTAAATCGCGATTTCGTCCGATCAAATCATGGATTTCTTCACTGTATATAAAAGCCCCCAGATGTCAACGAAACTTAAAATAATAGGATTGTTTTATTTACGATGAATATTGAAGGGTATGTATATGATTCCTTGGTGATCACCTCTTTAAATGAGTTTTCGATTCTCAAACCATCATTGAAGACCTTCCACTCTTGATATCGAACTGAAACGGTCTATGGCTTCGTTCGGGTGACTCTGGCATTGATCCCTTCTTCATCTAACATGCGCCTGACTGTATTGATGCTCACGAGACATCCAATGTGGTTTGTAATTTCATTCAAGGTGGCGCGGCGGTTTTGACGTGTGTACCGCAGTATGGTACACTTGTCACTATCGTTCGATTTTAGCGGGCGTCCCATACGTTTTTGGTACTGCTGGCACCTCGTCTACTTTTTTGGATTTGACTAATTTGAAGATTCCGAAATCGGATCTACCCAATTTGATCACGATTTCAGGCACCAGGCATTCCTCCATCGTACAAGCCTTTCATGTAAGTGTTTTCGCAGGATGAAAGATTCTTTGTGGTTCCACGTCTTTGGAAGAGACTGGTTTTATTTTTTATTTTTAGCATGCGAGAATTTGGACAGACATTGACTGTTACTGCATTGCCTTTTCTAGAGCGCAGCTGAGCACAAATGGCAGATGTTTTCAGTTGTGCCCGTTTGTCCCGCATGCTGTTCCGTGCTTGATTCATCTTGTTCTTTTCTTTTTAGAATAGACATCACAACATAATCCTATTCAAATGAACCTCAATTTGGAATTATGTTTTCGTCCAGTACTATCTTGTCTTGCTCTTGTTTGGCCTTGTCTGCTACCTTTGTCCCTGTCTCTGTTTTTGTCTTCTTATTGTTATTGTTATTGTTTTATTCTTAGTTCCCATCGCTTTTGCTATTCTATTTTCTGTCCGTTATTCATCTTATCTTCATCCTGTTCTAGTTCTTGCTTAATACAGTCCCTCTTGTTTCCCGCTCCCCAATCTTTACAATAGTATTCAATACTTTTTTCTTCTTCTTTGTTGTCATGTCGTCAGTGCGAAACCCACTCAGATTTTACGGCGCCAGTTCCAGCTGTGCATTCTTTCTGGTCCCGTCCTGGTGAAGATGTCCATTTGCTGGTGGCCCCCGTCACCAAGGTTTTTTCGTTTTTTTTTCCGTTGTCCGCGTTGCTTGCCTGTCCCTTCGGCGTTGCTTCTGTTCCTTCCGGACAACTTTTTTTTCCCTGACCTTGTCTCCCGCTTGTGTCTTTTTCGGCGTGGTCGGGCTTTGTGGTCGGGCCTTTTTTTCTCTGGCGTTCTCTCCTGTGTCCCTTTGGTTGGACGCCTGGTTTTTTTTTTTTTTTTTTTTTTTTTTTTTTTCGTTCCTTTGGTCGTACCTGGGTGTTTCTCTTGGTTTTGTTCCTTCGCCTCGTCCTGGGCGGTTATCGCCGTCCTCCCCCAGGTTGCGGACTTCTGGTAGTGGGCGAACTCTTCCTGGAAGGTCACGGTAAGTTTTTCAATGATAAAAAGTAAAGCTGTACAAGGAAGAATCTCACTGACGACTCTTGTTTTTCTTTATGATGTCTTCTCTCCCAAATCTGGTCATTTTCCAACTCGCGATAATTAATTATTTCAACCATTTCTTTTACTTGTTTATGTTTCAATTGGAATTCCACTCTTCTCCATTTTGATGTCATGCTCTTTTACGTCTTTTTTGTATTGTCATTTTTTTTTTTTGTATCATACTGTAATTTGCGATTTTTTTTGTAATTTTCAAATTCCTACGGTGACTTTTGAAAGAAACAGTGTTTGGCGAAATTCTTCATCCTCAATTTTGCCGCAGTCAGCCTGGCCTCGCTCTGTCAACCGTGCTTGTTGTCGATGTTGAGAGCAGTCACTGGTCTTTTTCTTCTCTTTTTCTGCAACTCATTCCTTTCGACATGGCAACACGGAAAGTAGCATTAACCTTGTTCTCATCTAGCACCTGTTCGCTATGCACCACAGCTAAGGACGCAATCCTCAATGTACAGAAACAGGTAATTCAGGAGATGGACGAATTGAAGCCGTAGCAACTAATCGTTTCCTAGGTCCCGTTCACGCTCTCAGTAGTTGATATTCACAAAAACGAGTGCCCCAAGGAGTTTGCCGAAAAATATATGTTTGATATCCCCGTTGTTCATTTGAATGATCACTTTTTGACTATGCATCGCGTTCCTGAAGACCAGCTTCTTAAGGCTATTCAAAAATTCCAAAACACTGGTAAAATAGAAAAGATATAGAAAGCTCATGTAATTTTCTGCGGGTTGCATAACTGTCAAATAAAGTTATTACATAGACCACCATAATAAACATAGGAAATGGCGATATCTCTAAACTGCCCTGCTATCACAGAATCAAAAGAGACTTCCTGTTTACTTTTTGTTCACGAACATCAACAAATTTACCACTATGGGAATGCATAATACCCATCATCTACCACCCCGGGGTCATCGCGGACGGCACCTGCACCCAGCAGTCACCGATATAGCTCATGCCATACCAGACATATCAAGGCAGCAAGGCGCCCTTGTCGCTACTGGTGCGATGCCAGAATAAAGCTGCAAGTAGGTGGCGGTTTATTACGTATTGACGAACGTCATTCTCTCTATGACCCATTACAGTACGTATTCATATTCCCAAGGGGCAAAGGAAAGCGGCCTCCAACCTAGACGTTAGAACTGGCACGCTCATGACATTCTAACCACCCTCACAGTGCAAGCAGTACTGTTGGGAATCATGTGGGTCAGCAAGTTATCCTATCCCGGATCATGCTTGATTATGAAAAGACTGATTTTCCATTTACGCTCTCACGTCGGCAGCTGCCTTTACGTCCGGATTTTGCCCTAAAGATCAACGAACCACAAGGACAGTCATTTGACAAGATCGGGTTATACCTTACAATGCCATTGTTTAGCCAGTTATAGGTGGCAGTGTCGCGTATAGCTGATGGGCAGAATTTGAAAGTAATGCTGGCACAGGAGCACGTTGAGACGCGAATAACGAACACATTGTATAAGGCTTCTCCTCTAATTTGATCAATTGTAATAATGACGCGGCTCACGAAAAAATTTATCATTGGTTGGGAATCAAAGCATGGATGTGAGAAGCAGAGTTCCACAGATAATAACTGACGTTCGTCGAACCTGAATTTGGCAATTGGGGGTCCAGCCGGGGGGTGGTTGTTTGCCTCCTCGGCAACGCGAGCTCTGTTGAATAACCCGAAGTCAAGCGAGTCAAGAAGTAGCTAGTCCACACAGTGAACTCTATTAATAAATAGGTCGAAAATGATTACTGTTTTCTGACTTTTCCAGTCACTTTCGACTTTAAAATGCTTATTTGAAGTAGTATGCATGATGACGATTCGTTATTCAGAAGTTGGATGACGGGCATAAGAAAAGTTCAATGTGGGTGGAGCTTTTTTTGTGGAAAGTTGATTGATGATACGGCGATCTGGTATTTTGTAGCATCATTTACAGTAATTTGTTTATTTGTCAGTTATACTGTATATGTGTTTTGAGGTGTCTTCTCTTCAGTTTTTCAATGATCGAATAATATGAGCAGACGGCATGCTCCGGTCTGTGCAGCTCATCATGCATCAGTGGGGGTTTAACAATCACATATTTGTTTCTTTTTTCTTTGGTTTTCTCTCTCTTCTATTTGCCTGGAAAACTCCCACTATCATTGCATCCGCAACCGCATCCATCATCCAAACTATGGTTACCCCGTGTACCTGAACTGGTCGAGTCGATTATTATCAAAAAGGTACCTTTGTGTGGTGTAATTATTCGTTCTTACAAAAGAGTACCAGTCCTTTTTCTCTATCCTTCTTTAGCTTTCGATTTTTCTCCAGTTTTCTTTCCGCCAGGCAAGCCATCCATCCTCCAAATCTTTATATAATTTGCTCGCGCAACCGATCTGGGCCAGACCGATTGTCTTTGTGATATATGAGAGAATTTAAAACAAAAGAGACAATGAGAATCCTTTGAGACTGTTCGATATTTTTATTTTGATTAATGTGAGCTGCCTATTTATACTTTAGTCTTGAGTCGGAACTAATAATTATCAGTGAGCAGTCCTCGGTTATAAGGTGTATTAGGAAGGACCCATGCTGTGGTGTGCCAGCTGTACCCGTATGAATTGATCTCGGCGATAGATCCAAGTTATGGACGAAGAGGCTCAATCGGTGCTCTGTTGGAGAAGCTCACTCAGAATGGAAACGCGTCTAGATCCCGATCTTTCCTGTTTGGGAACACCAGTCTAGGATGGATAATACGACAAGTAGTGGATATACCACAGTCTTCAACGGACGGTGGTGTGACCCTATAATTTATCCGAGAACAACCTACTCTGATTCCCCTCATTTGTATAGCTTTTCTTGAAATCATATTCGAGATGTCCTCCTGATTATTGTTTTGTATTTCATGTAGTTATTCTTTTCGTAGTCTTTTCCTCCGTTTCTTCCCACGGGGTTTTTTCGGGGAGTTGGGGTTTTACCTACGTGACCAATTTTTTTATTTGTCTTTTTTCTGGTTCTTGTCGGGAAGCTTTTGATATCATACCAATGCATCGAATACAAGGTAAGCCAATATCGTTCAGTTTATATATCGCTCTCATGTTCACCACTATATCCAAGGATAATGATGCCTGTGCTGACAACAAATGGTGATCGCCTCCTCTCACTATATAAGCCAGGTAAATAATCTTTTTTTTTTTTTTTTTTACTATTTGACGTAATGATTGATGAATATCATACCAACGTTCAATTTATTTGGGTATACGTCAGTAATCATGATGATCCTGCATTTCTCATCCACATGATTTTGGGGAAGCCAAGCTCGGAATATTCATCGCTCTGTCCCTGATACTGGATCATCTACTCAAGCTGACACCACCGCCACACAGCGTTCCATCCGATTGCCTGTCCCCGCAGGCCTCCTATTCGTCGCATCGAGAAGAATCCTTAGTTTTCTCCATAGACTATTTCGTTCAAGGGCACTTCTTTTTTTGTTGTTGTTTTTGCTGTGATGTTATGGACGTATACTGATTCAAAATTTCTCGACGACATATAGCTAAATCATGCCAAGCAACCAATGACTATCAAAAACTCAAATAACAAAGGTAGAATATCTTGAAAGGAAGTTTCGAGATGAAGAACGTTTACTAATGTATTAAAATGTCCAACAAACCGGTCTAGATAATCATATCCGTCATCATCATAGCCTGGACGGGACGGAACGGAGGGGATCAATAAGTACTGCTGTGCGCATGTTCGAAAATCATGACTGTATTGCGGTATGCCGGAGAATTGACATTAATATACCAAAGCTCCATCAAGAGTCTCGGTTAGGTTATCCCTTATTGCCTTAGACTTTGTCTGACGAAAGTCACTCAATGTAAGAGTGTGACCTCCAGTAGCAGGTGGCAACAGACATGGGTGTACAGCTTGTTAGAAAATAAGGCAATTTTTGACACCAAGGGAGACAAATTCCCAAAATAGCAGTTTCTTTTTTTGACTACGTGGCTTTGGTCTTTTTTTTTTCCACAGTGCACTAAAAAATGCTGCATCTTGGTGGCAATGCTAAGAGAAAAAGATCCCAAATTTTTTCATCTCTTTTGTTTACTAAAAGAGGAAACAGGTATCTTTCGGAGAAAGCAACGAAACTCCGGCGGATCTCAAATACCGGATTTGCTCATACAAATATGGAAAATGAGATCTGAATTTGTTCGCCAGATAATCTCTATTTGGGGCCAAATCAAGCACACCTTCCATTTAAACATTGATGTCAACTGTGGAGTGATCCTTTTCTTTCTTCTTCATCCTTAATTCTTTGTTTCTTCCTCATTTTACTTTCTCCCCACTCTTATCATGATATTATCCATTTCCCGAAGTAACCTCCTTCGGTCTGTTTCCCATGCAACTACGGTTGCGCGCATGATTCCTTCTGTCGTCTCGCGCAGAACCTTTGCAAGCACAAACGATGTGACAGATACGCAAAACCTGATTGAAAAAATCGTCCAGAAATATGCTCTCGATCTGCCCGAGGGTTACAAAGTCAAGAGTGGTGATTATGTTACGATCCGGCCCCATCATATTTTGACTCATGACAATACCGGTGCTGTTATTCCCAAGTAAGGATGGCTCAGTTATCTAGGAAACGACATGTGCTAAAACTCGTTGACCCATTGACTAGGTTCAAATCTATTGGTGCCACTAAATTCTACGATCCCAAGCAGCCAGTGTTTGCGTTGGATCACGATGTGCAGAACAAGTCGGACAAAAACCTTACAAAATACGCCAACATCGAAAAGTTTGCCCAAGAGCATGAAATTGACTTTTATCCCGCAGGACGTGGTATTGGTCACCAAGTGATGATCGAAGAAGGTTATGCTTTCCCTTATACCTTGACGGTCGCTTCCGATTCTCACTCGAATATGTATGGTGGTATTGGCGCACTGGGAACGCCTATTGTGCGTACGGATGCAGCGGCCATTTGGGCTACCGGTCGTACATGGTGGCAAATTCCTCCCGTTGTAAAAGTTGAACTCCAAGGTAAACTGCCTGTCGGCGTTACAGGCAAAGACGTTATCATCACTCTTTGTGGTCTTTTCAACAAGGATCAAGTACTCAACACTGCTATTGAGTTCCACGGCGGAGAGGCTCTTCAGGCGTTATCAGTGGAGGATCGTCTTGCTATCTCTAATATGACCACGGAATGGGGCGCATTGGCTGGTGTGTTCCCGGTGGATGATGCCACTATCGAATATCTTCGCAAGCGCATGAGACGCATGCAACTTACCCATTTTGAAAACAAGAATTTGCCACCGCTGGCTCCTGGCGAGAAATTCAAGCATCCTCGCATCAACGAAGACACCATCCAAGCACTTATCGATAATCCACTACGACCGTCCCCTAGTGCTTCTTATGCCAAAACATTGACGCTTGATTTGTCGACTTTATCACCCCATGTGTCTGGTCCCAATTCCGTGAAGGTCGCCACCTCTCTAGCTAAACTCGAACAGAAAGACATCAAGATAAACAAGGCTTATCTTGTTTCCTGTGTCAACTCCCGAGCCACCGATTTGAGACAGGCCGCAGCTGTGATGAAGGGTAAAAAGGTCAAGGAAGGAGTGGAATTCTATGTGGCTGCTGCTAGTTCCGAGGTGCAAAAGGAAGTTGAGGAGTCTGGTGACTGGGATGTCCTGTTAGAAGCAGGTGCCAAAGTCTTGCCTGCCGGTTGTGGTCCCTGCGTCGGTACGTTGCTAACAAACAATGGATGGACGGTTATAACTACCAAAAACAAAGCATTGCTAAGCATTTTGTTCTAGGTCTTGGCACTGGGCTGCTAAAAGACGGTGAAGTGGGTATTTCTGCGACCAATCGTAATTTCAAGGGACGCATGGGTTCTCCTTCGGCTCTGGCCTATCTTGCTTCTCCTGCTGTGGTAGCTGCTTCTGCCGTTGCAGGAAAAATTGCTGCACCTAGCAACTGTGATATTAGCGCTGCTACCCCGAAATTCACCATTCAAGATACCAAACCCGTTCATTCTGATCTCGATGATTCAAGCAACGGTCAGAAACCCGAAGTACTTCCCAATTTCCCATCTGTTATTCAGGGTGAACTCTTATTCTGTCCGGCCGATAACTTGAATACAGATGGTATTTACCCCGGAAAATATACTTATAACGATGATATGACGGTGGATGACATGCGCAAGGTTGTCATGGAGAATTACGATCCCGAATTCGTCAACATTGTACAAAAGGTAAAAGTTAATTCCCAGCCCAAGAATAACAGTTCATCATGTCTGACAATTTATTTACTTCTTTAAAAAAATTGAAGGGAGATGTGCTGGTGGGTGGCTTCAACTTTGGCACTGGTTCTTCGCGTGAACAAGCTGCAACGGCCATCAAATCAAGAGCCATTACCATTATGATCGCTGGTTCTTACTCCGATATTTTTAAACGCAACTCCATCAACAATGCCCTGTTACTGATTGAATCACCCGAGCTTGTCAACGATCTGAAGAAGGAGGTTGGTACGGACGCTCTGACCAAGCGGACCGGTCGTCAGGTGGAAATTCATGTGGCAGAAGGCAAGGTGGTGGTTACCAATACCGACGGCACCGAAAAACTGTATAAAGTAGGCGCTCTTGGCAAGAGTGTTCAGGAGATTTGGCTGGCCAATGGTCTTGAAGGATGGGTCAAAGAGCGCCTGTAATCCCTACTCATACCTACAACGTCATTTTCATTATGCCAGCATATTGCATGTGCCCTACTTCATTAATTCGAAGTTTTGCAAGCGGGCAGTAATTCACTCTGCTTTTGCAGGATCGTACTAATAAAATAATCATTAGAGTAACTTACTGCTAGCTTTACTACTAGCTTTTATTTCCAACGCATATGATCTAACTAAGGCAGGTCTGCATTACTTGCAGTAAATGCTGCATAGCATAAGCTTAGTCGACTCATTATGACCAAGCTTCACCAATAGTACCTTGTGATCAGCGGACAGGGCATCCTTTCCATATGTGATAACAGCTCATTTGTCAGTGAGCTCCAAAATTAACGATATGCCGATTATGACAATTAGTCTCGATGCTGGAAGTCGTAGTGAGGCTACAGTATAGAATACACTATGTAGCCTTATTTCCCGGCACAGTCAATTGTGGAACGAGACCTGCTCAATCCAGATTTTATTTATCATGCCATAAACAGCCTAGGTTTACACGATGAAGCGTGCAACATTTGTGACACCCGAACAAAATAAAATGAATGATCCTCCATTATCAGTTTCTAACTTGTTTTGTCTCCACTGCTTTATATAGCGTGATATCTTCGTGCTAAGCATATTCGATATTACTTCCGTCATTTACATAGATTGACTGTGTTTATTAAATGCATTGTTACAAAGTCTTGCCCAATCCGACTTTCTTTCTGAAAGTTCGCTCAGCTCGATACATCACGCGGTCTATTAGCCCAGCCACAGTGAAAATGCCCCCGATAATCGCCAGCGCACCTGTAAGGAAACTGGTGAAAGTAGATTGTACTTCTTGGTATATGATTAACATAGGCGAGATATCCATGTTAAAGAAAACGCCTGATGGAAACAAATGAGTTAATTGGGGTATCAACAGGCTTTGGGGTTAGGTTTGTATTACCTGGCAATCCTGCTACCTCAGGCGCAAGGGTTCGTTCATTTTGCGTAAAAGAATACTGATTCGTGTATATCGGGGATCCTTCAATCGGCTGCAATTTGGTTGACACAATTTTCAGGAAATACTGGTATACAATACGGGCTACGATTATGTGTAAGCATAATTTTCCATTACTGCTAGGGGCACATAAATACCTTCTGTAGTTTGCTTTACTACACCGGCGAGTGGATTCTGTACCGTGAGGGCAGCGGCAGTATCAGCGTCAGGTCCATCGGGACCGAACTTGAGAGAATGAATAGTATGAGACATATCAAAGGTGTGGCCATTCAAAGTGCCCTTCATATACTGATTGAGATCGTGAATATGCATATGTGAGTGTCTAAACGATTGTCCTGGAGCAATATGGAAATTGCCTCGAACTTTGTTCACTAAAAGTTCTCCGTGAATGTTGCATCCTTCATTCGACTGGTTCTCAATCTTCTCTCGCCATCCTTCTCTCAAACATTGATCGATCTGTTCGGGATCCCCAAAGCCCCATCCCATCCGCACGTAAGCTTCGCGGACTTCTGCGCAGGTATTGCAACAGCCATCTTCGCGGATAGATTTGGCTCCATAACAACTTCCGCAACTCGGCTCTTCTTGCAACGCCAAATCGGCGCCGCTACTGAGATCACCTAATTCTGCACATAGATAGTGGTGAGCTCAAAGTCCCACTGCATATAAACATTGCAACGTACTGTGAGCTTTTTCAATCTGGATTTGCTGCCCTGCTAGATCTAGTCGCACCTTGAACACGTTATGGGTATATCCGCTTATATGTGCGCCTGCATCGTCCATTACGTCCAAGGTCAACACTGATGTCACAAATGTAAAAGAAAAACTTACGTTAATCAACTTATTTGAACATCGCAAACGAAACAATCTTACTATGACAAGGCATCTTTGGGAACGTGATGTTGAAGTGGATCGGCAACTTTTCCTTCCTGCTTTTGTCTACCACCAGCTCTGTTTGCCACGTGGGTGTCCGATAAGCGAAGAATTCAGACAACATCAAGAAGCCAATAATTAAAGCACTGATTGTGGTGACTTTATCCAAAAGGGAATAATCGTTCAGTTCCATCGCTGTTCGGCTGCTTTAGCGCGTCTGCCCTCGATCGCTTACCCAATGCGCCAGTAGTCGTCTTTACTCGAAAGTCATCCAACGTTTTTGCATATGCATCGAAATTTCGAAAGCGAAGAAATATAGAGCCTTGTTTTGCCATGACACGTAAATCCAGAAAGAGTGTGATGGCGTCGATGATTTATCTGGTTGCGCACAGATGGCCCTCCTCTCATCGGACTTGGGATGCGCCGGCTTTGAAACTGCGCCCTGATTGCTTTTGATGTGTTGTTGAGGTGCATTTCAGAATCTTCACATCCCATGAGGTTGTTATACCGAGCAGTAAATTATCCATCAGGGCAGGGTAGAATTAAATATATTGCTAGATACCGGAAGTGTATCCGATTTATTTGAAACGCTGTTGTATTCATTCATCGATTCTGCTATTGAAATTACTGTCCCCTCGATATTGACTCTTTTCCTGTATGACCATATATCATTTCGGCTTCCTGCGATATAGAAGCAGATACGCCGACTGTCAATTGGTTTTGTCATTAGAGGATAGATACTATGCTTTGCAACTGAACAACAGCACCTACCACTGTACCTTTTTCTATGGATACACCCCGTGGCACGAGTTTTGGGAGAATACTGTAATAAGCGTTCATGCAGCATTTCATTGATATACTCGGATAACGAAGAAGTCAGTTTGATTCATCGTAGTAGTGAGTGCTCAATTTATCTGTCCGTATGAAACATCACTCATAACATGATAGCTGCCAAACGTAAGCTGCAGTGACAGTTTGATTCACGATAAGAAGTCATTATGTCATCCATCTACAGTGCCCTGGCAAAATTCTCTGTGATCCCGATAAATTGATTGACTTCCTTAATGTCTTTTCCATCTTTCAGTTCATTTTTCTCGGGAGATGAAGAGATGATAATAAATAAATTACAAGGAAGCAAAAATCATGACTTGTAAAAGAATTATTTAGGTAATATCGCCTCTTTTTTCATGTCTAGAAAGACGATGCATCTTCCATCCATTTTTTTCTCTTCATCGCACATCCATTTCTTTTTTCTTTTCTTCGCAAATCCATCCATCGCGATACATATTTTCATTGCTTATTTTATTACATTTGCTCAAACCCAATTGCTTGCACTGTACGTGTACTCAGGATGACCACAACTGTGATATAAGCGACTGAACCTCCACAAATAGCTTGCACGCCGCAAATCGTTTTTTTGTGGCCTACAATGAAACTTCTTGAAATGGAAATGTATTTGTGCTCAAGTGTCTTCCTTACTTTTTTGATGTTATGCCGAATCACTCACTTGTTGTGTGTGCTTCTATAGTTTAAAACTTTGAACAAAGCCCATGCCTTGGCGGTGTGCGGTGGCGGCTCCCACAGTGTGGTGAAAACAGTTTTCTAAGTGACAATAAAGAAGAGTACGCTTGGCTTGTCTAATGCATCCAATTTTTTTTTTTTTGGTATGCCGTTGTCCTTTGGTTTCTTCTCTTATCTGATTAATTTAACAACATTAGCTCGCCTGTTTTCCAAAATTTGATTTGTAAAATTTTTTTATCAATTAAACTGCACAGTTGGAGACATACAGTAGCATCGACTTATGGTACTCACCATTCAACACCCTTCTTGTTAAATTAATCCCCAATTATGCATTGCGTAAACGCTCGACAAGACGCTGAAGAATTCAGTGTCAGGGCCTAAAAATTGGCGGTCTGGAACCCGTGGTTTGTTCAGCCGCGATTTCTGTTATTAACAAGCCGTACACCCGCTGTGCAATGGATGCCGCCTGCCACCGGAGGCCGCCCTCTTACATTGAGCGACTTTCGTCAGACAAAAAGCCTAACGCATACACGGCATAACCTGGGCGAGAACTCCTGATGGACTTTGGTATATTAATGACAACCTTATGGCAATACCATGCAACGTGAGTTGTTTCTGAGCACGCACAAAGTAGCACTGGTTCCCCACCCCCCCTCAGTTCCACCCCGCCCAGGCTATGATCGATCAAGAAAGATGTGTGGGTATGTTGGGTATTTAAAAAAAATGAGTCAGTAAGCTCTTTGGTTGATTCAATTTTCGTCAAGATATTTTACCTTTGTTATTTGAGTTTTCAATAGCCATTGATCCTTTGACATGACTTGGATTATATGACATTAAAATTTTTTTTTGAATTGGTATATGTTCATTACATCATAGCAAAGGAAAAGAAATTGGACTTGCCTTTGAACCAAATGGTGTACCGGAAAAAAAAGATGATACGGACCGCCAGGTAAGCTTCTTCTTCGAGCGGTAAATAAAATTGCTTCCAGGGACAGTTAAGCGATGGATCGGTGGTGTCGGCTTGAGCAGGCAAAAAATATTGACGTGGTCAGAAGTGACGGTAATTTCGAGTTGTAATCCAGATATCGAGAGTCCCCCGAATAAAAAGAAAGAAAAACAAATATAGTATATGATGATAAAAAAAACAATGGTCGCGTCAGTAAAAACCTCCTAAAAAGCCCTGTGGAAGAAAAAAGAGGAAAAGACTGCGAAAAGAATATGTACATGAAATATAAAATACAAAATACAAACTATGAACTATGAACTATGAACTACAGAATACAATAATCGGGAAGACATCTCGAATATCATATCATGAGAAGCAGTCCAAAGGAGAGGAACATGAAGAGGACACGTAAGCGTTTCCGATGAAAAAGAGAGTCACACCACCGACGATGGCCTTTGAGTCATCCAGTTTCGCCAGATGGATGGATGGATGGATGAATGGCGAGAGAAAAGTCAACTTGTAGTATCCAGAACTTGTCAGGCGAAAAGAAAACGGAGAAAACCGGAAGCTGGAAGAAGGGATGGAAAAAAAAAGAGAGGTAAGTCTATTTTGCCGGAGCAAAATCGATGGTGACACGCGACGCTTGAGAATGGTAGTCGATTTAACCAAGTTAGATACACGGGATAAGAATGGTCTGGATGATGGATGCGGATGGGATCTTGATACAATGATACCGAGAGTTTTTCAGGTAAACAGAAAGGGAGAGAGAAAATCAAAAGAAAAAGATAAAATTGAAGACAAAAATATATGATTTCCCATGGATGAAACAATAGTCACCCTTCTGATGCATGAATTCATAGATCGAAGCACGTCTGCTTATGTATTATTCTATTCATTGAAAATTGAAAGAGAATGAAAGGACATATACAGTATAACTGACAAAAAAAAACAAATCAAATGATGCTACAGAAGAACGCCAGTCGTATCATCAACCACTTTTCTTCAAAAAGAGCTCTACTCACATTTTCATTCGAAAGATGACGATGTCCTATTTTACCACACTGGTGCAAACGGCATCTTGCTGCTGATTGTTTCGCCTATTATTGTGAAAGTGGGCAGCGAGGCATGGTTGAAAGATAAAAAAAAAGGTTTATCAGGTCCTGATAACTTAGTGTAGATCATGTGATTTACAAATTGCTAATTTCCCGAAGATTTAATTGTTGAGACAAGTCGCAAGTAGCGCGTGTTGATCTTAAAGATTACAAAGTTCTGCTCTTTCGGTCTGTAGTTTGTTGTTGCTCTGAGGGAAGCGAGAATAGTAGCTGAAAAGATGGTTTGGAATGGGATGCTGCGTTTGCAATATTCAAACTTCGTCATCGAATTTGTGTTTCCCAAGTTCTCGCATAATGGTGTTCTCTCAACTCTAATATTTTGTCAATAAGCTTTCATTCAGGTTTTATGCGACCATTGATTTTTCAATGAGATTAGTCGATGTGCGCATAAATCTTTGCGCATTCAATGGGCAACAGAGTAACACAGTCTCTTTTCCTTTTTCCCAGAGGTGCTGATCCGCCTGACCACACCGCCACATAATGATCATTTTCTTCAGGGGAACAACAGTTTGTATGCAAAGTAGTAACGGAAATAGCCAGAAATCATATAATATTAAATGGAAGAACAAAATAGATATTATAAGAGAAAATAATCATGACTTGGAAAAATATAGCATAAGGATGAAAGCAAAAGGAGCATAAGGAAAAAAAGCACACAGTAAGACATACAGGAACATAAATACATAAGTGAGGAAACAAAATAGGACATATTATATTGATGATCTTGAAGAGCAAGTTGCCATTCGTTGTCATTTGAGAGCAGTTCGAGTCGCCGTGCTGCAGCCTGGAAAGTTGGCATGATGACGCCGTTAATTGTGCGAAGATCTTGGAAACTTTGCGCACCTGGGATGTTATACAACATCATCCTTAAAACATATTTTTCGGATTGCCTTGGCAACACAGTGTACATCCGGCCGATCGTACCGCCAAAGCGTCGTTGATGTCTTCTCCATGTTCGTGTTCTTTGGTGGTATACGTATTGCGATGGGAAATCAGGGTAAAGGTAGGCTCGGGCTTGGGGATCTGTTCTGTTTTTGGCAAACCATGCTGTCAAAGCTGTGTCATGAGCACGTTCTGCCACTATTTGACGATTCTCATCTTCGGAAAATTGCACCATTTGCTCATTTTCCAAATGGATGGCCAAGCGTTGAGTATTGGGATATTCAGAGTGCATAGGAAATGAAAGTAACCGATGAACGCTTTCTGCAGCCGAAGAACAGGTTTTTTGTTACACAGGTGTGCCCAATCAAATGTATTGTTTTGCCTTTTAGCCAATCAGAGACCGTGCACATGAGTTAACTGCATAACCCCCAAAAATTTTTTAATATACAGTATCAATATCAATCAAATATCAATATCAATTATCGCTGCAGAGCATCTCACATAATCGTTCGGCCGATGATTACAACGTTGACCAAGAAGACCTTAACGTATACTTCATGCTATTGTGAGGAAAACATTTATATGCTATGTAAGGAACTGAAGCGCATAGCACCTAATGAATTGGAGAATTGCACCGTTGTTTTCATCAGCAATTCGAATCGATCCGTACGTTGCTCTTTTCAATGCTCTCTTTAATGATTCTGATGGCGCGACCTTGGGCAGATTCCGATGTGGATGCAGGCTTCTTCAGTGAATGGGTCTCCTGTTATATGGGTATGTAGCGCACTTTATTGAGTTACTTTTTGACTCACTTTACCGAAGGATTACCATGTCATTCTTATGTACCATGATTATGCTGCATCCTCGTCGTGCATTTATGATTTTGATACTCGACTGCCATTCCCATGTGATACTGCAAGATATATTAAAGCAAGCTTTCGTCCGGAACTGCAACTAAAGGATGAATTCATAAGGTAAACTTTGCTCAATAGCTTGTATCATGGTATTGTATTCTCAAGTCACTTTACAGATACTTCAGAATGGTTCCTGCAGCAACTTATCTAGCTTATTTTGCATCAGATCGAAGTCACATGGTGAGGATCCAGAACTTATTGAATTGACGATCTGTAAAAGGATGAAATAATGATAGTGGCATATAGTTGACGACTTCAGGTGTATATATTAAGCCTCCACCAACATATATACCAATTGCTACCAAAGGTAAATAAATAAAAACGGGTACGATGATTTATAACTTACTGACAGGTTATCCTCAGAAAATATCATGACTCTTCCTCAATTTATCAATATGGAGCATTATAAAAATAGTGAACAATATGGAACTGTCATCTCTGAATTTCAGTTTTTTAGTTTAATTTCTTAGTTCTTATTACTGAAGTTGGCGAAATCAAGATGGAAAATGAGGTACAAGCTCTCAGAGCCGCGCTTTATTTTTCTTTTCTAGTAAAGGATATAATGATAACAAGCCGTACACCCGCTGTGCAATGGATGCCACCTGCTACTGGACGCCACCCCCTTACATTGAGCGACATTCGTCAGACAAAAGCCTAATGCATACGGCATAACCTGGGCGAGACTCTTGATGGAACTTTGGCATATTAATTTCAATACAGTGACTCAAAAAAACGGCGCACAATATGCAATTTTTTGCCGTTTATACATTCTTCTCAAGATCTGAACCTGAAATTTAGCCTGAATAAACTTTGTATAGTTTTTTAAATACATGCCAAATTTCATGCAAATCCAACCGTTGGTTCCTGAGTTACGTGCGCTTGAAGTCAGCCGGTCGGTGCGCCGTTTTTTTGACTTTGCCAAAAAATCGCCGAAACAATTAGCGACCACAAAACGTATTAAATAGTAGCTCAACATCTGATGACGGGAACAATGTCAAACTTTAATAGAATATACTAGAAATAGTTGTGAATAACTACGAAAAAATATGGTGTCATTTTATTGAAAAATGACTGAGATATAGGCGAAACAAAACGATCGGTTAATTTCCGGACGATAAAAAGATACCGTTTTGCTGTACCTCTTGTATTGTTTTCTCGACAACTGCTGATTCAATATACTCCAATTTTTTTTGCATGCTTGTAGTTGTGATGGTAACATTCATGTAAAGTTTCAGATTTTTAGGTGCAGTAGATCATTAGAAACCAATCTTAGAAGAAAAATTACATATGAATTTTCACCTTTGTAAGGTGAGTACTGATTATTTTTTTCCCACCAGTGTCACTTTATTCATGCACTCCGACTTTAGTACAAAAAAAGGGCGTTGTTAGGCGACCTTTTATCCTTTCGACTGCATTCTGATTTTGCAATTACCCTCATCTGCGCTCTAAGTAGCACTCATCACGATTTTGAATTGAATTACCAACTTGTCAGCAATCTCTTCTACCACCCGCCAGAATATTCAGGCTCGTTTGAACTCTGGGGAGTTTATTCGGTCTATTTCAAGACAACTTGGGATCTCTCGACGCTCAATTGGTCGCATTGCTAAGCAATTTCGCATCAGCACTGATGCTCCACATGGGCGGCCATCGGTAATTACCACTAATCTCGGCCGCATCATACTGCGCAAGTTCAGTTCTGGTGAATACAATACCGCTGCTCATGCTTCTAGGGAGCTACAGGCGGATGGTTATCATGTATCTGCTGAAATCGTCCGTAACCATCTTAAAAACTCTGGTTATCAGTCTCGCAAAAAACCTGACGCACTTCCTCTGACAGTTAATCGTACGAAAACTCGTCTTGCCTTCGCCAAAAATTATCAGCACTGGACGGTAGATGATTGGGAACGAGTGATCTTCAGTGACGAAACCAAGGTGAACCGATTGGGATGGAAAGGAATGGACCTGGTATAAGAATGGGGAGCCTTTCCGCGATCATAATGTCATTATGTATGCAAGCATGGTCGTGGTAATATTATGCTTTGGAGCTGTATCACTGCTGAGGGCCCTGGCTACATTACAAAAATTGATGGTGGCATGGATTCTACACTTTATTGTCGAATCCTAGAGGAAGATTTGGGCAAGACATTATCACATTATGGCTTGACTCTTCAGGACATCATATTCCAACATGATAATGATCCTAAACACTCCTCAAAATTAACCAGACAGTGGCTGCAGGAACATGATGTTGATGTGCTAGAATGGCCTCTTTATTCACCTGACCTCAATCCTATTGAAAACTTGTGGTATTATTTGAAAGCTCAGCTTTCTACATATGATACAGCCCCCACTATCATTGGTGAACTATGGCGTCGAACTTCTCACATTTGGTATACAAAAGTAACCAAGGAAATGTGTATAAAACACTTGAATCTATGCCACGACGTCTGCAGGCGGTTATCCAAGCCAAAGGAGGTGAAACAAAATGGTAATAAACCATGAAAAGTAAGTTTTTTAAGCTTCATTTTATTGCGTTCATGTTAAGAATCTTAACATCTGTAGTTCTATGCATGCTTTTAAGCTGCTTTTCTGTATGTATTATAACAAATATGTAGACAATGTATGGTGAATATGGAAATGATCTGATCATTAGTTATAGAGATACTGATTTATTTTTTATATAAAATTAAGGTCGCCACGATTTTTCATTTTTTTCGGAAACCGACCGATCGTTTTGTTTCGCCTATATCTCAGTCATTTTTCAATAAAATGACACCATATTTTTTCGTAGTTATTCACAACTATTTCTAGTATATTCTATTAAAGTTTGACATTGTTCCCGTCATCAGATGTTGAGCTACTATTTAATACGTTTTGTGGTCGCTAATTGTTTCGGCGATTTTTTGGCAAAGTCAAAAAAACGGCGCACCGACCGGCTGACTTCAAGCGCACGTAACTCAGGAACCAACGGTTGGATTTGCATGAAATTTGGCATGTATTTAAAAAACTATACAAAGTTTATTCAGGCTAAATTTCAGGTTCAGATCTTGAGAAGAATGTATAAACGGCAAAAAATTGCATATTGTGCGCCGTTTTTTTGAGTCACTGTACAAAGTATTAAATAAAAAATATTCACATCTGTCAAAAGGGTTCGCATGTGTGATATAGATGGATAGAGACGTTGAGTACGGTGAGACTGTTGTTTATTCTCGAAAGAGATGATCTCTTTAGTATCTGGTATTCAAGATAACAAGCCGTACACCCGCTGTGCAATGGATGCCACCTGCTACTGGATGCCGCACTCTTACATTGAGCGACATTCGTCAGACAAAAGCCTAACGCAATACGGCATAACCTGGGCGAGACTCTTGATGGAACTTTGGTATATTAATGTCAATATTCTGGCATACCATGAAACACTTTTAATGAACAAAGCAGCACTTATTGACCCCCTCCGTTCTGTCCCGCCCAAGGTTATGATAGATCTACAAAGATGTGTGGGAATGTTGGGTATTTAAAAAAAATGAGTTAGTAAGCTCTTTGGTTGATTCAAATTTCGTTGAGATATTTTACCTTTGATGTTTGATGCAGCAGATACCGAGGGCTTCCCGACCAAAATAAAGAAAGGATACAAATATAAAAAAAAAAGTAAATACAATAGGTGCGTCTGTAAAAACCCCCTAAAAACTCTGTGGGAAAAAAAAGGAGGAAAAGACTGCAAGAAGACTATTCACTAAAATACAAAATACATACTACAACTACAAAATAAAATGGTCGGGAAGAAATATCGAAGGCGATACCACGGGCAGCAATCCATATGAGAGGAACCTGGGGAGGACGTGTCAGCGTTTCCTGATGAAAAAGAGAGACACACCACCGACGATGCCTTTGACGACAAAAACTGGATTGGCCACAATCTGGTGCCCGAACAAAGTAGAAAGATTTGGAGGGATGGATGACTTGCCAAGCGAAAAGAAAACCGGAGAGAAAACCAAAAGCTAAAGAAGGGGTAGAGAAAAAAGAACGTGAGTTTTTTCTTGTCGAAAAACGAATAGTCACATCACACAAAAGGTACCTTTTTGATAATACTCGACTTGACCGGTTACAGATAGACGCCGGATACACCATAGTCTGGATGATGGATGATGGATGTGGATACGGGTGAGGATGCAATGATAGTGAGGGCTTTTCAGGTAAACGGAAAGAGGGAGAAAACCAAAGGAAAAAGAAAAAATTGAAGACAAAATGAATGAGTTCCCATGGATGAAACAATAGTCACTCTGCCAATGCAAGAATGATGATCAGGTCAACCACATGGGCCAAAAAGTGGAACATTTGCGGTTGGTTTACCTTTAAATCAAACATTGTGCCGAAAGAAAATATGTATACGGACCACACGTAAGCTTCTTCTTCGATGCGGAAAAGAAAATTGCTTGCAGAAACAGTTAAGCGGCGGAATATTTTTGGGGCGGTGGTGTCAGCTTGAGCAGGGCCAAGATATTGATGTGGTCAGAAGTGCCGGTAATTTCGAGCTGGAGGCCAGATATCGATAGTTTTCCCGAGTAAAAATAAAAGAAAATAAAACTTGCGTCAGTAAAAATCTCACAAAAAACCCTGTGGCGAAAAAAAGAGGGAAGACTGCGAAAAGAATACTTACATGAAAGACGATATCAAGAGTAGGAATCCAAATGAGGGCAACATGAGGAGGACGCGTCAGCGTTTCCCGATGAGAAAGAGAGCCACACGACCGAAGATGTCCTTTGACGACAAAAACCGGATTGGCCACAATCTGGTGCCCGAACAAAGTAGAAAGGTTTTGGAGGGATGAATGGCTTGAATGGCTTGCCAGGCAAAAGAAAACCGGAGAGAAAACCAAAAGCTAAAGACAGAATAGAGAAAAAGGACAGGTAAATTTTTTCTTGTCGAAAAACGGATAGTCGTATCACACAAAAGGTACCTTTTTTCATAATAATCGAATCGACTGGATCAGATACATGCCATAGTCTGGATGATGGATGATGGATGCAATGATAGTGAGGGATTTCCAGGCAAACAGAAGAGATGCAAAACTAAAGAAGAAGAAAAAATTCGGACAAAAATATGTGATTTTCCATGGATGAAACAATAGTCCCCTCACTGATGCATGAATGATGAGCTACACAGATCGAAGCATATCTGCTCCATGTATCATTCGATTACTGAAGAGAATGAAAGGGCATATACAGTATAACTGACAGATAACCCAAATTAAATGATGCTACAAAACACCAGATCGTCGTATCGTCAATCACCTTTCTTCAAAAAAGAGCTCCACTCACATTTTATGTGAACGGCGACGATGCTCTGTTTGACTACAACTGGCGCAAACGGCATCTTGCTGCTGATTGTTTCGCCTATTATCGTGAAAGTGGGCAGCGAGGCATGGTTGAAAGATGAAAAAAAAGGTTTAACAGGTCTTGATAACTTAGTGTAGATCATGTGATTTACAAAATCGCTAATTTTTCAAAGATTTTAATTATATAGACTAGTAGCGCCTGTTGATCTTAAAGATCACAGAGTTATGCTCTTTCGGTCTGTAGTTTGTTGTTAATCTGAGGCTAGTGGGAATAGTAGCTGATTAAAGATGCGTTTGGAATGGGATGCTCCATTTGCAGTATTCAGAACTCCGCACTCGAATTTGTGTATCCAAAGGTCTCGCTTGATGGTACTCTAATCTTTTGTCAATAAGCGGTTGATTTTCGGTAAGATTTAGTTGATGTGCGCATAAATCTTTGCGTATTCAATGGACAACAGAGTAGTACAGTCTCTTTTTCTTTTTTCCCGGGGGTCTTGCCTCCCCCCTGACCTACCGCCACATAGCGATCATTTTCTTCATCCACGACAGAGGAACAACAATATGTACACAAAGTTAGGAACAGAAATAGTCAGACATCGATATGTTATTAAATGGAGAGACAAAAATAGATAATAGAAAAAATCGTACTTGGGGAAACATAGCATAAGGATAAATTCAAAAGGAACATAAGGACAAAAAGCATACAGTAAAACATAAAGGTGAAGAATAACTTGAAAAATCATAGCAAAGGATGAAATCAAAGGAGCATAAGACAAAATACATACAGTAAAATATAAAGGAATAATAAAAACAACAACATAAGGGTAAAGACGCCACCAGGACCATCAACAAAGAGCAATCGGGCTGATTCGTTGCTTCCATGCGTGACACTCTGGAGAATTGCGTGGTATACGGCATGTTGATAACGGTTTAGGTACTCGTGTGTTTGGGGAACATTGGCAACATTTGCGATGAGATCGAATTGTTCTCTTACCAGTCTGGGCTGACGGCAAAGTGTGCTTCTGCCAATTTCTTGGCGATCAGGAAGAACAAAGCGATCGTAATTCAGCAGTGAAGATTGGCGGTTCAGATGCTCTTCAATGTCCAGCAAAGCGCGATCGTACACGATTTGGGGCGGCTCAATTTGATGATCATTGTCTTGATTTTGATTGCTCCAAAAATGATATAGTCTTCTGCCAAATGCTGGCGGAACTGCATCCAAAGCGCAAACGGGTCAGGAGCTTGACATCTTCTGTCATTGTCGGCATGATACATTGCTGCTGCAGCACGATCGTGGCCTTTGTAAACATACTTGTACAGGTATTTGACGCTTCCAGAGAAGTACAGATTTCGCCGTTAATGTGAGCGTTATATCTTGCACAGAGGTATCGATTGTGGGGAACAACCCATCTATGTCCAACTGGACATGGTTCTTGACCACAAAATCACCATTGTTGCGACGACGGTATAACGGGTAACCACTGTGATCTTCGATAGTAGCTTCACTGAAGGAGCGCGGGTAACGCTTTTTACATGAGCCGTCTTCCATGCAGGGAGACCTCGGATGCGTTGTTCCACACGGACCGTGCATCATACATCTGCTGACGGTGTCGTAGAGATCAGGAAATCTCTCTCTGTCCGGAAGTTCGGCACACACGATACGATCATAGTCATCAAGTGTTCTCGGCTTATCGTCCGGATGTAGCACCAAAAGTAAATGAAGATGCGGTAAGCCTCGCTTCTGAAACTCCACCGTGTGTACATGGGCAACGACTCTTCCCAAAACATGATTCTTCGTTAGATCTTCCATCAGAGCTTTACGCTTCATATTGAAAACTCGCGCACAAAGATCGGGCCGATCAACAACGGTTTGGAGAGGAGCCAGCTCGTCCTGTATTTCCTTCCACTGAGGATTGCAAGTGAAAGTGATGAATAGATCGGGATGCCCGCATCGACGTACGATGCTCATTGAATCATGGTAAAGCTGGCGCATGTGCCTGGGGCTGCCAATGAAAGTGGATGGCAAGATCACTCGTTGCCCGACGCTCTGAAGGTCATTGTCACCCAGCTCTACTGCATCTACGACACCTCGATACAGATCTGTTCGCAGATTCGTCTGGTTGAGCCGTAGGTATGTCAGCCGATTCTGCTCCATTTTTGCATACATGTCCACTATGTACTGCTGGAACAGGCGTCCAAACAAATGGAGATCATGGCCGTTATCGCGTACCATGAGACGATAGCTGTACCACTGCATCACTGTAATGGTTCGACCGTTCGGGGAGCGTGCGTGGATATTCCAACCGAGGTCACCTTGTGGAAACATCAAGACGTACTGGAGAGCATCATAGTGCTGATTTATCTCGCTGATACGTTGAAGCCCATGGCTTCTCGATCGGAGCACAATATCGCGGCTACTATCAGGTGTAATGGTGCTATCGACCAAAATTACTCCAATTTCGCTTGCGGTGGGTGCGTTGTATCGGCGGGCATCGGGAGTGTTTTCCGCGCATATCAGCAATCGCACGTCTACAGCTCCATCCGACTCACGTAAAACTTGGGCCATCGACAGCAACAGTGGAACAAACGGGTTAATTTCCATCAGCAGATCTTGGAGAATTAGCAGTGTTGCATTTTGCAAATAGGGCGTCAAAGCGTTTCGGTGTGCCAACTGGGTGTCAGAGTCGTAAATATACAGTTGAGCAAATGCAGGAGTATGGTTGTCCGTTGGCGGAAGCAGGCCACCGATCCGATGATAGATGCCTCCTTGGATGCGATAGCAGTAAGCTTCACTGCGATTGTTGGCCACTGACTCGTCAATTTGAGCACCTAGGGAAGTGAAACTGAGATTCGTGTTGTAGCCGCGGATGTGTTCACGGAAATCTCTTCCTTCTTCAGTGTTGCTGCGAAGGAGACGCGCGATTGTTGGAGATGTAGGCTCCAAAGGCGGAAGCACAATGGAACCTTGGGCACAGCAGAACTGGAATTGTGGATTCGAGATGGATCCAGACATGCGCTCTTTGAGCCACATGTGTGCCTGGCAGAAATTGCAGACAACATTCATGCGACCCAAGGTATGTCTACTGGGGAGTTCTGATTCATCAGACTCTGCGTTACCAACAGGTGCAGGTAATCTATAGCTGTGTTCTCCAGCGTCATTTTCGTTTGCTTCTCTCATAGCCAGCCTCGCTGGATTCAATGGGCAAGCTGGAATAAAGAAAGGAATTGGACCTAGATAATAAAACAATACAGCGTGGTTTAACTAAACAAATCATATAATAACACGGTCCGCTCATGCATAAAAGGAAGTGCAGATCATGAGCAACTCCAAGTGACCGGTTTTTACAACACGTAAATCATGTGATCTATTTTGTTTTAGCCAATCAGCAGCCTTAAAAACATTTATTATCCAATCAACAACGCCAAATTAGCGGACAATAAAAGTGACTGCGAACTAAAATTCAAACATTTTAATAAGGTTGAGATAACTGGTATCGGGATTTGAATGTACAAATAGTGTGTAATTACTCTAGTGTCTCTTCTTTGCTTAAACCGTGGTAATTCTTATGTAGTGGTATATGAACCCTATCTATACAGTGACTCAAAAAAGTGGGGCAATGTTTGCGAAAAATGTCCATTTTAATGAATTTCTCAAAAATAGATGTTCAAATTAAATGGTATTTCATACAGATAAACTACAGATAGCACTCTGAAAAATAAAAAAAACGAAGCAGATTGATTGGCTAGATCTATAGAAAT